GGCTAAAGTACTACTAGGATTCCGACTAGAACTAAGAACGTTAGTGCTAGATAGGAAGATAGAAACCTATAATAACGCCGAAAACCGCGTAGAGGAAATACTAAAAATATAAGAAACACTAAGAAAGCGCCTAGAAGAGTTAAAAACTATAATAAAGCGAGCCTACAATAGGAAATATATAGAGAAGTCTTTTATAATTAGATAATAGGTTATACTAAGAAATAAGTATATTAACTTAGGATAACCGTATAAAAAGCTAGATAACCGCTATATAGGACCCTTTACGATAGTAAGTATAGTAGGATAATAAGTATACTAGCTAATCCTTACGCCGAGATACTATAAGATCTACCTTATATAATATACTTTAATACTAGAGCTATACTATAGAGACCCGCTAAAAGCTTAAGAGCGGCCCGATCCTATACTAGTAGATAACTAACCTAAATAGGAGATCGAGGAGATCCTTACTGATAACCGTAAGGGCGCCGAATACCTTATTAAATAGAGAGGATACGGGTATAAGGAAAATACTTAGGAGCCGAGAGAAAACGTAGAAGATATACTAGTATTCGAGAGCTACTATAATAAGAAGAAAGAACGGCTAGAGCGTATAATATACTAAGGAAGATCCGTAAAGAAGAAGTTAATATAACCTAGGATCTACTACTAGATACGTTCCGGGAAGGTTAAAGGGACCGGAGTAGGCTTAAGAACACCGAACCCGATAGCTAACTACCGAATAGACCCCTAGAAAATAACTAGCTACGCTAGTATACGCTATAAATAGGTTAGGGGAGGATCTAGAATATTAGTAAAGATAAGGAGCGGACGAAAAATATCCTAAAGAGACTATAGACGTATAATAAGGATACGTAGGAGTTTATCGCTAAAAAATAGGACGAAAAGTAATATAGTTAATACTCTCTAAGGGTATAACGTAATAACTACCTATACTAGACGAGTAACCCCCGAGATACGCCTATATCCTTACCGCTATATACGTAACCTAGCCCGAGGAGGCGCCCGAAGCTAACCTATAACCCGACTTATTAATAAAACCTACGTCGAAAGGGGCGGAGAGGGTAGGGGGAGGTAAAGGGGGCGTAGCGCGAGGAGGACCGAAAGGCGTAACTATACCCGTATAGATATCTCGAGTTAAAGTATTCCGCGTACCTCGAAACCCCTATATAATCGTAAAGAACGATATATTCTACGCGGGGGTAGTATAGGGCGCTAAGATATAAGTATTAGCTTAGGCGTCGAGCCTAGAATCGACCTAAGGAACGTTAATAACCGCTAATACAAACGGGGGTCCGTACTTACTATTATATAAGACTACCGCTTCCTCGTATAATAGTTATACTAGGGAGTATTAACGTTAATCCCGCTAGGCGGAGGGATATATATATACCCCGGGTTATATCTAAGACGGTCTATATAACGCCGATACTACGCACTCGTAGGGTTAGTAGGGGAGACGACGGCCGGAGGGGCGTAATTATTAATAGAGGTATACGTCGCACTCGCGACTAGAGGAAAGGGAGCTACTATAATAAGTCGAAATAACCTATAGTAAGAAAAGCGAGACGACGAAAAGCTATAAGAAGAAAAGCGAAAGGACGAGGAAGTGCAAAAAGAAGAAAGCTATAACTCGAAGAGAGATAAGTAAAAAATATATAAAGAACTTAGATTATACGCGATAAAGAGAGATAACGCTTAAAGCTCCGAGTCTATCTACACCTTCTACCATAAAGACAAATTACCCTCTTTTAGATAGCTAGACACATATACTATTTTCGAACCCTCCCTATCTCGACTATAAGAGACTCTCGACCCCCGACCCTTAGCTACGAGGACGTAGCTCTTCAAGGAGGGGGAAAATGTTACGACCCTCTACTAGGAGAGTGCCTTATAGGCTAGATCCCGCCTAGTCCTATAACCTAGAACCCGTAACCTAGTAGGGGTAGTATAACCCCCCGCTAGAGACCGCACTAGGGAGACTAAGTCCTACTAGGTCAGGTGACCTAGTCCTATGACCCGCCAAAGGTCATCCATACAGAGACTGCTAGGGGAACTTAGCTCTTTAGCGATTAGTTTACGAATATACCAGCACCCTACTATTCCTTCACTCTAGTTCTATATTACCTGCCAGGACCCGCTAGTACGCCGGTCCTAACATTTAGTCTTAACGTCTAATATTAGTACGTTATAGATAAGTACTTAGTATACTCCCTTATATTCTCTAAAAAGAACTATCCCTAATACTATAGGAGTCTATAGTATAGGGTTATCTATTTTTTTAACTCTTCCGCGGCTATAGCGTTTACTATAACTTTTTTATAGTAATTCTTTATATAGTAGCCTAGCTTACTATAGAAGTTATAGAATTTATTATCTCCGTTTTAGTCTTATTTAGATCCTATAGTAACTTTTCTACCCTCTATAGTAATTATAGCTTACTATATAAGGAAAGCGCTATTTCCCTTAAAAGGTTTTCTATTAGATCCTTATAAATCTATAGTATTTCTTAGCGTTATCTTCTTAGCCTTTCTAAAGTATAATATCCTATCTAGTATTACTTTTTTAATTTAATTATAGAAAGCTATTTAGTTATCTTATTAATCTATAGTAAAGGCTATAAATCTTTTTACTTTATCTTATATCTCCTTAATAATACCTATCTCTAAATAGTTAATTCTTATTTATCTAGTTAGTATATCTTTTAGATAGTTATAGAGTCCGGTAAGCTTTAAAACGTATTAATATATATCTTAATACTTAGCTTATATTATCTATTACTAATTATATTTAGCTTCTCGCTATATCTTAATAGGGTCGGTAATCTAAGCGAGTACCTATATTTTAAAGACTAATTAGGTAAATATTATATCTAAATTATTTCTATAATATTCTATCTATATTATATTAACCTTTAGCGCTAGAAACTTAGTTATTTAGTTTATCTTATATATATTACTAGCGAACTAGTTAAGATATCTATTCTAGAAGGCTTCTTAGTTTAACTTAAAGAGATTATATTTACCCGAACTTTTAGCTTTATATATTATTATATTATAAGGTATATATAGTTCCCTTACTTTTTTCTAATAGGATAGGTAGTCTCTAGTATTTCCTAGTAATATAATCGAGTTTATATAGGCTATATTAGGTAATTAGTAGGTAGTTTAACTAATAGTACTACCTAACGAACCCTAATAGATCTTAGATCCTTATATTCTCGCTTATAGGATTACTACGTTTTCCTCTTTATTCTATAGCTCCGCGTAAATCCTATTTTTCTCCTTTACTAGAGCTAGACGTCTTTTAAAGGTCTCTAACTCTCGGAGTTCTATCTCCTTATCTACCTTAGTCGGGGTCGTTAGATTTAGCGGGTTTCCTCCCTAAGGGTTATCGTCGACTCCCTATATCTCTACCTCTTCTAGTAGAGGTTATAAAGGTCCCGGGATATCGTTCGTTTCCGCGATTAGGGCTAAGGCTCCCCTTAGGCGGTCGCTTATATATCGAGTCGTCGATATTACGTATTCTAACTATTACAACCTAACATACGGAGTATGAATATGGTGCGCATATCTTGTAGCACATATCGGGTATTTAGGTTGGTAACCTGACATGACGACTAGTTGGTCGTCATAGTGGCTCTTTTGGTAAACGCTCTACCTTACCATTACTTCCTACGTTTTGCACAGTGGTGTCAGGCCCACTTGCCTTAACAATATGACGACCAACTTCGGAGACCCTGGGTTCGAGACATACAGATGTCGAATTCGAATCTACGGTCTTTGCAAGGAATATCATGGAGAGATCCAGATATACACTTGGGGGTCTACAACTTAAAATACACACACCGATATCTTACTAGCACGGTATCCATACCGTTTAAGCTACCTATGGATATTCTATGCCTCGGGGTCAAGGCATCAGAAAGAGGGGAGATAATGTTATAACCTAACATACGGAGTATGAATATGGTGCGCATATCTTGTAGCACATATCGGGTATTTAGGTTGGTAACCTGACATGACGACTAGTTGGTCGTCATAGTGGCTCTTTTGGTAAACGCTCTACCTTACCATTACTTCCTACGTTTTGCACAGTGGTGTCAGGCCCACTTGCCTTAACACTAACGGTCTAGTTTAATTAAGATTTAGCGATTAGAATATTAGGACCGGCGTACTAGCGGGTCCTAGTAGGTAATATAGAACTAGAGTGAAGGAATAGTAGGGTGTTAGTATATTTATAAACTAATCGCTGAAGAGCTAAGTTCCCCTAGCAGTCTCTGTATAGATGACCTTTGGCGGGTCACGGGACTAGGTCATATGACCCGGTAGGACTTAGTCTTCCTGGTGCACTCTCTAGCGGGGGGTCATGCTACCCCTACTGGGTCACGGGTTCTGGGTCATAGGACTAGGCGGGATCTAGCCTATGAGGCACTCTCCTAGCAGAGGGTCGTAACATTTCTACTATTCAACCTATAAGATATTAGTAAAGAAGTATCAATATAATACTATTAGTATTTAATAAACCTATAATGAAGAGAAAAGGGAGAGAAAAACAAGAGATAATTAAGGGCTTATAGTGGTAGACTCGGTATATCAAATATCATAAGGGTTTCTAAGGTGCACGAGGTTTTAGGGGACTAAGAGTCCTATAGTGGTTTTGCTCCTATACAATAGCTGATATAGGTCAAAGATCAGGTGATTTTAGCAGAAAATAATAATTTTTATTCCTACTCGCCGAAAAAGGAAAGGTGGGAGGCTTAGGATGATTATATAATATAATGCTGGCAGAACGAAGCGAGGCGAGGCGAGCATTTCACTCTTAGCTAAATCACTCTAATGAATGCATCTGGCCAATATCTTGGAATTGCTTAGTTGTGGAGAACATACGGCCTCTGTAAGTCTACCAGAACTTCACCGCCATTGAGTTGGGCTGCCAGCCTTGGCACGTCCGCTCTCTATCCTCTCCACCTCCACACAATGCAAGTCCTCCATAACGCGTTAATCCGCACCCACCACATCACCTCGCGCAAAAAAGTAGCCGTGCTCAAACGCGCCGCCGACACACACCAATGCGCTGTCCTCCTGCGATCTGGTGGATGTCCAGGGATCATGTACGTCGAGGGCCAGAAAGAGCGGGTCGAGAGCTGGGTGGATGTAGTGCGGCGACTACGATATAAGGATTTCCAGCTGGTGACGAGGGCCGCGGCAGTGGAACAGGAACAGGAAGATGGATATGAGCAAAGTGGGAAGGGCTCACCGGGATTGGCGTTGGGGTTGGATGAGGTGGAAAGTGTAAAGGAGTTTGGGGGCATCATGGCACAGAGGGGTATTTGGAATTGGTGGAGACGGGGAATGGGATATACTTGATTCTCCCAAGGGGCCTGCGTCATTCGTGCTTGGTGCATTGCGCATTGTACACTACTACTTTCTGCGATGTCTATTCGAATTCTGTTGATACCATCGGTGACCTTTGTTTACTTTATCGTTAGTTCATACATGGTTGACTTGGAGTGTACAGAGTTGATATCGATCCAAACGCCATAATCTACATGATACAATCCATCAAGGAACGAGACTCGCCGCCGTCCCCTTACATTGGCGCCGGATAACTGAGCAGTTTGCACACATCCTACCACGATTAGCAACCAGTCAGTGGACTCCCACATCCCCATACATAAACACACCTTTCGTTGTCGCCGGTATTTGTCATAGATCATTTTCCAGATCTCTCGGTCCCGACATCCACTCTCCTGCGGCGTACCAGGGTGGTGGTCGCATTTGGGCTGCTCAGCGGCCAACTGTTCCTGCGGCCACATAATCCACGGCTTCGGTAGAGGCCAATCAGAAAAGTGAACAAATTTAGCCTGCGCCAGGACATGATCTGGATCCCAGACCTCATCGTCGTTGCCCAGGAACTTCCGATGATCCTTCGTCCGGAACTCGCCCGTGAGCAACCCGTACTGTCGGTGCGGGAGAACCATTGCCGAGTCCCCGTACCGCTGGTTCAATAGTTCCATATCATACCGGTGATCCGTCAGATTCACGTCAACTTGACCGTTCTTGGCCGGCGCGCTGGCGTCGGTCAAGGCCAAGTATTCGCGGAGGGAAGGCTCAATAACGACCAGCAGCGACGAGAGTGTCCGTTCCGGCAAGAGCCAGTAGGCACGTGGCATGGCGACTGTGGTGGGTGGGAGGAAGAAGAGCTCGTCCATTGTCTGAAGGAGAATCACGTCGGAGTCGAGATGGATCACACGGTCATATTGGTGTTCACCAAAGGCAATCAGCTTGGCAGTGCTTGTATCCCACGATGCCGATGAGCCAGCTCCTATAGAACAAGGGGGGGATGTCAGTGGTCTGGGGTTCAAAAATTGCGCCATGAATTTTGGCCTAAGAGCTGTCCAACTTACCCGATGTGTCCTGGATCCCCTCGATCTTCATAGGGATCATCACCACATGGTACTTGTTTTTAGCCTCGAGCAGCAACTGGCTGACGCGATCAAACTCATTCTCAACAATGAGATCCCACTCGTCCGGATAAAACAGCACACGATCCGCCTTGCTGTCGAGTCTGTGCAGAGCCTCGAACACCATCAGGCAATTGCACAGATATACCTCACTAGTCGCATACTGGGTATACGCAAAGCGCGACCAGTTCACCTCGTCGTAATGGATGTGTGGTAAGGGGGGCGGCGGGGGACGTTCACGTCGTTGCCACAGGACAAACAGGATGATCAAGGCGACTATCGCCCACGTTCGGACATGTCGTAGCTGACGCTTGACTATTGAAAGACAAGGTTCGTCGGGGATGTCAAAAAAGTCATCTTCCGAGGCATTGGAGCTCCGCCGGTAAGGGAAGGCGGGTTTTTTAGCCGACATTGTTGGAGGCTGTGAAGCTATGAACCGCGTGGCTCTGGGGTCTAATCGATACACGTGATAAGGTTATGTCATCGGTCGAATAGCCAGAGGAAGACATTGCGGCTTTTTGGAGAGATTCTCAACATGCGACACTGGCCCCTGGAACTGAGCTGCGGTCCAAACATTGCGGGGGCCTCGCTGTCTTTCTGTTGTTTCTTGCCTTTGCCCTGTGTTCTTGCTTAGGATGCAAGATAGCTCATTGCCATACATCAACCAGCTCGCATGGCTTAGCGGTAAAGCGCATCACTAGTAATGATGAGATCCTCGGTTCGATTCCGAGTGTGAGCAATTTCTTTTTTGTTTTTTTGGGAGCTGATTGTTGGGGAAAGAAGTATCGAAGATCACGGACTTACATAGATCTGCAATGATAGTCGAGTGTCGGTAGATATGCAGGTATGCAGGTATGCAGCGTGGATACAAAGATATAGAACCGCTCGCTCCTCTATTTGACGGTGTTATTTTTATTTTTTGTGATACGAAAAAACAATCTCGATGGAAGGATTATCTTGACCTGGCAGGGCGAAATAGAAAGGTATTACTGGCACAGAATGTTGGAGCATAAATCTTAGAACTGATTTCTCTGGACTCGAGTGATCGTCTCCAAAAAAAGAAGCGAACAAAGTGAAGTACTTTTACTAACAATAAACTAGTAAAAGTACAAAAAATAGTTTCCCTGGGAATCGAACCCAGAACCTTTCCGGAACATATGCGAATCGCATTTGTTAACGGAAAATCATAACCGCTAGACCAGGAAACTGCTCAGCCATCAAGGCCAATTGATGGAAACTTAGGTCACATATAACATTATACGGCAAGTTCAAACATCTGGGAAGTTGCACCTCAACCCTTCACCATCGATCGACTGGCTACGTATGTGTTTGAATTCTTATACAGATCTCTATCCGACGTAATCGAATCTTGAGACAACCTGGTTAAATCACTGGCTATCAGACACCCTGATTGTGGTTCGATGTCGCCGGAGCATGAGTCCGTACATATATATAACGGTACTGCGACTTTGCTTCCTCGATGTATGTCGACCGTTGCAAGATCACCAGGGGAAATGGAAATGTCCAACGAAACCCCCTACCTAGTCTGAATGACCCTGTTACACCCACTAGACAGCAAATCAATCAACATTTGGTGATTTATAGGCATCGAGTATCTTGCCCTATTTCAAATAAATGATCAATGATACCCCCCAGAATGTGATCCACCTCTATCAGGCAACAACCTCGCATCAGAAGCCATCGACCTCCCATCATCCACCTGGACCACAATATCTGTTTTGACAGTCACGCGCCCATTATCCAGATGTTCAGGCATTTCCACCCTGGAAACGTGGGCGTGAGAGCGCTCGTGAGCATGCCCATGCCATTGGAATGCGGGATTCTCGTCATTGTTGATATATGTGTTTATCATGCTATTGACGGCAGCGGAACCCATCCACTGGTCGTCGGCTTTAGCCCGGCGTTCCAGCTCCGTGTCGGGGTCATCGTGAGCCGTCGACCGGGAGCGGGACCAGTAGCCGCGAGGGCGCTCTTCGCGTTTGCGGTCAACAAAGGCGCGTAGGAAGAGACGAGCTACTGGAGCACAGGAGGCGAGGAGAATGCTGTAGTTTTCGATTCTGGGGGATGTCAGTTAAGGAGGACAGATTATTGAGGTTGGAGGATGGTAGCCTACTTCACCCAGAGAACGAAGGTCACAATATTGTAAGTAAAGTCCAGGCGATCGCCGAGGGATTTAAGTTTCTGCAGTAGGTGCTGTTTAGTGACTGCTTTGTAGAATGGATATGATCTACTCACATATGTCTTGACTATAGAAGCACAGCCGGAGAGAAGCAGTGGGCCGCAGAGAGTAATTGTCTGCCAGATCCGACGAGATCGGACTGACCCACTGATTCTGCAGAACTGCGTCCAGACCGAGACATTTGGATTGCGGTGGAGAGTTCGCAGAAAGAATTGCCAGAGCTCGACAGCGGCGAGAATAGCGAGGACTAAATCAATAGCCGTGTTGAGTCCTTCGGGGATTAGCTATGAGTTGCGCTTTGCGGGGGTCCTCATTTGGCATACCTCCTTGCACAAAACCGATGGTTGTTTGGACTGTCGGTGATTGGCACTTGACAGAGCCATCTTCCGGTAGTGGTGTCCACATATATTTGAAATATGGAACTCGATTTGCCTGTGGTGGGATTAGAACAGGCCGATGACGGGAGAAAGAGAGGACTGACGGTATGATATGGGTTCGGTCCGCATTGGACAATGATTTGTACAATAGTGACCATATTGACGAGGAGCTGGACGACAGCACAGACAACGATAGACTGGCGAATCTTTTTGTCGCTGGCTGCAAAACAATTCAACAGAAACCACATCATGCCCGTGCGGGAGATCATAGCCGAAGTGACCGCCAATGGCTGTGAAATGAAGTCCCATTTCATTGCATGGAAGCGTTCCTCCGCGGTCAAGTAGAAGTAATGCCTCCCGAGACCCCAGTTGGCACTGATCAGAGTCAGCGGCTGGGATGGCGATGGATAGCAACCCTCTCACCTCAGTTGAATAAATGCCATATGGGTAATATCAAAACCCCAGGAAACGAGGAAGAGGAGATCCTCTATACCCCAGATTCGGCCGGGGGCAGTGACCTGTGGCAAAGCCCAGCCCACCCAGATCTTGACGGCGTAGCGGAATAACAATGCGACACCGACAATTGCCGTGAGGACCTGATGGATGATTAGGACATTGACAAGGGACTCGACGCCACGAAACAAGAAATAAGAGACACGATCACCTACCCAGCAAGCCTGAAACGTGCCCGTTCCTGTCCAACATGTCAATACCAAAGCGTTGACTTGGTCTTGGCCGCTCGAGGTGACACATACCGATGTCCACATCGCCCTCCGAAGGCCTCGGAATATCCATTGTGAAAGATGACAAGTCTTGGTCGAAGGTGTCGAACACAGCTAGCTCTTCGCCCAATATACAGCGCAGGAGCCAATTCAAATAGCCCTCATTGGCACGCGACGGCAGAGTGACCGAGGTCGGATATATCCAAAGCAAAAACCGAAGTAGGAACCAGGGCAACGCCCACAGGGTTTCAAGCCTCGAAGGTGCCTAGTGATGCGAGCCAAGTCTCGAACCAATAGGCTAGAAATTGAGAACCCGATCGTGTCGGCTCGAAGGGACTTCCAGAATCATTGGGATCAAGGGATGGATCAGAGACAAGCGGGGACTCGAAACGAATCAGCCCAGAGAATCAATATTGGTTAATCTCTTAATCCCTGTCCAGTGCTGAAGGAGTAGAAATGGGATTTTTAATCTATTAATCCCTGTCGCGTACAAACCACGCAGTCCAGCCTGGCCAATCTACGGAGGACAAGGAAATTGGGCTTGATTCTGGCAAGGCTCCGGGGGGACCATGTGGATTGCCTAACACAGGCCACATCCTGCCTGCATCCTGCCCACATACCGAAGTGGAGTGAAGTGGAGCGAAGTGGACTGTGGACTGCAGCAGGCGCAAACATGCATCCCAGCCATTCTGGCGCTTGGGAGAAGAAATGTGGAATCAAACCGAGAAGACCCGGAACACAAAGCAGAGTCAGGATGAAACCCTGAACGGAATCCCCTACAAGTTCATCTATTCATCTACGGAGTCGACTAGATAGAGTATGGACTCCGTACAGAAGAGATCCGAGAATCGAGATGTTCGGTGGAGCAAAGGATTGAGCCCCGGATTGCTTTACAAGTCGTTTCAAAATAATCAACTTCGACCAAATGGCACTATGGACACGAGGAATCCGTTTAGGAGGCCCTATCGGCCCTTTTCATCTCGACCAAGGACTCTCCAGCACGCACATAACACTCGAAAGTCACCTCCAATCCCGTTAAACTCGCAATTTGCCGCCACTCGGCTGCGCTCCGTTCTCGCCCGCCATACAACGCAATCATACTGGCATGGAGCGCAGTATAAGTTTGATTCTTCGCGTATTCAATAATCAAGACTCGCGAATGAGGCCCCATCGCTCGAGAAATCTTCTGCAGTAATGCGACCGCATCCAGATCAGGCAAATTATGCAAGATATGCTGGAGCGAGTATACACACGCACCCTGGATGGGCTGCTCGGGCGACTCTTTGAAATTCCACTCCATCAGACGTACCCCAGGCACGCTATCGATGTCCGCATTAAACTCCTGTACAATTAAATCCTCCTCTTGGAGATGGGGGTAGGCAGCTTGGACCTCAAGGAGAAGCTCCCCACGGCCACCGCCGATGTCGACCATCGCGGCAGACCCGGTCACCCCCAACGCAGCATCCAGGTCATAGCCGATGGATTTGACGCGCTCGGGGAATGTCCCGAACTTGAGAAACTTGCCGACCATGAAATGGTTGAAACTATCCATCCGACCTTGGGCTTCCATAATGGAGTATGTATGTTGATTCGCCAACTCAGTCTGACCCATGAGCCCATAGGCGTATTGCAAGGGGCCATCGGCATCCGCGAAGGGGTATGCAAAGCCCGTGTCTTGGAGTTTTTTCATCAGGAATGCCCCAGCCATGAGACCCTCGGTCGTGCTGTGACGGTCAGTGCGTGCCCGAGAGCCATCAACTGCAGACTCACAAATGCAGTGCGCCATGCTGAGCAGACGGCATGGCAACCATGTGGTTGGTGATGGCATTTGCAGCGAAGCAATCATCGGCCACGCGGTCGACTAGACCGAGCCCGGACATGACATAGAGCGTGTCGGCTACAAGATTAGTGTCGGTATCCTTCGAGCCAATTCCGGGGCGTACATACAAGCTAATCTGGTATCTATATTCCCAGTCAGTATCTCAGCTAGCCATCCGCGTTCCCACACATACTCAGCTCGGGTTCATTCTCTCGGGCGTTGATGCGTGCATTGTAGGTTGCCGATACCTCCTCGGGTGTCGCGGGTCCACCATGATTGGCAAGGATATTAAAGAGATCAAAGTGAATCGCAACAGGCACAAATCCCAAAGATGCAGACTGGCAGGGAATTAGATGGCGAACTGGGCGGACGAGGTTGCCACACTCACCACTGTGACAGTCGCGGCGAGGGCTGCACCCGGCGGCGCCACAGGGGCCGATGGTTTTTGAGACATTGGTGGATTGGAGGGGAATTGAGTTGAGAAGGGATTATGTTCGTACGGAGCCCAACATATTTGTATATAGGAAAAGTACGGAGAGACATCTCCGTATGTTGTACATACTCCGTATGCACGACAGCATCCGACCGGCAGGAATTCCGGTATAACGAGGGAAAAACATAGAAATCTAAGACAATCCGAGTTACTAGCAAGATACCGAAATACACCGGTCCTGCATAGTCCAGAAATCTAGTGCTCCATCGAAAATCATTGGACGAACACCAGGTGGATGTGCAGGGATATCACCAAGCGACACGGCAAGGCCCCGGCATTCCAGCAAATCAATGAGAAATTTGTAAACAAGCCGACCCCATGAATCAACCTAAGAAACTCAAAGAAAGCAAGTGATGGACTAGTGGCAATCTAAAGTCATGAATGTGATACATCAATGGCCCCCAAAACGGTGGTGGATCCCTCTAACTCACTAACTAGGTAATCCTCCGACTTGCCAGCAATCGTGCGACAAAAGCCACGCGTGAATTCTCCATGTGCTTGTGCATAAAACCTTTGCAAGTACCGTGAAGAGATCTTCCTTCCCCTCCTTGCCTGGCCCGAGACTGCGTTTTTTGCGTTTTTTAGGGTTTGACATAAGAGTGTACAGCTCTTGGGACGGGTGTGCATATCTCCCCAATGGAGAAACCTGCTACGGTTTTCAACACCCTCGAGATGGAGGCTGCTACTCCATCACGGTCGCAGGAGAAACAAGAATGGAAAGACACTGATTCAGATGTCGCGTCCGGGGACCCTCTGAACCCGAGAAACTGGACTTCCACACGCAAGACCCTGCTCTTTGTGTCACTGATGTCAAGCTCGCTGTTGGCTGATGGGTATGTATGCCCTGGTCGATCATGGAAACGAATGCGCCCAGCTCAGACATAGACCCAAGGATGGATACTGACTGAACCCCACGCAGAGCAATGGTCTGGGGTGGCACGCTGGTCACAGACCAGGCCATGGAATGGAAGACCTCCATCGCCCATTCGGCGACAAGTATGAATTATGGCATTTTGCTCCAAGGCTTTGGCGGCATATTTGCGGTTCCACTTATTGAAGCTTATGGCCGGTGAGTGGCTCTTTTTTCCCCGGGGAACCTTGGATATCGAGCTGATCGAGGTACATAGTTTACCGGTCTGGTTATGGCCCCAGGTGATTACCATGTTTATGGTGTTGGGTGCTACCCTCTCCCATGATTGGTCCACCTTCACGACATTCCGCTCTCTGCAGGGTCTGTTCGGGACTGTGCCTCAGGTCATTGGTCTTCCAATCATTCATGATATGTACAGCTCGGCTGGTCAGTACTGTCCCGGAATTTATCGCAACTGTGGCTAATCGGACAACAGAGTGGCCGCGGATGATCAATATCTGGTAGGAATATCTGCCAAGTCGAAATAGAGCAGCATTGACTGAGTATAGGGGCACCGCATTCCTGGTCGGACCGTTCCTTGGACCTGCGCTCGCAGGATACATTGGTGCTGGGACAGATTGGCGCACATCATTCGGAGTCCTGACAGCCTTCTATGGCCTTTCCACGATATTGGTGATCTTCTTCGGTTATGAGACATACTATATACCAGGGCGACAACAATCCAGCTCACGCCTCGCGTCCTATTTCGGAATTGGGAATACTCAGCTTCCCAAGAGATCCACGTTGGCATATTGGTGTCGCAAGGTTGTGGTCTATGTGTTCGAGTTCCCATTGTTAATGACTGGTGGGTATGACCAAATCTGCCTGCAATAGCATTCACTGACAACTTGCATCGATAGGAATCGCTATCTTGGTGCTCTTTACCTGGCCAATTGGTGAGTAAACAACATCTTATCGTCGGCTCACCTGCTGATTGTCTAGGAATCACAACGACGATCGATGGCTTCTTGCACAGCCCTCCATACTTGTTTGACACCATCGAAGCATCCTCGATGAGATTTGCCGGTGTTATTGGAGCCTTGTGCGGTATGGAGTCTCACGCTTTCCTATTCTCTTTTTAATGCTGATCATGTTTCTAGGCTGGGCGGTCGGCCACTTCTTTAACGGCTGGATCTTCAAACGCCATAGCTCAGACTGGCGAACTGAACTACGCCTGCATGGCGTGTGGATCCCGGCAGGAAGTATGGTCTGTGGTCTACTTACCTACGGATTGACCATGCACTTCGGCAAGCACTGGATCGGACTCGCCTTCGGGTGGATCATGGTGAACATCGGCATGGTGGCCACGGTTGTGTAAGTCATCGGCTTCAATCTCGAATTCGGTCTGTAAATTGCTGTCGTATCTCTAACATATTTGGAACAGTGCCATCTCGGCTTATGCATTGGAAAAATATCCGGACCAGGCGACTTGTGTCTCCGCCATTCTGAATATGTGGCGCACCTGCGGTGGATTTTCGGTGGGTTACTTCCAGCCTTCATGGATCCAGCGCAATGGACTCGGACAGGTTTTCGGAATCCAGGCTGCTATTGTTTGTGTGGCTGTTGTTTTGACCATCACTCCTGTGCTGCTCTGGGAGCGGAAACGGCGGATGCGAGTGAATGCTGATGCTTGAGTTGTAGAATAAACTGACTGTATATGGCGCCTGAGCGACGATTGAGCGATATCTAAAACACCTAATGTACTTAATATTTTTCTGGTAGACAGCATACAACATACTCCGTACAAAGTGCAATGTGCTCGGATCCAAGTTGATCGCTCGGCGAGATGGTCCGTGCACAACACTGAAACGCACGTGATAATGCTGCCTCATCTTTCAGGCCACCAAACCGATCCGGGGGGAACGACGCCGTGTTTCATGCTTAATTTGTTTGACGGACGCTATGGCTGACTCCTGGCGTTAAGAGACAGGTCTTTACTACACACTATCTCCTCAACCTAAAGCCCAACTAATATACCCTTGACGCGATCTTCATCTCCTGAACATTCCTCCACCAACCACAGTCGACACAGTCGATCATTGCCCTCGTGTGATTCCAAGTCCCGCCAGCGATGACGCTGTACGTGGGGCAGCGGGCAGTCCCTGAAAGACGCCACAGCCTAGTTGGCTCCTGGGCCGCGTGGTTGTTGATCAGTCCCCCAATGAACATGTCCCATGGCCTATCAAGCTTCCCCGTTCTGAGCTTCGACCGAATCACGAAGCCCGTTCTGCCGGGCCCATGGATTGTCCACTGTTGACGCCGAGGCAGTGATGAACTGGTTGTTCAGGGACAGCGATCACTGACCCTTTTTTTTTCTCTCCCTCTCTCCCTCTCTCTCTCTCTCTCACACACTACTTTTTTTGTCCGCGTTTCATCAAGCATCGGTTTCATTCCCTTCTTCCCCCCTTGCGCTCGTTTCCCTCGTTAGCTGAATGGCCCCGATTTCTGTTTGATCCTGATTAGATTGTCCTCGAGCGCCGACCACGATCATGTTTAGTTCTTCGCGACGATGGCTTTTCGTCGTCTTTCCGGTCCTTACATTTTGTCTGATATACTTTCTCTTTCGACTGCCTGAATCCGATCCTACACCCCTGAACAACTCAGATCAAATTGCTCAAGCTGAAGGGGAAACAATTGTCGGAGGGGAGGAGAATGAGGAGACAATCCCTCCACCTCCCCCTCCTCCTCCCCCTCCCCCTCCTCAACAGGAGACTGTGGAAGATAAATGTGGCCACTTACTGCACCAGCTTGACGATGTCATGGTCATTTTGAAAACAGGCGCTACAGAATCTCTCGAAAAAGTCCCCATCCACCTCCGCACAACCCTCCAATGCGTCCCACACTTCGCCATCTTTTCGGATTATGAAGAGACAATTGAAGGAGTGCGCACCTATGATGTTCTCCGCAACGTCAGTGATGCGACAATGGAAACCGAACCGGAATTTGGCATCTACCGACGTCTCCAAGAAGTCGGACGCGAAGGCCTGACGGAAGCAGAATGGGGCGATGACACAAACGGACCCCTGGGCAAAGTCAACAACCCAGGGTGGAAACTGGATAAATGGAAGTTCCTCCCGATGATCGATCAAGCATTGGAAGTGATGCCCGATGCCAAGTGGTACGTCTTCCTGGAGGCGGACACATACATAATATGGAAGAACCTGGTGGACTGGCTTGGACATCTCAATCCGGATCGGCAATACTACCTAGGCAGCCCGATGCAGATCGGCGAAACCCTCTTCGGGTACGGTGGAGCGGGAATCGTGCTCTCGAGCTGGACAATGCAGCTTTTGCACGAGTACCGGGCGCGCGCACAAGAAGACCTGGAGAAGATGACAGCACGAGAATGGGCAGGTGACTGCGCGCTGGCGCGAGCACTGCACGACGTGCGTGTCGACCTCACGTGGGCATGGCCCATGATGATGACTTCGCGGCCCCGGGAAATCGACCACTTCTCTGAAGGATACGGTCGGCAGCCGTGGTGCTATCCAGTTATCTCATACCACCACATGGCTCCAGAAGATATTGAGGAGATGTGGGAGTTTGATCGAGAATTCTTCAGCAGCGGCAAGAATGCACTCATGCTGCATGCCGACGTGTATCAGAGACTAGTCCACGATGGGAATTTTTCTGCCCGCGATGACTGGGATAACCTCTCAGCTATCAAAATCGATTTTGCAGCTGGCGTGATTCCCTCAGTGGATGCTTGTGCCGAGGTCTGTACCCGCAACAAGGAGTGCCTGCAGTATTCGTTCAGCGACAGTGACGGTGTTTGCAAACACACTTCTACCACCTTCGCTGGTGTCGCCAGAAATGGCACGCACTCTGGCTGGATTACTCCTCGCGTGAACAGGCTCCTCAAAGCCTTCCAGTCTTCTTGCGACGCTGTACAATATATCTCCGGCTGATCTTCTTGCATTTTGCTCTTTAGCCCATCTCTTCCCCCTCGGAATGTTCTTGTACATATAGTGGTTTTTTTTTACTTCCTGTCCCTTCCTATCTCTTCACATCCCTCTTTCGGTTTAGATTTTATATGCATTCTCAGGTCTTAGGAACGCGTTTCCGTATTTCCGGAGAGAGTCGTTGGCGTTATGCTAGCTGTGCTAGCATCGTCTGCCGGGCAGACGAACACACCCTCCTGGTCGCTGGACCATTTTCATTTTTCATCCTTTGTCATTACCTCTGCAGCTTGTTTCTAGCGATACCAAGATCTCCATTATAGCAACCAATTGAAACGTCCAGGTTATATCCCGTTGTATCTTCATATCCCCTATGACACTTACTGAACCCCTCCAATATTGATACTGTATAAAACCATACGAGACTAGTCACCCCCCTAGCTATTACTAGGTGACTCACTGGCGTGGCAATGGGGCTGGGGTGCCTACGGGGTACATATAACACTCCCATTTGATCATACCAGGGAGCTGGGGGCGGTTAGACGTGAATTATATATTAGCGTAGGAGTGCCCATCTAGGAAATCCTCTGATCCTATCTGCAGGCTTGTTGCAGAGAGACCAAGTGGCCAAGCGTGCAAGCTAATAAGGAGAAACAGCTGGAGTCTTCGGTCTCCTGAGAGGGTTGGGTACTCCATACAACCCCCGATGCCGTGGAAATATCGCTCAAGCAATGTGATCTCGGTCTCCCCAACATGGCAAGGGTCATCCTTTACATATATGACCTATTGCTCGGGCTAAGAAGATGCCTAATTATGAAGGCATGACCTCTGCAGTCATAGATTAACGTCAGTGTGAGTACGGAGTACCGAGTACTCCGTATCCCTCTTCTATTAGGGCCAAGTGCGATATATGCACACCTATCGCCATCGCAGCCTCCTATACTCCGTACAATGATGATAGGGCCTGAAGCTACAAGATGAACCGATTGCACGAGGTCCTAGGACCTCTCTGGTTGGCTAGTTATCTGACGACATTGCTTTTTTTAAATAAAAACCCGGCCTGTCTCAGATTCTAATTCCAACGCAAACATCTGCACCTCATGATGCAGCATCCCGCCTCCATTTGGATACATAGCAGTGATAGCACATTTACCCGAGACAGTACGGAGTACTTGGACACGTCAAGTTAGCCAACACGATATCCATCTTATTGTATTTTCATTTCATTTTGTTGAAAAACAATGCCTGAAAAATACTCCATACGGAGTACTGAGGGAGAAGATGAAAGGGCGTTGCTGCAGGTCCCAGGGTTAAGACCATCGAAGGCGCATTTACTGTTATATACTCCGAAGTACCCAAAGGATTGGAGAATATGAGTGTCTCCGTGGAGCCCAATCATAAGTTTAACAGCAACCACTACCTAGGTAAGCTAAAAAGCAAGAGTCCAGGTGCAGGGAGGCCGGACGGTCATGGCTGTTTTCGCAATGGTACACACACACCAGCTAGACGTGTGAATGCATATTGGAATAGCCCCTTAGATGGACCGGTGATAACTGAGGCAATGGAAGGATTCAGATGGCCCGGTAAGTGCTGGAAGCTTCTAAGAGCGCTCTATGGCTGACGCAACCCATCGAGACAAAGGTCCGGACTGCCCTGGGCCTAAGAGTTGTTTGGGAGAACCTCTGTCGCCTTGCAGTGGAGCAAATCATTGTAACTCTATGTGTGTCCGTGCCAGCTACTGAAATCAGGCACAAGCTGCATGAAGCAGGGGAGTGTCGAGATACGAGAGATCTTGAGCTTAGTTTATGAGGTATCACATTGTCCGAGGCATACAAAGGAGAGCCCGTTGGCCCTTCTAGAATCCATGCAACTCTATGGCAAGTAGAGAGCGTTTCACCACCTTTCACGGAACAGGTGATGGAAAAGTAGATGTATGGGTATCAACAAAACGTAGGGTCGGCTCAGTATGCGAAATGAAGAGAGAGAAAAAAAAAGATCTTCGGATGCCTCCACTCAAATGACAAGAAAGATTAGAGCACGGTCATAGGCCTGTTTGGGCACCAGTCACAACGCTTTATGCGTACTCCATACGGAGTGCTCTATACGGAGCACGGAGCACGGAGTATAGAGGACTTGGCGAGCTGCTCAAGTAGGCCACATAGTTCACATGCAGAATTGCATATATCCCCCTGACTCAACAATGCATCTGAAAGGAGGAGAGAATTGATGGTACAATTAGTAGTCTAATGTAAGAGACCACGTAGCCCGCATGCTACAGCTGCCACGCGCAGAAGCTCCGATTTGTCCAACTGCGTGGGCAGAAACGATGTGCTCGCTGCGCTCGGACTGAGGCTCAGTGCGTGACAAGGCCTTCAAGGCGAGGTTGGCAAGGAAAGAAGTCAGGATCGAGGAGGTAGGAAGTATCGCTAGATAGACCTTCGCCTTGCAGCAGCCATCACGGCTTAGGAGGAACCTCCGCAGAGATGTCCAGCCATGGGAAGGGAAGCCTCGTAAGTGAGTGATATTCCCAGCTGAACCCTTGGTCAATGTTAATATATGTATTTCTTCTCAGGCCATGTACAGCGCAGACGCGCACGTGGGTCTGATTCTACGCCGTCGTTGGAAATCCTAAACTTCCGATCATGATCTCACATTACCGGCTGTCTATAGTACTATGCCCTGACCATAGCATAGATGCTGCAATTCTGGTCTGGGGCCAACAGGGATGAACCTAATGGAGTCTCAGACTGGCATCTTTATATCGCACTCAATACCTATGGAGCTGGTCAGCGAATGAAACAATGAGCAAGGGACGTTAGGCGACACTATCGATGATCGATCGTACCCGAGGAACAACGAACACGACTTAGACGATGAATGGATTGAAGCGTTGTTCAATCTCAAGGCGAAACTAGGAAAAGCCCCAAAGAGCGATTCTCAAGTTCAATCTGGCGAGCGAGAAAGGCCTCGTGGATATTGAAGCGTCAAGGCTGGACACAAACCGTGATACATCTGTCCTCGAGCCGTCCACGGAAACCCACGATGAGTCCACGAGTATTGCCTGATAGACTCGTGGTGTGAAAGTATCATACCAATGGCACAGCTCGATCCAATATTTGACAAGACCTTGCGGGAAAAGAAGTACCTTCAGGGTTGAGCACAGGTGGATTTCTATGTGAAACAACATGGAGCTCGATACAGTGTTCTTCTTACGGACCAAGAGCTCGTCGCTGCCCAACGATTGAATCAAGACGGCCATTTGGCAATTTCTTCCGCCATACCTTGGACAGGTGGTGGACCGGGCCAGATTTCTGTGCTGTTGGGCCTTTGGTCTGTCGGCACGTTCGCAGCAGAAGATCGGCTTTGGGCTCTATGATAGGTAAGAAAGGCGAGACTCGATAGCGATGTTTATTTCACGGTGTATGTGATTTCTCTCTTTGCTAGTACTGTTATATTCTCATTATGTGGAAACTATATGAAAATGGATGCTACCTTGTAAGCAATAGAACACAGCCTGCTACATTTTAATAGCCTGCTGAGAGAGAACTTGGTCAATCGAAAAATCAATACTGGCATGAACTATCCAACAAGATTAGGCACAAATTCGCATGCCTTTTTCTTTGAGTCGTGACCCTATGACACTATAATAGGTGGTAGCAATTGTAGGAACCAGCACTGTGATTTATGCCAAACTTGTCTCGAGTTAGGGGAACTTACTAGTTCTGGTAGGGGGCCCCGGGGGGTTACAGGGCTTTCGATCATACCTTTGCTCGCCTCGTCTCCCTCGATATGGAATCCACGCGCATGGCATATGTCGCGAGTAACTCACCATAAAACCCTGCTTGCATACCAACAGTGGATGGGGTAATGGGCGAGGCCAGGGTAGGTGGATCGTACGTGGATCGGGGTGCAGTTGAGTAGAGTGGAAGTTTTCTCACGTCCAAGGGCTGTCGCAAGTCGATCATGTGTTAAATAAACACATACAAGAAGTGAATAGACCAAAACTAAGAAGACAGACAGTAAAAATGTCTCCAAAAAAAGATGTGCATCATCCGTGAATCGAACACGGGCCTCGTCGATGGCAACGACGAATTCTACCACTAGACCAATGATGCTAGTTGAGTGAAAGAGGTTTAGGAATTTACAACCTCATTCACTCAAGCTCTCAGCATCTGGTGGATCTCATAGACTGTCGAACCGAATACCCGAGTCCCGAGAGAAAGGACTGAGAAGCTGGTTGTGTTGGACCCTCCGCAACGCCATGTCTTTTATAGCGGCGATCATGTATGAACCAGCAAGGCTGTACGTAGATTATTCCATTCAAGAGGCCGGAGGTCGAGGTTTCTCGTTCGATCGCATTGGAAGTAGATAGATGTCCCCTGGTTTGTTTGAACGCCAATTCGTGTCTGATAAGGTGTGCGAGGGATAGTTGTTCTGGCCTGTGTCTTGTCGGCAAAGAAGGATCAAGATGCTAACCTGGCGCATGAAAAAATCGTGGCGCATCTGGTGGTCGTGTTCGATGCGACTTCTTGCGCAATGTGTTGAGCCTTTTCCAGGATCTATTGATCTGGAATTGCATAGTGAACATCAAGGACCGAAAGGCATGGAAGCACTGAGGACCAATTCTTGCACTGGGAGAGCCGTGAGCGATGAGGTGTGAAGCATGAGGGTTTGGAACTCGTCTTGGATATTGTTGGCTCGATCCTGGTTCTGGACCCTGAATTTTTCCTTCGATCAAGGAGAAAAGGGGGAAATAGTCGCTCAAAATGTGATATAGAACTGATCACATGGCAAGCACAGGAGCAAGTATCCTCGAACTCCCTCACACACCGACTGAAGCTCGAATCCGAACACAACTAATGATCGCGCAGATCAGCTGCACAGTCCCTGGTTTAGTAGACTAGTGCCGTTGCACTCTCGCTTGGCGTTGATTGCCAACTCGATGGGTTTGTCATTTGGGAAAGATCGCCATGATCGTCGCCATACTATGCCCATGAGTGGGGAAATAGAAGGGAGATCAAACAATCAAGAGCGACTCAAGGGCATATAAATGCGAGCTCCCCCGGACTGACACAAGGCATCAACCCCAATTCATTGGGATAATCTGCATGATGTCCCGACAGATCGTGCTGTGCTTTGATGGCACAGGAAACGCATTCCACACCAATGGCACCGAGACGAATATCCTGAAGATCTGTCGGATGTTAGAAAAGTCGGACGAGCAATGTAAGCCAGGGCCCCTCTCTTTGCTGACACCAAATCAATCATTCTAACTGTATGATAGTATGTTATTATGAACGTAAGAAGCTCGAATGCCCGCCTGAAATCACCCAGAAACCACCTCGATACTAACCCCAAGCAGCGGGAATCGGAACCGACATAACCCCTGGCTCTCTGGCAAGCACGACTATTCGAAAGAGCAGCAAACTTGGCAACAGCAAGGCAATTAACCTTGCCCTAGGCAAATCCTTCGATCGCCATGTCCTAGGTGGGTATCGCTTCCTGATGCGCCATTACCAAGCGGGAGCAAAAGTGTATATATTCGGGTTCTCGCATGGCGCATACACAGCACGGTTCCTGAACGAGATGATCGATCATGTCGGGCTTCTCGGCCCGGACAATGAGGAAGTGGTGCCTTTGATCTGGGATGCGTTTGTGTCATGGAAGTTAGGTCGCACCGATCATGACGAACGAGCGAGGATCAAGGCCTTCCGAGTCATGAAACAAAGTCGGGAGACATTATCTCGACCGATGGACCGCGTGCACTTTTTGGGCATGTTCGACGCAGTCAACAGTATTGCTGAATTTGACCTCGAGGCTGAAACTAGGCCTTCTACTCAGATCCTTCGGCATGCGGTCAGCATCGATGAGCGACGCATCAAATTCCGCCCGGTCTTGCTGCTGCCGGATAGAGAAAAGTGGGCCCGTGAACAGCCACCAGATGAAGTCAAGCCTGCAAAGGAGGTCGCCACTGGCGATTCCGAGTCCATGACTGGGCCTCCCGTTCTTCCAGAGATCCCAAACGTCAGTGTATATAGCCACAGGCGGGAGACAGAGGGAGATGGCGACAATGAGGGAGATCAGGATATTGAAGAGATGTGGTTCCCAGGTGGCCATGCAGATATTGGCGGAGGATGGAATTTGGGATTGGGCGAGGCATTGCCATTGACCCACGCACCTCTCGTCTGGATGGTACAGGAGGCACGACGCGCGGGACTCCGACTCGACCAGCGGAAGTTGGCAGCGCACAATTGCATCGAGAGTCCTGACTTCGATTCTGATGAAACCACGAACTTGAAAGAGAGAGAGGCCCTGGGATTGGAGTTGTCGGCCCCTTACAGAGCGTACGTTAATGCGCTCCACCTTGCCGGAACCAGGGGACATATTCATGATCTTCTTGCCTATGGCAATGGGTTACCCTTGACTTCCGTTCTCTCATGGCGTCTGATGGAATATCTTCCCCTTCGACGGATGGAACCCCAGGTCGATGGGACTTGGAAGGCTGTGCGCTGGCCGCCGCCTCGCGGTCGTTCTCGTGATATCCCTGTGAACGCCCGGATACACGTCTCCGCTATCCAGCGTATGAAGTTGGATCCATCATACCGTCCTGATAACCTAACATTTGGTATGGAGGATTATATGGAGGGAATCGGAAACTGGGTTGTTCACTCGCATGAAGGTGATCCAGTGCGGGAAAGATATTTTCGTGGATAGCGATGAAGAAAAACATAAACGGCGTGGAAGAACTCTGGGCTGGAAATAATCTTAGTATATAAATTTCTTACTGTTCACTTTGTCCTCATGTTTGCCCGTTCAAGCGTCTAAATGTTGTTATATTGCTTAATTAGGAAATCTATAGCATCCTGTCGTCACCCTACACCTCAAGAAACGAAAAGAAAAAAAAAAGAAGTGTCGGGGAATCGCACCCCTGACTGGGATGCTCCTTATGGCCGCGTCTCACAGGCAATCGTCGCATTTAAAGTCATTCGGTTTATGGTCTTCATTGCACAGACATTCGTCCGGACCTAAACACACTAGGCTAACTTCCCAGGATTACTGATTTCACTCCGGATTCTTCCAAGTATTGAACCTCACTTCTTCACTTCTTCACTCACCTCGACATCAACATCTCCCTCCCGATGCATCTGCTTCTTACTTACCCTCTTCGCTCCTCTTCATGCTGTTTTATCAGTCGCAACCCTTAGCTGCTTGCACATGCTCCTATAATTTTGAAGTCTCCACAGCCTTCGCCCAGTAAACCGCCTTTTCTCTCGAACCGAGCTATAAGCAATTTCATGCCTTTCCTAGTGTGGTATTCTCCCCTCTCACCTTTATTGTGAAGCACTATTTCGTTGATTAATCACTTTTTAAGCTCTATTGGCCTCTAATTCCCCAGCGTCAAATCGCCATAACAACACCCGTCATGTTGGTACTGGTTACACGCCCAGATAACTAGGTAGTAGTATAGTGTACATATGTATCAAAGGATATGATCGCACGTGTCCCTCGTAGCCCCGAGACAAGACATTCGTACTTAAAATTGACTTTAACACTCTACAATGTCAGTTACAGTCCATAACCTTTCGACTAAGTAACTTAGAACTACAACCTCAAGTATATATTTTTTTGAGAATGGGAGAGAATGAGAAAGAGTAAATAAGCAACAACATAATAGATTCCGAGAAACTGAAAGCTACAACAAGAATATTTGGACTCAAGCATTTTCACAATGAGACTCCAATGACGATGACGATGACGATGACGACGAAGACGAAGAAGACGAAGACGAAGACGAAGACGAAGACGAAGAGGACGAAGAAGATGAAGAAGAAGAAGAAGAAGAAGAAGAAGAAGAAGAAGAAGAAGGCCTTGGCAATGTTGGTTGCAGCGATGTGAGAACGGAGTGACAAGATGTCATGTAATGGAGAACGCACTTTGTACCGATAAAGTTGATCATCTGAGCAGGCCAATGCATGGATTGAGCCGCCGGCTGGGTCTGAGGCGTTCGATTTGTTTCAAGTTTGAGGGACCACTCCGCGTGGGCTTGATCATGAAAACAGACAGGTCTTTCTATACTGCGTGACCATGTAGCTGCGAAGTTTATTATAGAGTTTTCGAGGAGTGGCTAATAATAATGTTTTGGTGAATGCCGGGTTGCAGCGGTGATTGTGATGGTCCATGGGGAGATATCGTGGCGCATTGAAGATTATCATAGAAGGTCGTCTCCGAGGCAGGTTGTAGCTGAAATGTCATCATGGTGGAAATAGTGGAAGAAATCTTGCAGAAGTATCTCAAGAAGGCAAGGCGGGTCGTATATGCTCATGAACGGCGAGCATGTAAGATAATCTGTGAAAGAAGGTTGACATGAAGACCGTTCAGGTTATGATAAATGGCCATGGCGAAAATAGCAGGAGATCTATCATCTTCACAATGTCTGATCAAGTCATCTGGGGTGGTTTTTGGTGAATGGTCATCGTATTGGAAACACTGGAAGGTCCGTAAAGTTCGTTGTCATACAGACAGATCAAGTCGTCAGAGAAGTAGACCATGCTCGCCAGGGTGAAAGATGGAGAATAAAAAAGGTCTCACAAAGGAGAAGTTTTGTGGTAAGATGTCCTCCTGGTGCTGGGGTTCTATCCTTCTCAAGGCTGTCCGGATTCTCGAAGTTGTCATGTTGGGTCGAATGGTCCTCAGTGGTTGTTTGAAAGCTTGTCGGGGGTTTCAGAATCTTCATGGATTGCATGTTTAGAAGGTTTCATTGTCATCTTGGCTCATTTGGATGGAAATGTTGTCGTATGTTGTTGTGGATAATCAGGATTTGGAGAATTGACAGGGATTTCGGAATCTTCATGAGTTGGTCGTTGGCACGGATGACTTTCATGGTTGTCTTGGGTCGTTTGAGGGGAGGGATTGTCATGGGTTGTCTTGGAGAATTCTCTTGCGTTTCAGGGTTGTCATCGTTATGGTTGGTTTGGAATGTGGTGTATTCTCAGAATCTGGGTTGTAGGTCGGTTGTAGGTTTTTTTTTGTTCGATTGTATGAAGACTTGTCAAATATTTTGAAGTGCATGGTTGTCATGATCGGCCAGGAAAGTTGGATTGGCAGGATTGGCAGGATTGGCATGGTGAATGAGATGGGGAATCCCCATGGAGAAAATAGTGGGTGGTCGTTAAGCTTGATGGTGGGCACGCTTGACTCGGTGGAAGTGGTAGTCGATTTTCAAGATCAGGCCAGAAGACGGAAGCAGAACAAATTGCGGAGGAGGAAACAAATGATCAGGAGCTAGGTCGTAGGAAAGATAACTGAGCGATAGGACGGATAGTTGAGGCAGGCCAAATGAATTCAGAGGCAGGACCAAGTCAGGCTGTTAGCCCGGGACAAATCGTGGAAGACCAGCAAAGTCAAAGCGAGGGGCTAGGGTAAATAACCGCGATCATAAATGTTCAAGATGAAAGAGCTCGGAGTTGATTGTCGCCACCGTAGATATTATCGTCACCGTGAATGGCCCACCATCAAAGTTTCTAGAAACGAGTCAGTTTTTCCATCTTTCTTTGGAGGGCAAGGGAATAATAGTTATCAATGATTATAGATGATTGAGAGGACTGATGGTGGGCACGGTGGACAATGGGTGGACACAGAGGGTGGTCAAACTCAGCAATTTTTGAGAACGTCTCACGAAGAAGCATGTAGATAGGGCCAGAAAACAAAAATGTGGTCAAAGCCTGGAAGGTTTAGATCTTGGAAGCATATAGACAGAGATTCATCAAGGATATAGACAAGGTGAATAGCAAATCCTGTCGAAGTTGTCATTGCCATGCTAACATATGGGCATAGTCAACACCGTGTATGGCCCCGCCATCAGAGTATCTAACAATGAGTAAGTGTACTGGATGTGACAGCTGAGGGGAAGGGGGTTAGCCATGAGTCACAGAAAGAACAGGCCTTTCTAGGCCCGCAATCGATTCTGATATCGGATGGTGGGAATGGTAGACATGGGCATGGATAGTGGACAGCGAAGAGAGGAGAGAGGAGAGAGCGACGACCAAGTTCAATAGCCGAACATGAAAAGTTGAAGTTAGCGTGAATCAAGAAAAGCAAGAATAAACAAAGAAGAATAAAAGCATGTGGTCAAGGATTGGATGGCTGCACTGTTGTCGAGTCAACACCATAGAAGATCCCACCATCGACCTGAAAAAGAGTCAGCTTGTCCATCCCGTTAGAATTGGATCAAGGGAAGGATAGATGATCTCATGTATGGTTCCAATGTTGCCATGGTGTGTGACCATGGGGTGCATGTGCTCGAGGCGAAAAGTGCCCAGTTGACACGGGAGGGATGGAGAGAAAGAAGAGAGTGGAGGAGGAAAAAAGAAAAGAGGGCAAGAGTGGGCGAAGGGCAAGTATTTATACCCCGTCTCTCCAACGTTCTTGGGAAGGTACGCGGGTCGTGGGTTGTGGCTTCCCTTTTGGTCAGAGACTGTCAACAACATACCAAATTGGGCAGGTGCCTGTGTATACATTATGTACATTTTGTACAGATCCATACATGTACATTACATGTATGTAGTCTCTACCTATTCATACATGTATACGCCGTGCATGCAGGTAGACTCCTGTCTACAAGACCCAAAAGGACACAGCCCCGCCTATGCATTACAGAATCAAAGAGGTTCGTATTTTCGTATGGACAGGCTAAGCACTCCCAGGTAGTCTCACACAGGAATCGCAAGAATACCATCATAAGAGCAATCAAACCGAATGCCTTCCTCGGGCTTCTCCATGCAAGACCATTCGGTGCCCGAGGTCACGACAACAAAACCATTCTCCTGAATCGGACCCGAGACCCTCTCGAGCTCCAAGATGAACTTGTGGAAGTCGACGGCACCACCGGGGAATCGGACATAATATTGACCGTTGTCGCATGTGGCACCTATCTCGGGCTTCCCTCCATAGGTCCTGAAGTGGGAATCATACCAGTCAGCATCTGCTACTACCCAATGTGTGTCTCCAATTCCGGGATTGGACTTACCAGTTCAAGTTGCAGTCGGTAGGGGTGTCATCGGGGTAGTTTGGATCGGTAACCACGAAGTGCATACTCGCAGCGGAGCTGTTGGAAGCTGTAGCTCGGAGCTCACTGACCTGGAGAAAGTTGTCTCGCTCGACAAAGCGAGAGGCGAAGACCGAGCTGGCAGCTAAGAGAAGGGAAGTGGCGGTGAACTTCATATTAACCTGATTATAGAGACAATGGATATACCGTGGAGATACTATTTTGTCCTTCCAGAGATTTCTAGCGAGATTGAGTGGTCTTTATACCTCTCTAGCTGGCTTTCCTCAAGTATACGAGCCTGACTGAAACATCTGCCTAAACAAAGCCAACCAGGTTGGTGATTGACCCTCAAGACAGATCGTAACTTGCCGCCGAGCAAGGCAAATGTAACATCATGCAGCCTTTCCAAAAGTAAGTTACTCTGACAGACTCACAGATTGGATGGTATTCACGCGTTTCTATTTTGAGACTCGTTCTGATGCACTTTTTAAGGCCTCCCAGTACGTCTTGGCATCTGCGGTGTCGATCACTTCTCTGTGCAATCGAGACTCGGGGGACCCGATTCATGCGAAGCGACACAAACATGACAGATTCAGTCTCTCTAACTGCCTAGCTGGTTCATACTAAGGCGACTTCACTTGCAGTTCATCCCGAAAGGGAACGTGGCCAAAAGAAATACGTTTCTTTTTCTCCACATTACACAGGGGGACCCCTTCTTCAGCGGCCGCAGACTTGATAACTGGCACAAGAAGCACATGAACTCCCATCTAAAAATCAAAAAATATCGAACAGACACATGGCATGGATTGCTCATGTGCTTCTGTGGCGTGGGCTGAACAAGATCATCCGAGATCAACGTGGAAGCGTACAGATCCATCCATAAAGCACTCCGTCCTCCGTACGGAGTATACGGCCAAACGAGGATTTGCTGCACGAACCGTCTCTGCCGCCTGAGAGAGTCGACCAGAGCAGACTAACCCAGAGCGGAAATACTCCGAGCCAAGTCTCGATGTCAGAAGCACAGCACCGCCGATCTCCTTTGAATGCTTGGCATCCATCTTGGCTTGACTTGGGCGACCGTTGAAGCCAAGAACTGGCACGCGAGTCTCACTCAAATTTGCGAAAGAAAAGAGGTCAGGATGCTGGGGAATGGATCGGGAAACGGTCCGTTGGAAATATAGGTATACAACGTACAGATAGGTTGGACCCCATCTCACACGGCAATCAAAATCGAAATGGCCCAGATGTGGGCAGAATTTGCAAATTGGCTTGAATGAGAATGCGCACCATCCTCCAGAAGACCAAGGATTTTTTATTACCTCCGATATTCGCGCAATTTCGGGGGCAATGCCAAACAGTTAGTTTGCCGAAGGTTTTACTTGGCCCCTGGGAAATCAAAGATTTGGTCACATCCTGGTATGCGACAGATTGTTTCTTTTGCCTATGATTATGCAACAAGACTTGCCAGTGTCAAGCAGGTCTTTGGAAGTGCAATGGAAATGCCGCTGCCGGGGATTGCTATCTTCCTGGAATAAGCCACGTCCGGGTCGATGGGGCGAGAAAGTGGACGAAACCTTCCTGCGACGCTAGAAGCAGAGGTATCCCTTGTTGATTGGACAGGGAGAATGCGGATTCTTATCAGATCATCTGATAGGAGATGCCAAACATCTGGACTTTGCGTGGTAAACCAGGACACGTTTCTCTATATAATGTTGAATCGAATGCCCTAATTTCTCGTGGCCCTTTGAACAGCTTTCCACAGTTGCTAGGGCGAATCATTGGACTTGTTGCCTTTTGGAACAATGGAAAAACCAACCGTGTCTGATCAGGTCACACCCGCCAGTATGAGCCATGATGCCGAGAAGACGGCAGGAGTCCACCAGACCGAGAATGATCTATCTGACGACAAGGCAAGTCTGTCTAGTCAAGACTTGCACAACTTTCAAGGGGGAGTATGGCGAGTGCGAGCTATTACAACGGCATGGTCGACTAAGACGCTTGTCCTCATGTTCATTCTGTAAGTTTGGCCCTCGAACAACTCCGTATCCCCCTTCCCCCCTGCTAGAAGTGAAGAGAGTAATTCTAACGTCACATCGATATACAGGCTCTATCTCGTGTCATTCGTAGATGCACTTTTGAGTTCCGTCGAATCCACACTAAACCCCTATATCACGTCTTCATTCAACAAGCACGGCCTACTCACAGTCGTCAGCGTCGTATCTACGATCTTGGGTGGTTCATCCAAGCTAACACTAGCCAAGATCATCGACATCTGGGGTCGTGTAGAGGGCTTTCTCATCATGCTGGTTCTGGTCATAATCGGTCTGATCATGAAGGCTACATGCATAAGCATGGAGATGTATACCGCGGCGCACACATTATACTGGGTGGGTCACATTGGTCTAACATACGTTGTGGACATCATGTTGGCGGATATGACCTCGCTCAGAAACCGAATGTTCATGCTTGGTCTCAACGGTACACCGGGTATTGCTAGTGTCTTTGCAGGTCCAAAAATCGCCGATCTCTTCTACAACAACCTCAACTTCTACTGGGCGTTCGGTGCGTTCGCTATCATGATGGTTGGAGTTAGCATTCCAGTCGCTGTGGTGATGCTGTTCATGCAGCGCCGGGCTGAAAAATCTGGTATACTTGAGAAGAGCCGTTCTGGGCGTGTATGGTGGCAGTCTATTGTGCACTATCTCATCGAGTTTGACGGTGTGTATGGGCATCCCTTTCCCGTATGGTGTGTGACTAACGAGACTCTAATCAAGTGATTGGAATCATCCTGATCACAGCTGCGTTTTCCCTAATCCTGCTCCCCTTCAGCATTGCCTCCTATGGCCCCAAGGGCTGGGCGACTGGATACATCATCGCGATGGAAGTCCTCGGGGTAGCATGCGTGCCAGCGTTCTACCTCTGGGAGCGATATGGGTCTCCCGTGCAGTTCCTTCCATGGAAGTATTTGAAAGAACCAACAGTGATCGGTTCATGCTTGTTATACGGCGTAATGTTTATTTCCTGCTTGTGAGTGCCACAAATTTCCAGTCAAGCCCCGCTCCAAAGCATATTAACAGCTCAAATTAGTACTTGGAACAGCTACTTCGGTTCCTACCTTCAAGTTGTCAACAGACTCGACATCGTCACATCCGGCTACGTGCTCAACTCTTTCTCCTTGACCTCCTATATCTTCAGCCCGATCTTCGGCCTGTAAGGATCATCTATCCTATCATAGACTCCAAAACTATACCGTAAGAGTCTAACATAATCTCTTTCCGCAGATTGATTAGCTACACCGGTGACTTCAAATGGACTGCGATGGCCGGCGTACCAATCTTCCTCCTCGGAACAGCCCTATTAGTCCCATTCCGTGCACCAGACACACACGTTGGTCTACTGACCATGGTCCAAATCCTGGTTGGACTGGGCAGCTGCCTGTTCGCCGTGTGCGGACAACTAGCCGTAATGGCGACAGTCACCCACCAAGAGATTGCTGTGGTGATGGCAATTTGGGGACTTTTTGGATCTATAGGGGCGTCAGTAGGAGTTGCCATCGCTGGCGGTATGTGGAACAATATTCTGGAGAAGGAGCTGTACAACCGGTTGCCGGCAGCAAGCAAGCATCTGTCGACCAGTATCTTTGGCAGCTTGGTGATGCAGATGTCGTATGCAGATGGTACCCCTGAGCGAGATGCTATTGTTGGGGCCTATGCAGATCTACAGCGGAAGATGGCTATCGTTGGTGTCTGTTTTGTGCCATTTTGCATTTTGTGTACTTGGTTTTGGCGCAATGTCAATGTCAAGAAACTGGGAAAGGAGCAGACTGCTGGCAAGGTCTACTAGGTAGCTAGATTGGAGAGTTCATCTAGTGAGCCATGAAAAAGAAGAAAGATGGGACAAAATTCTACTCCTCTTGCAAGGGATCCATGATATTATTCAGAACGTAATTGATCGCTTGAGTCCATAGATTAAGCAGATATACCCAATCCTCCCAAGGTTCTCCGTTCTATGTTTTAGATACTGTGCTAGGTGCAGACTGGATGAATATCGAGTTTCTGGGGAATGGATGTATGTTTCCTTTTGGAAGTTGGAACAAATAGAATATTAAAGCATCAAGGGTCTGTGATAATCTCAAAATAGATATTTCATTTGTAACAAGGCTGCGGTTGCTATTCCTGCTCGGAAAGCACTCTTGCAAATGCGCTGGACTGCGATAAACGTCTAGCCCGGGTATATGTATAATTTGATGGGAGTGAATCTTCCTTCGAAGGGGGGTAAGGAAACGAGGCTTGCTTCCTGAACTCAGATCTTTGAGTTTGATGAGCCCAGAAAAACCTCAGATGAGTTTCTTTGATACTAAGTACTGACTTAGATTGGGGTGGTGGCTGTTGTTTGGTTAAACAAATCCCCGTTCGGGTGGCAAATACTCTCCAGCAGGAGCAGGTTATAGAACCCGGATGGCCACCAAGCTACCCAAGAGCGGGCAAAGTCCCTTGAAGGAGTATTAAATGGACCATATTGATATGATCAGCTTTAAAAGTAGATGGCAAGATCATGTCGAGTTGTCTCAACTCCCCATGGACTTTTCAGAGACCTCCTGGAATGTTTCAGGAAAGAACCCAGGTGGTGGCCAAATATCCGCAATAGAGGGTGGATTGACTAGTGGCTGTGATCCACCCAGACGATCCGGATCATGACAGAAAGCCTGGAAGGTGCTATCGTCCAAGAAACCAAAGTCTTTCAGACCAGCCTCGCGGTTCGTAGACCATTCTGTGGCATCTAGGTATGCGAGATCGTTGAATATAGCGTCGAGGTCACCGGAGGAACCTATGCTTCCTGGTATCATTGGGTTCGAAGTTGCCGATTCGGGAGTTTGTGGTTGGTGATGCTGCTGCGTGCTAAGTGATCCATAGACGGAATCTGTTCTGCTGCGCGGCGCAATATATGTGTCTGACGGGACTAACTGCGCTTCCCTTCGTTGGTGGATTGGCACATCCATAATTAAATCGACATTCTCCATAACCGTATCCTGTTGGCTTGCCAAAGGTTGCCCATCGACTGGCATGGTGATGCCAAGAATGGAAGATGCATAATCTGCTTCGCCATTTGGGACTAGACTGTGAGGTCCGCCTGGGGGTGGCATGGGCCCTGCTCCTGATGCAGCCGAGAATGAGAGGTCAGATGTATGCCTGGCCGTCCCTGGGAAAGTGTGTGGCCCAACGATATCTTTGGATTGCTGCCACTTCTCCATGATGGAAACCAAAGAGCTATAGGCCGGCCATGTAGAGGTGAACGCTGTGGCATTGTGTCGGAACTCGTCTGCCCACCTGGCAAAAGGGAAAGTCTCCGATGGATCGACGGTAGCTCGAAGCCTGAACGCCTGCTCCGTAATTGTGCGAAGACTTAACTCAAATAGCGGTGGGAGACCGCACATCGTAAAGTTCTCCAAGTGCTGGGTGAGTATTGACAACCCTCGGTAAAGAAGCTTCTTAGCTCCCTCGGTAGCTGGGCGCTGTGAGCGGTGCAATCCCTGCTCTCCTGATATCAGCTGTAGATATAGCCAAAGCAGGGTAGCGACATAAGTCAATCCGAGGTAGCTTTGATGGGGTAGCAACGCCGAATGACGTTCTGGATAGATACTTTCCGGTCCAATTAGGCGACATCCAAGAGGGAGGCAGTCGTCCCACTGCTTGAAATCTATGACCAACTGCTGTGCAAAAGCAACCATATTATACCCTGAAGATATGTGACGGGAGATCTTATTGAGCACGCTTGCCAGTTCAACCAGGCGGTTGAAGCAGCTCAAGGCCAGAAGTGGTCCCCGGCGCGGTGGACTTTTGCTGCCCTGCGAAGCCCCCGTAGGGGGTAGAACATCCATCCAAGAGTTCCATTCCTCGAGCCCATCTTCTTCCAAAAGGCCCACGGCAGCGAGATCGCTTGGATGCATGGCTGGGCTTCGTGAAAGCCGGAACGAGAGCAACGAGTCCACCACGAAACATCCCAGGAAGACCGCCTTACCTTGTCTGGGCTCATCAGGCCGCCTGCGGTCAGACAACGTTCCAAGTCCAATAGAAATTGCCATGCGTACTGCTTGGCCGCTCAACAGCCAAGCGGCGGTCCAATCCTCGAGACCCATGTTCACCAAACTCAAGAGCAGCAACGCCTGGACGTGACCTATTTCATATCGCTCTTTCTCAGTGGGGATAAGGCTTCGCGAGACGGCATAGTATTCCTTCGCCAAATTAACCGTTCCAGCGGGACCGGCCCGTGAATTTGATCGTGATTGAGTAACAGTGTAACTCAAGATTGCCCACAGCGCGGCATGATCGCCGGATCCAGGCGATGTCGCGATAATAGAGACAGGGGCATTCGCGTAGAGATAGGAGGCGCGAAGAATATTATGTTTGGCAACCGCAGGGAACCACGAATGGGTAACGGCAAAATAGATATCCAGCAGCTGCGAAGTCTGAGGCGGCAACTGCAGCGCATGGGGACTGGGTCCAGATATATCCCGACCCTCTGACCCTTGCGATAATCGAGCGCGCTTGACAGCCGGCGGTTCAGCGAAGGGACCAACCACGCGTGGAGCATCTGGACCCAATGGGGTGGAAGTTCGTACTACTCGGAACCCCCACTGGCTGTCCGCACCATTATCTTGCGGGTTACGCGATCGTTTTCCTGTCGCCGGCCCCGGCGCGTCGGAATTTGAGAGCATTTTCTCCAGCGCGCCGCACAGGCGACTCGTCTTGAAAGATTCGTGCAGACTCTCCGCAGCACTGTCATCCGACCACAGTGACATTAATTTCTCGCGACGACCGGCAGATTCGGCGGTGGCTCCTAACATGGCCAACATGGTATCCTCGAAGCCGTCAATATTGCAGATCGACAGCGCCCAGAGCTTCTCCAAACCACGAACGTAGCCCTCGGGCAAACCGCGTTTCTTCGCGTGCGGATCGTAGGAGCAGAACTGGCCCGAGGCCTGGCAGGCGGAACAAGTGGGTCGAATACCGTCACATTTATCCTAGGGTCGAGACGTTAGACTGGGCAAGGACGAAATGCGAGAGAAGGAAATCGTCGAATGACACTCACTTTCTTACTGCGACAGCGATCACAAGCTCGGGAGACCCTCTTACGCCGAGGGACCTGATCTGATACCTCATCCATGAGGAGAGTGGATTAGGGCAGTCAGCGCGCCATGTAGAGAGAAGGAGTAAGTCAAGACCTCAATCCCCTCACTAGACCGCACCAGAATCGAGGAGTTATGTGAGATCGCGCAGATCGGATTAAGGGCTGAGACGAGAGAATTACGCAGACACGCGGATCGAGACCAATGTCCGCAATTAGAAAAGTGGAGGAGCAGACTCTATAGAATCAAAACTCATTAGGCCCGGGAGGCAAAACGCTCGGAATGTGATCTCGGACACGAAGTTCGGGATGTGAAGGTCGTAATGTTCGGGGGTCTCCACGTCCCCCACAGACTCCCACATGTCTCCGAGAGCTTCAGCCGTTGATATATACAGTTGGATCGGATTGTTGTTCTATATTTATCCATAGACTATGCGGAATCACTTTTTGATCTGTCAATATGGAGTAGATGTATACTCAATCCTCTGAGACACAGACACTTGTGCTGGACTGGGATGCTTCTGTATGACCGACACTCCTGAGGCAGTAAGGCAATAAGGCACCCAGGCACCAAGGCATTCGATCACGAGACCAATGCTGTCCTCCGTACTGACCCCCGGTGTCCCCGGTCCCCGTACTTCATACGCTCTTTCGGACTTGATTCCGATTGTGCGGAACTGACCCCGCGAGAGGTGGATATCCCACTGGCTATTATCCACTGAAATGACGGTAAGAGGCACCGAGGGTGTTAGCTCCACCCCTGTCATGCCTGACTTACAAGATGCAAGATACTCGAATCTACCGAGTACGCTTTTGTACGAAGTAGATGATACCCAACAGGACGAGCATGTACTGACTCACGACCTCGGATGGTACCGAGGGCACGTCTCTACGATGCGACATCTGAGGTCAAGGGAAAAGCCTTTTGCCGGGCGAATCACTTGGCGACCCCCCGAGACAGTCGGCAGTTCCTCATCTGGGGGAAAATGTCATCCGCATTATAATTGAAGCTATACAATCACCAAGAAACAATTCAAACTATCTGGGTACACTTTCTATTTTGTCCCGAGCTGGAGCGGTCGTGTCTTCCACAATTCTCGACGTCTCCCCGCATTCCGTTTTGGTACCTTGAGTGTTTTGATCATGGCGCTCGTTCAGTCGACATAGAATCCAATTGATATATCGCCCTCTCAACATGCCCGATTCTAAACCTTTTCTTCCTCCTGCGGTCGGCAACACCGAGTCTGGCGCCTCTCCGTATACCAAGGAACTCTCCCCTCACACCAAGCTGCGCCCTGAGTCCGACGCTCCTCGCACGTTTGCTCCCGGCGCATCCCTCGTCTTAGTCGGCATCCGCGGATGCGGTAAGCGTTCACTGGGGTTTGTCGCCGCTACAGCGCTAAAGCGACGCTTCATTACTGAAGACCACTACTTCCGGGAAGTCACAGGCGTCACTCGTCAGGAATACCTCAAGCGCCATGGCAGTCAGGAATTCCAGCGCCGGGATATCGAAGTCCTGAAGATGATGCTGGATAACCACCGCTCGGGCTGTGTCATGGAGTGTGGGTTGGCTAGTTTAACCCGACCCGTGCAGGATCATCTGCGTCGATATGCCCGATCTAACCCGGTGGTTCATCTGCTCCGCGATATTGATTGCATTCAGCAGTTGCTCGGCCTGGAGGACCAGGCGGTGCGCCTGTTCCGGGAGGGGGACCCGATGCATCAGATGTGCTCGAATTTCGAATTTTATAATTTGGAAGATCGAACACGAGCGTTGGATGATGGATGCCAGGATCGTCGGTCGATTGACTATTCCTTCAAGTTACAAGAGGTGAAGGAGGATTTCACGCGGTTTGTACAGTTCATCACTGGGCGTGATGTGAGTTATTCAAGCTATGACTCGCCCTTTGTTCTGCTGGAGACGCCACCCGAGCTTCGCTCTTTCACCCATGCCATTTTTGTGCGATCTTCAGATCTGATTGCCAACAATGTCAAAGTGGCTGAACTTGAGTCTGGTGGCGACGCCATCGAGCTTTGTGTTGATCGCTGGAGCCCAGAGATGGCGGCTATCATCAGCAAAGAGGTCTCTGTCCTGCGTCGAAATGCGCGGGCGCCCATTGTCCTCTCTGTCGACGTCTCTTCAACGGGAATTGGCTCCCAAAAACCAGTATCCTCTTCTTCCCGAACCTACTTCGATATTCTTGATCATGGTCTACGCCTGGGGGTGGAATATCTTGTTGTAAACCTGACCCAAGATCGATCTAGGCTGGCTAGGGTTATCAAAGGTCGCGGGAATACTAAAATCATTGGCCAGCAAGTGTTTGAACCATCATCCCCCATTACTTGGGACAGCGCAGACTGCGTTGCTATCTATCACGAAGCCGAGAAGCTCGGCTGCCAGCTAATACGTCTCCTTCGAATTGCAACAAAACGCGAGGAAAATGCAGCAGTGATAGAGTTCTCTAACAAAATCCGATCGCTCCCGGGGGATCATCCACCGCTTATTGCCTATAACATCGGAAGCTTGGGCCGTACATCACAGGTTTTCAACTCAATCCTCACCGCAGTGACACATCCAGCGATCACCCAGTCAGCAGAAAACAAGCATGACCCACAAATAACATCGCGCGACGCAGTCCGCGCTCTCTTTGAAAGCTATGTGCTTGACCCGCTCGATTTCTATATTTGCGGAGAGAATGTCACTTATAGTCTATCCCCAGCGATGCACAATGCCGCGTACCAGCACTGTGGCATGGGCCATACCTACAGTATCCCCGACTCGCCATCTCTCGCAGTGCTAGACCGGCTCGGTCGGGACCCGCAATTCGGAGGATCGAGTGTTGTTCAGCCATGGCGTGTCGAGGTCTATCAGAAACTGGCCTCGAAAAGCCGACATGCAGAAGCCATCGGAGCGATTAACACGATCATGCCATTACGCGGGCATGCGGACGGAAAGATGTTCCCGCTCCAAGAACAAGCTGGTCGACGTAATCAAGCTGGGCGCGTGCTGGGTTGGTACGGTGAGAACACCGACTGGGTGGGAATAATGACGTGCATCCAGCGACATCTCTCCCCACGCAACGCAATCAGCGCGAGAACAACCGGCTTGGTTATTGGAGCCGGTGGCATGGCGCGAGCCGCCATATACGCCATGCTCCGACTTGGCTGTCGAAAGATCTTCATATACAACCGCACGCAGTCGCGTGCCGAGGAGGTCGCGTGCCATTTCAACTCTTGGGCTTCATCGCAGGTAGACTCGGTCGAGGTGGTGCGAGTTTTGCAGTCACTCCAGGAAAGCTGGCCCGCAGACGCGGCCCAACCCAGTCTCGTTGCGTCTTGTGTGCCAGCTGACCCAGACAGAGATGAACCTCCCGCAAACTTTGAGATGCCGATTCAATGGCTTGGGAGTCCTACAGGTGGTGTGATACTCGAGGTGAGTTTCCTCCCAGGCTGGTGTGTGGCCCGGGGATATAGATATGTCTGTAATACGTACTGATGGGACATAGTTGGCCTATAAACCCCTCGACACGCCACTTCTACAACAAATGCGCCGAGTCCGTAGCGAAACTGGACGACCTTGGGTGCTGTCTGACGGCTTGGAGAATGTTACTGAGCAGGGAATTGCTCAATTTGAGTTGATGACAGGTCGCAAAGCGCCTCGGCGTCTCATGACCTATGAGGTTCTCCGCAATTATGTAGGTGACAGTGGACGGTTTGACGAGAAAATGATTCAGGCTCGTCTGGATGGCGTTGGGTCTCCAGTGACTGGGCATAAGGAATAGCTTGCAGTATATGTTGTCCAAATTAAATACCAATTTTATCTCCATGATCATTCACTCTACTCGCTATTGTTTGTCAGTTCCTCACGGTGATGCTGATAACACGCACTTTCGTTATCGGCACACCGCCCTGAGATATACCCCCCAAGGCTCATGTCTGTTGTTTGGGGGTCTCCTCGTCAGCTTCACTTCACTTGGTCCCCCTTGGAAGTCCTTCGGTGTGACACCAGCCATATATCATATCTGAAAGAATTGGGTCGACAATAATAACCCTAGCTCCGATGCCAGGCTTTTCGCCCGAGCAAACCGACTCGATAACGGCAACATGGAAGAAACGCAAGCGGGACCATGAGGAGCCAAGGGCTCTGGCTCGTCCGTAAGTCTGGCAGTGGACTCCGGCGATTCACCATTGGATAGCCGATAAACTAACGGTTATCACCAGTGCCGCATTTGTCCCATCCTCCTTCCGAGTAGATTGCCCCGAATACGACACCGGCTGTTCGCTGCCTCTATCACGACACCCAGAGGGGACAGACATCTCCTTCCGACCACGCTGCCTCCCCCGCAAGCGCCGACACATCCAAAGTCCCTATCTCACACTGCCACCTCACCAGCATCTACATCAAACCCAGCAATCCCCAGCCCATCTCTCCCCTAACGTCTACGGCGCCCCAAATCAAGATCCGTATTCACCTCCGGTCTCCCCCAAAACTCTCGTCCCTCTCCACTACCCAAATCAACAATCGGCATCTCCTTCTGCCCTGCGGCCGTGTCATATCTGCCATCGCCGCCCAACGACACGGCAAGTACTCGACGCCTACGCGGACTGCGATCTCTGCCACGAGCGGGCATGCTTTATCTGCCTTCGTCAATGCGATAGCATCAACTGCAGCGGGACATTTGCCCAATCAGCAAGCGCAGGAATGCACATGCAAACGAGCGGGAATGACGACGCCTACGATGGGCACGAGACACCGCGGAGGAAGATATGTTCTAGCTGTGCTGTGGAGGACGTGACAGAGACTGGGGCAGAGATCGTGCGCTGCCTCGACTGTGTACGTGGTGCAAACTCGGCCTGGACTGCTGCAGCTATTCCATCTGGCTGGGCTTTGGACGATATGACCGAATGACAAGATGATAACTATGATACAACACTTCACCCACGGCCCTCTTGGGTTGTTTCTGCTGCTCCTGGGTGCGGAGTGGCTCTTTCGGAGTTTGATAATGAGGATAGGATTGGGCTGGACTGGACAGGACGGGATTCGACCGGTAGATCGTTTCTTTGGTGCTATTTGAACTTGCGGCATGGCGATTATTGATTTTTCTGCTCTTCTATTCTTCTTTTATTCTTCTTTTATTCCTCTTTTATTCCTCTTTTATTCTTCTTGACTTTTGGATATTTTATTTTCTTGGCATATAGCATAAACATTATAGCATAATGATACCAGAATCACATTTTTATATACTCGGACGCTCAAATGACTCGGAAATGGGTGTGCGAGGGCAGTGGGATGTATAAGGGACCAGTATTCCGAAATAGGAAGGTAATCCTACGATACTTCTTGGATATCGAAGTCAACCTTTAGAAAGATCCAAGCCGTCCAGATATAAGAGAAGCCAGTGGAAATCTCTAGTACGCGCTAGAAATAGACTGTGCATCCCTCAAGGACCAGGATCAATGTAGTGCTCATGCCCTCCAGGGTAGGTGTGGCCTTGTGGTTTAGATTCCCCATCCACTGCGCCTATTCTATCAAGGTAAAGGTCTGCAGCGACCCCCTTCGCAGCAGCTGAACATGATTGTTCGACCCTGCGCGCGAGCAAATCAAATCCCACAAACTTTCCACTTTCCAACAAGCTCGTTAGCCCGAGGGTTGCCGCCTATCCTTTTATCCTTTTATGCTTGTATCTTTCCCCCCTTTTTTTCACTTGCGTTGGTGTGAAAGACCAGAGGGACAATCTTAGAAGTGGATATACCGCTACTTATATCAAGCTAGATGGCTGGACACTAGGATGAATGCAACAGAAAACCGATGGAATATCATGCTAGAATAGAGACAGAGCCCATGAACAGGATCAAGAAAAGAATAAAGGGTATAACTAAAATTAACAGCCAATATACCCATTCATATCCACAGCCCGTATCATCTCAACCCCCAGCTCTTCTAAAGTACTCCTCATTCTACCTTCCAAATCTCATCTGTGCCCCGGCAAAGTGCCAAAGACCACGCATATATCCCTGGTATTCAACAGCCTCCCCATCTCCACTGAGCCCATGGCTATGCCCGCCAGTGCAATACATCTCTGTCAAGCGAATCTGCCAAGGTGGGTAACCATCAAGCTTGAGGAGTGGACCAAACACAAGCAACAGATCTGGTTCCGGTTTGAGTACGGTGTCTGTGAGGGCCGAGTCCAGAGTCAAAGGCTGTGTGGTGATCTCGCTGATTTCCGCGTCAACTAGCTCTGGTGTGATATCCTGCGGTGAGAGCTTGCCGTTCTGGCTCATCTCCGCCAGTGTCTTGGTAAGGTCAACAAGGGTCTCGCGGCCGTCTGTGGAGGAGAGGAGGAGGATTGTCAGGGTGGGATTGTCCGGTTTGATGTTACCATTATTGGCGCGGTGGACTGGGTGGTGAGGGGCGTAGAGCTGCAGGTTTGGTTGTTGGCTGGGGGTGCCGTAGTACGAGGCGAGCTTGGTGGTGATGATCTGGTGCAGGGCTGGAATGCAAGATTTGAGGACTCCTAAAGAAGGATTGGTTAGTATTACAAGTAAATAGTAGAACGGGAGGACATTGAGAAATATCAGGCCATACCGGTCTTTTCATATACACTGAGCTGAGGAATGCCCGCGCACGAACTCCAGGCTGCCAATTCAGCAACCTCGTCCATCAACACGGCAAGGGCGTCATCTTCCTTCCGCAACGTGAGGATTGTACTCAAGTGTTGTGGCAATCGCTTCAGACCCCGAACATCCTTGCGAATTAGTTCGGGTGTACGGTGGTGGTGATACACAATAGCGAAAACACGATCGACAATAGCATGGTACGCCTGCAGCAGGCGCACGGCAATACCGAAGACGATGTGGATCAGCGCATAGGTAAGATGGTGGATTTGAGACTTGAAGAAACTGCGGATAGGCGTTTTGCGCGGTGTCTTGCGGCGCTCGCTGGATGTTGTCGAAGCTCGGGGCCGTGCTGGTTTCGACCCCAGCTCGTTGGGATCGGGAAGGTAGCTTTTCAGGAGTGATTCGCGCTCTGTAGTGCTAAGTTTTGTGCCGCGGGAACGCAGATCGTCGCGTAGGATCTCGCGATCTCGTTGGGAGACCATTGTTGCAAGTTGGGTGGTGGAGGAAGGGAAGTGGAGGTGTTGGATGTTCTGCTTGTACAGTTGGGTCTGCAATTTGCCTTAATGTGGGCTCACGTATGTCAACGATTTGGGTAAATAGCTAGATGCTCAAGTGTTTCAAGCTGTACTCTGTCCTCATTTCTATAAATATTCAAGCTGGACTTCGCCACTTGGGCCAGATGTCCTGTGTTGCCTGGGGACGTGCAAGCCGGAAGCCGGAAGCGGTTGGGTTTCATGTGAAAAGGGAGATTGGGAGCCATTGAGTATAGAAGGGAATGAAACATGGCAGATCAGCTTCTAGGTTAAATTCAATCATGCCAAATGGCATTCTGTGTAGACAGTATACGATGTAGTCGCTGAGAAACTCAACCCATATCGGTGCGTGGCAGTAAACACCCCCGTGGAACCAACTGATCATCATCTCCGACACGCGCATTCAGCTTTCCCCGGATTCTTCGATCCTGCGATTCATTGATTTCTCACTTCTTTACTTCCTCTGTCCTAGGGAGGAGCTTCAATTGTTCACATTCTAGGGCGACCCATGTCTGCCCGCTATCAATCATGATGGACAATGCATCCATACTCACGAGTTCCACCCGCACCGTGTTCCCCCAAGGCCCCAGTTTCAGTCTCGAGGACTTCTCCAGCCGGGACTTCATTGTCAAAGAGTTTATAGAAGCCCTCTCCGATACTGCTATCTCGTCCCGCCGCTCAATCGCCGGAACCGCCGGCGCTGCCAATCAACCTTTCGACCCCAAACCCCTCATTCGCACCTTCGAAGGCGCCCAACGCCGCCTGAGCGAGCTCTCCGGGGATCTCGAGCTGCGCGAAAATGAACTCTCAGCAGCTGTGCGACGCGCAGAAGCGCAACACGGCCAGAATCTCACTACCCTCGGCCAAAAGCTCCGGCACACGATCGAAAACTTCCAACAGCTGGACACGTCTCTCAATGGGCCTGGCCGTGAGAATCCAGGAGGGACAGGCAATATGGCAGTCGAGACTGGAAAGAAGCTAGAGGAGCTAGACCGACAACGGCGACGAGCTCTGGACGCCCATTTCCTCATTCAGTGTTGGGACGGGGTGTGCAATCGAGGTGAGATCTCGTTGCTGGAGGGGCTGCGCCGGTCTGGCACGGGAGAAGCCAAGGTGCGCTCCGCACACATTGCGCGTCAACTGCTGCGCATCAGTCAACGGCTGGATCCACAGAGCTGGCAGGAACATCGATCTCGCTCGAATGGCGGCTTTGGGGGTAGCTCCTCATCTGAGGACCTCGGTGAGAGCAGCACACCGCGACGCAACACGCGAGAGATTATTGAGAAGTTCTCCGAGACGTTGGAGAAGGACCTACTAAAGCAATTTGACGACTTCTACCGCAAGGCCAACTTCGACGGTATGAGAGATTGCGCGACTGTACTGCAAGATTTCAGTGGGGGCGCAAGTGTTATTGCATTGTTTGTCAACCAACATCAGTTCTTTATCGATCGCAGCCAGCTGGTGACGGAGGAAGTCGGTGGCGACCCGGAGTCATGGGAGAAACTAGCTGATCCAGATGCGGAACTTCCTGGTGTTGAGTCTAGCCTTCAGTCATTGATTGATGAGGTCAAAGTCGTGGTACAGGAGGAGTCTGCCATCATCCGGAGGGCTTTCCCTTACTACGAGCAAGTTCTCGGCAAGTTCCTACAACGAGTCTTCCAGCAGTCTATTCAGCAGCGGCTAGAAATGGTGCTAGAGAAAGCTGCTGGTGTATCATCGCTAGCATTCCTGCGTTGTTTACAGAGTTCCCGTGGCTATATCAGTGCCTTGATCGAAGATTTGAAGTCACACGGTTTAACCGAGCATCCGGAACCCGTTTCCTCTCAGACAGCCGTACTGCTTGACCAGCAGCTGGAAGAGCTCTTTGTCCCTTATTTCGTGGGATCTTCTTATATTGAACGTGAGAAGCGGACATTAGAGGAACTTTTCAACGCCGTTCTGTTCAGGTTCACCTCCTATCATGCCCGCCGCAAGAAGGCGGCAACAACTTTCATGGCCTCATTATCCCGTGCCGGATCAGAACTCCTTTCGACGACCCGAGATGCATTCATCAGCCGGTTGGACTCGCCAGAAATGTCCCCAATCCAGCGAAAAGTGCTGTTCAATGTAGCCAAGATTGGCGATACATTGGAGACTACGAGGTTAACCGAAATCAAACTCACGGAAGAAGACGGACAGCCAAGTCTTAGCGACGCTAAGCGGATGTTGAAGTGGCTGGCTGAAGCTGTAGGCCGGGGACTGGAGCTTAGTGTCAACAGTGACACACCCAAAGATGTGTCGGCCCTCCTCAACCTACTTCTTCTCACGATGGGAGAAGGATACGTTGATGTCTGTCTGGATGCCGCTCTGGAAGTGGCTACGTCGCAAGAAACCGGCAAGGCCGAGCCCGACTTCTCTTACCTCTTCCCATCTCGTACTACAATCAGCATTACCACTTTAATGGTGATGTGCATTCATGCAGTCCTTTTGCCTTTGTCCGCAGCAAGCATCACGACTCGCCGGGATATGGAGAAGCGTACAAATCAAGCCACCTCGCGCATCGAGGACAAAATCAACACTATCGAACAGAAGACTATTGACGGGACGTTGTCTTGGGTAAGCAGATTGTTATCTGGTCAGAAAAAGAATGACTTCCGGCCGAGGGAAAGCGACAACACTGCTTGGCTAGAGATGTTGCAAACCCCCGTATGTTTTATCTCGCCCCTTTTTCCCCTCAGGAAAATTACTAACTCAAGTAGACCTGTGCTTCGATTACCTCATTCTTGACCCGTCTCCACAACATCGCTCGAACTTCACTCCCGTCTAGCGGTGCCAATGTGCGCCAAGTCCTGACTGAGATAGCGCTCGGAGTCCGTGGACTGCTACTTGAACACTTCAAACGCTTCTCCGTCAGCGGACCAGGTGGTCTCATGGTCACCAAAGACATGACTCAATACGCAGACCTCTTCAAATCCTGGGATATCGACGAGGAGACCAAGGGACCCGGTGGCGCGCTGGACGTGCTATTGGAAGTCGGCAGTCTCTTCGTGATTGGCGTCGAGGCTCTGCGTGAACGAATCCGTGGCGGTGCTGCGAGCGGGACATCAGGTGGCCCTGGTGGATCTGCACGGAATACTAGCCAGGAGGGCAAGTTGAGCGTGCAAGAGGTGCGGGCGTATGTCTCACGCCGCGAGGACTCCAATACCTTTGCTATGCAGCAGGTTCTTAATGCGCTGTGAAGGTAAGTGAGATCATCGGGCTCTGGGCTTCTTATACCCTGTTTGGTTTGCGAAAGCGTGTCTTATGATATAGACTGGTGTAATGATAATGCATGTGATTTTTCAAGTTTTTCTCTTTGAAAACAACGTTCGAGGGGATTCCAAGTGGAGATTGCGACATCGTAACTCCCTTTTTGCCATGTGGGCTCATCGGCTTCATGATAGCAACATGATTATCATTCAGTGGCACTAGCAATAGGCAAAGATATCGATACATTGCATACAGAGAATACTGTCGTATGGAGTACATGTATACATGTCCGCACTTGATAAGAAAACGGTAGTATTATCCTCGCAGCTATACATTTTGTACCATACAGGCATCCTCTTCTTTGTATTGTTTGTTTCTTTCTCTTCGAATAGTCCACAATCCCAGCCCTAAGTTGGCCAACCCCCCATTGACGTCATTGAGACCAAAGGCACATACATACGCACGATGTCCCCTGCAAGAGGTACGCAGCACTCACGCAGCACTCCGTGCTGGAAATCCATTGCAAGGCCAACAAAAGCAATTCATTGGCTCCTGGTAATCTCCGAATTGCAGTTTCGACTCGGTGAAGAGTGGACAATCTAATCTAGTTGAGTTTGGTATAGATCATTCTTTCTATTTCCCCGTTGATGTACATGCATATGGATCTGATATGAGCTGTCACGTTTAATTTGACTCGAGACACACAGATCCTCAATTACATACATGCATATACCACCTGGGTGACTACACCGTGGGTATGCAATACTCCACAGAGTTTTCCCGAACTCGACTGTGGCTGATTTGCGGAATACGAGGTACGTACTCCGTATCCGTCTGCCGGACAGAGTCGTAGAATCAGGAAATTAGTGTCCGCCTGAATCGCAACGGCAACGTTCTTTGTCTCAATTCCGATGTCAGCTGCAAAGGTGTATAGTCCTCAGGGGTCGGTTTCGATTCGAATTGAATTTGCTGAATATGCGTGAGTTTAAGCTAGCAGGAAACGAGAATACCTGAGTTTCTATGACAGGGACCTTAACAGGGGCCTAATTAAGCTGCGTAGGTTCAACCTTGGAATGTCTTTTTTGTAGTCTTTTTTCTGGATATTTCTTCCCCTCTCAAGGTTTATATCGTAGGAATAGCTTGAACTATGGACTATGGATAGTCTGCAATACAGTGTGATAAGCATCTGGGCAGTGTCCATAGCAGTCCCAACACAGGCATATTCAGGCAGCAAATTTGATTTGAATTGAAACCCACCCCTGGGGACTATACGGAGTACAACATACACCTTCGCAGTCAGCCCAAGTGGATCCCCAATCATCGCCGAACACACCCTCGGTGCTCCGTACGGAATAGCGATGGCCCGTTTGCGTTGGACGTGACAGATCACTTCAATGTTCCCAGGGATGTGGTTCTCGTTTTTTTTTTCCCGTTTCAGTGACAATCCGATGGTATGTTCCTAATATTGAGACCAGGAACAAGGCAAAGTGATTATTGTTTCCCAAATCCTTCCTGAATACATGTACCCCGTACTTCGTACACGGCTTCCTGTTGGGATGGTTCAAGAAGATGCTTTTGAATTGAATTTTGAATTTTGCGGAACCTTGCAACGGAACCTTGGAACGTTGAGGGATCAAACCTTGGAATCGGAGTGGAGTTGAGGTTAATTGTCCCAGCGAGACGCGGAGGCGGGTAGGGGCGCATTACGTGTACAACGGACAACGGACAACGCATAACGCACAGAGTACTCCGTACAGGTTAGGTGTAGGACCCTAATGGCTACCCAGAGCTATGTGGTTCCATTGTACGGAGTAGGAAGCATGAGATAACATGACTACTCCGTACGGAGAGGTTGAGTTCGTCTGGACGAGGGTTCATGACACCTCACAGGTTACCAAAATAGACAGGTACACTTCCCATCTGGGAATAGAAGGATCACATCACACGGGTTGGCGCTAATGTACAGCATCTCAGTGTCACAGAGCCCCACGTCCATGTAGTTGTGATCCTTTATATATAGATGGGCTCGTCTCGTTTTTGTTCCATTGGTTTGGGACATTTACTACTCCGTACTATTATGTACATCAACCCTACTCCGTATACTGGATGAGTGTACTTCGTAGCGACTATTGTGTCGATGCTTTGATTCCCGGGTCCATCTTCGTTTCTATACTCTGTACCTTCTATCTTCTACACCGTTACCCTGGCCATCTTGCATACCATGTCTACATCCCGCGAGGACTTTGAGTCGCTGCCTCCGGCAGTGCGACGAAAGGTAAGGGTTTGTGATTACCATCCCTCTTCATCGCTCATCACTTCATGTCACTGTCACACTGTCGCGCTCGGACTGCGCTGTCCCTTTCTCGCGCCAATAGTGCCCTCGATCCAAGACCATCTTAACCCAAAACAGTCGCGCCCGTTTTCTTTGTTCATGGAGGCCCTTGCTTTTTTTTTTTTTCTGTTTTACCCCTGAGCCCTTGGTGGAGGCCACTACCACCCGCACTATCGTCCGTAGCGCCTATCGTTGTCTCACAGCATTGGCGCATGGGACGTTGGTTGCTCCACTCCATTTCCTCATTTTGCGATCCATTGCCCGTTGTTGTCTATCACTGTCCACAGCTGACCCAGACAGTTCTTCTCGAATGTCGAGCGTTTGCGCATTCGGCTAGCCCAGAGCGATCACGGTTCCCCTGCTTTCTCCACGTCCAACTATCAGGTGGATAATCGGGTCTATCGAAACCCTCGTTTTGTCTCGGGCTATCACTCGCGTGGTATGCGGCGCAGCTCTTCCAACAGGAAGCAAAGGCTCGAAAAACGTTCTTCTTTTTCCCCCATATTACGGCAGTCCGGCTCTCTTCAATTAGCATACTTAGCCGCCCAGGCGGACTCTCAATGCTTTCATGCTCTCCCCGCTAAGGTCCAGCAAAAGCTTTTTTCCGCCGAAGAGCGCCTGCGTTTGAAGAAGGCCTATCGTAATAGCCTGATTTACGACACTGCCGACGAAGCTTACCGACGAGATTCCAACCGGAAGCGCCGCTCGTCCACCGATAGTCACCCTTCCCAAGCGACTCTGCCAGTTGCTCAGCCACTTACAGTCTTTTATTCGGACTCCGAGTCTGACGACGAGGAAGACCGGGGCATGGATCAAGCATTCCACGATAGTTTCCGGTGGCTCGATGACGATGGTGATCTCGACTTGTCTCTCGACGAGTACCATGCTCATGTGGCAGATGCTGCGACGAAAAAGAGATCACGCCTCTCTTTCCGCCGCTCCTTATCCTTCTCTACCCAACGACGCAGACCATTAGAGATTACCCCCATCTCACCGCGTGGATTGCCACGCGTCAGCCATTCTCAACCTTTAACTCCTCTGTCCGCCCGAGCCTCGGAATCGCGCCAATCATTGCACCGATTCCAACACGGTCCCAAGTTATCCACCTCAAGCATCGACCCCTCTGCACAATACTACCAAGACCCGGATGCCCGTCTGAAATTACGGGTATATCTGGCATCGCCACAGAAGTTTGACGAAGCCATTGAATTCGGATTCCCTTCGCTGGGCCAAAATCATAAAGAGAACATTGCACCAGAGCCCATCTCACCAAAACCAACTCTGGTCAACCCGGACTTTGGCACATTCTTCGAAGATGACGATGGCACTATAATAGGAAGCCCAGGGGGATCGGTCAAAAATGAACCAGCCCCTTCGCCTGTGTGGACATCACACCGGGACACGCCCCGATCTTCCGAACCGTCGCTCCTGCAGCGTCGCCAGTCCTGGCTTCCTACACTCAAGGGGGGACCACAGCGGCTTCCCGGAAATCGGGAGATGACTCTCAAAATGACTCTCACTCGACCTGACCTGCGCACCGACTCTCCCACTCCATCCAAGGAAAACGAAGATCCCTTGCGCTTGGCTGACCTGCCCCCAGCGGATCACAGCCAGTCGATCTGGGACTCAGACCTGGATGAGCAAGGCGTGGTAAAGAAGATCTGGCGCAAGCTCCGGCGTCGAGTTTGATTACTATAATCATGATCGGCTTCGATCGACTTTCTCTCTCTGCTATTGGGTGAAATTTCCCGGTTCTGTGTATTGTTCGTTTGGCGCGTACTTGTTCCTGTTATATACCTCTTAAGATTCCTTTGGTCCCTGCATTTTGAGCGATGTTTTTTTTTTCCTCCCGGGAGTTGGGCCCCATCAACTCATTATGTATCTATTCTGTTCGCAGCATTCTGTATATATCCACAGCTGCCTTTCCTGTCAACCAATCCATTCAAGGACTTCACCTTCCACATGGACCATTGGCAATCTGGTCACAGGGGAGAAAGTCACGTAAAATAAGACTAATCCCAATTGCATCCCGTCATCCATGGTTGACGGCCAGTAGCTTTGTTTACAACCATGGTTCATGCGATAGGAGCGATAAGCATTTCACGTGACAAAGAGCTTCAACCCAAGGCAGCCGCGGAGAGATAGAGGCCACGCAGTTCAATCATCAGCATCACTATCTAAATTCACGACTTTTCCGACAATCCATTTATTCGTTGCTATCTACCATCGTTACTCTGATTTTCAGCGGCTTTTGCGTTCCCTCCCTCATCGATTGACCCCGTATTGCCGGTCCCATCCGCTGCAGCTTTCACCGCGACACCCTATCAGATGCCTGCGCAGCTTCAGTCATGATCCCACGGTGGCTGTTGCTCACATTGAGCCTGCTGCTGGTATGGACATCACAGCCAGCAGCAGCAAAAGGAAACGAACCAAAAGTCGTGACCCATGAACTCAACACTCCGCCTGACGACCTGTTCTACTTCACCGGCACAAACACCGTCCTCTATCGCGATAGAAGCTCCCTCACCGCACACGTTTCCTTCGATGGTGGTGAGACTTGGGAGACCGTCAAAGACAATGATGGAACTATGGGAGGTACCGTCGAATTGGTCTGGAAACATCCGTTCGATCACAATCGCGCCTACATCATAGGTGGGAATGGCAAGCATTGGATCACGACTGATCAGGCCAAATCGTGGAAACCGTTTCAGATAGATGTAGTACCAATTGGAGCCATGGGCAATATCCCGCTAGAATTCAATGGTTGGGATCCCGCGAAGGTTATCTTCATGGGTCTGGATTGTTCTATTCTGGGATGTGTGCCTCAGGCTTATTATACCGTGAACGACTTCGACGATGTCCAGCCTCTACGTGAGATGACACTGCAATGTATGTGGGCAGCGAGCCGCCCGCAATTCGCGCTAGACATCGACGTGCCGAAGTCAGCCGGAGACCGGATCCTCTGCGTCGTGCCTGGGTTAAAGGGGCCTTTTGAGCATACTCGTACAGAGCGATTGATATATTCCGATAACTTTTTCAAGGATGATGCGGAGGGAAATGAAGCAAAATTGGACCACGGCAAACCGCTGAGCGGTATCAGTCTTCAGATCCGTTCCGTGTCCAAGTATATCGTCGCACGCCTCCAATCGCGCGGTACACAGGAGCAGGCTTTATACGTCAGTGATGACTCAGATGTGTGGCATCGTGCGGAGTTTGGAAAGCATCGCATCGAGGAAGATGCGTATACTCTTTTGGAAAGTACGAATTACAGCATCCAGATCGACGTGCAATCCACTTGGCACGACAACCGGATGGGCAGCCTCTTCTCATCCAATTCCAATGGAACTTATTTCACGCAAAATATCGAGCACACAAATCAGGATTTGAATGGCGTGGTTGATTTCGAGAGACTCTCGAGCATCCAGGGTATCGCAATCGTCAACACGGTCAAGAACTGGAAGGAAGCTGGAGAATCTGATTCGGAGCAAAAGAAGCTTGTCAGTAGTATCAGTTTCGACGATGGGAGAACCTTCCAATCTCTCAAGGTTGATAAAGACGAACTACACCTCCATTCGATGACCTCCTATCTCGCGCTGCACGCGTTGCCCATGCCAGAACATCGCATTTTCTCGAGTCCGGCCCCGGGTTTGGTCATGGGCGTTGGAAATACCGGAGGTCACCTCGGAAAGTACTCCGAGGGCGACCTCTATGTTTCCGATAACGCAGGTCTCACCTGGCGGCGCGCGCTTAAAGGCCCGCACCGCTACGAGTTTGGTGACCAGGGAGGTGTGATTATGGCCATCAGCGATGAGAGTAACACGAAAAAGTTCCAATTCTCTATCGACCACGGCAAAGAATGGGAGGAAATCGAGCTGAAACAAAAAATCAGACCTCTGTACGTGATTACCACGCCAGACTCAACCAGCCTCAAGTTCCTGCTCGTTGGCATTTCCAGCGATGATAACAATATCATCATGTATTTCATTGACTTCGATGGCCTTCACGAGCGCGAGTGTGGCTCCGGTGATCTCGAAGAGTGGACGGCCCGTCTGAACGAGAAGGGTGAGCCGGACTGTCTGATGGGCCAGAAACAATTCTTCCATCGCCGAAAAGCGAACGCGGATTGTTTCATCAAAAAGGAGTTTGCAATCAGCGGTCCTGAATTCAGACCATGCAAATGTTCTGCTGAGGACTTTGAATGCGACTACAATTTTGTTCGCAGCGAGGACCGCAAGGAATGTGTACCGGCTGTGACATTGACACCCCCAGCTGGCGAGTGCAAGGAACCCAGCGATAAGTATATGGGTCCCTCGGGATGGCGACTGATTCCTGGCAACGCATGCATCCGCGAGGGCGGCGAGGATCTCGAGCGCCAAATTGAGCGCTCGTGCTCGAATGTCACTGGGCCTTTGCCTATCGCCGACGGCAAGCCTCGCGCGGGAAAGCCACAAATCATCTCTGCCAAGCAGACAATTTATTTCTATCTCGAACGGCAGGCTAGCAACACCGGTGTCGATGAGACTATCGTGATGCTCACTGACAAGTACGAGCTGCATGTCTCACGCGACCACGGCAGAAACTGGGAGCATATCCTCAAGGATGAGAAGTTTACTGAAATGGTTGAACATCCTTACTTTAGTGACGGGGCTTTCTTCCTCACCGACAGCAAGAAGGTGTACTACACAATCAACCACGGTGACTCCTTCCACTACTTCGAGGCTCCTAGTATACCGAACAAGGAGAACCTTCGCACGATGGCTTTCCATGAGCAACTTCGGGACTCCCTTATTTGGATTGGCAACAAGGATTGTGAAGGCACAAACTGTCGCTCGGAGGCATACGTCACTGACAAGAGAGGCGCGAGTTGGGACCCAATGCTCATTGGAGTTGGCGACTGTAGCTTTGGAGCCCATGAGGGCCGCAATAACAGTGAAACTCTGATTATTTGCGAGCAGTACAAGGACGAGGAAAAGACCAATGATCGGCAGCTAGTAATCAGTGATGATAAATTCTCTACCAAGGAGATCAAGTTTGAGAACATCGCCCATTACGCTACCAAGAATGGTTTCATCGTTGTGGCCTGGTATGAAGGCGATCAGAAGAATTATCTCAACGTCAGTGTTAGCGTCGATGGCCGCACTTACGCTGATGCACATTTCCCTTTCAACATCAACGTCCCCCAATACACCGTCTTGCCCAGCTCCCCGCACGCACTGTTCCTCCTCGTGGAGGTCAATGCAGGAGAAGGGAGCAGCTTCGGCTCTCTTGTCAAGAGTAACAGCAACGGCACTTACTTTGTTCAAAGTCTTGATGCCATCAACGTCAACGACCGCGGCTATGCGGACTTTGATGAGATGAAGGGCCTCGAGGGTGTGTTGATAGCCAATGTCGTTTCTAACACAAAGGAGGTGCAGAAGAAGGGTGCGACCAAGAAGTTGCGCACTATGATCACTCACAACGACGGTGGCCAGTGGACACTTCTACCTCCGCCGACTCGGGACGTCAAGGGCAAGAAATTTGACTGTTCTGTCACGGAAGGCAAGGGAACTGAGAAATGCGCCCTCCACTTGCATGGATACACGGAACGTCGCGATTACCGCGACACCCTCTACTCAGGCTCCGCTATCGGCCTAATGCTCGCGCTTGGCAACGTCGGCGACCATCTCACCGGCACCGCCGAAGCAGACACGTATCTGACCAAGGACGGTGGCATTTCATGGACACAAGTCAAGAAGGGGCAGTACATGTGGGAGTTTGGCGCCGCAGGCTCGGTAATTGTACTCGTCAGCGACCGGAAGGCGACCAATATTGTGCACTATTCTCTTGATGAGGGTGCGACCTGGAATGAGTTCCGGTTCGCCGAAAAGGAATTGGTCATCGACGATATCTCGACTGTGCCCTCCGACACCTCGAAGAGCTTCCTGCTCTGGGGCACGGACTCCGTCAATCGCGTGACCATCACGTTGGACTTCAGCGGAATCTGGAGTCGCGAGTGCAACGACGATGAGAACGACTACTTTACCTGGACCCCCGCGCATCCTCTCCAGGAGGAGAACTGTCTCTTCGGTCATGTCGAACAATACCACCGCAAGAAACCTACCGCTGAGTGCTGGAATGCCTGGCGAGAACCGCATATTCACAGCATCGGCCGAAACTGCACTTGTACCCGTGCTGACTACGAATGGTAAGCAACACATAGCTTGAAACCAACAATCCTGAGAATTCCCACTGACATGTACTAGTGACTACAACTATGAAATCCAAAGCGACGGCAGTTGTGGTCTGGTCCCAGGCCTTCTCCCACAAGACCACAGTCTGCAGTGCACAGAAGATCCCGACAAAGTCGAGTACTGGAAACCAACTGGCTACCGCCGGATTCCTCAGACGACCTGCGAGGGTGGACTTTACCTCGATCAAGATGAGGCGCACCCATGCCCGAACAAGGAAAAGGAGTACAAAAAGAAACACGGTATCAGCGGCGTAGGACTATTCTTCGCGATCGTGACCCCGATCGCCGCCGCGACGGCCATCGGCTGGTACGTGTACACGCACTGGGATGGCAAGTTCGGACAGATCCGACTGGGCGAGGGCGGCTCTGCCACATCGCAGGGGTGGATGTCACGGGAGTCAGTGCTAGTCGCGGTGCCGGTGGCAATCATCGCGGGCATTGTTGCCGTTGCGCAGTCTCTGCCATTACTGATTAGCAGTCTGGTGCGTAGCATGTCCGGATTGTTCGGCAGGGGTAGGTCTCAGAGGCCGTATAACACGCGCGGTTCATTTGCAGCACGCCGTGGGGATTATGCTTCTGTCGCTGATGATGAAGATGAATTGCTTGGTCCTGATGATTTTGATGAGGAGGAGGAGGCTTAAGGGGAATGTTTTATGCTTATGGTTATAGTATGGTATTTTGATGTGTCTGTTCTTTTTCCTGCTCTCTTGAGAGTTGGAATCGATTTTGTGATTTGAATCTTGTGACATTATGAGCGTGCCATGTGTGAAGATCTTTCTTTGCCTTTCTCTTTTCTTTTCTGCTTGTGGGCATTTCGGTTGTTTGGTGTAGGTAGTCACGGTCCTTGGCTTTTAGACGCAGGCCCCTCCAGGGCAGTGGGGTTGTATATCCCCGTTGAACACAGGAGTGATTTCTATATGTCGGGTTGGGAGTAAACTAAAATTGCTGTATGCCTGTATATAGCTTCTGCTGAGGCGAAACCTCTATCTACTTGAAGAGATCCGGGGTGGTTCTATTTGCAGATTGAGGAATATCTTCTAGTAGGCAAGACTGATGCTTCATTCTCCGGTGTATTATATATATACCTGTACATACCTGGCTAGATAGGAAACTATTGAAGCTGCTCGGGGCCGAATGAGTCCGGTAGCAGCTATGATCATCAGCGTAAGAACAGACCAGACAATGAAAAACCACACTGTCATAGTAATTTCAAACGGCGGGAAAGACTCACCTCTTCCATAGTCATGACTTTATGATTACCCTCGCCATCATACATGTACACAGGGAAGGAAGGTGATGTGAACTCGCGAATGCTTCGAGATTATCACACGTTAAAGACCAACCAGGGAGAGAAGAGAGAGGGAGAGCAAACTCACAATTGTCTGCACATGCCACATGGCGACGCAGCAGGCTTGATATCCGTTGCGACAGCTAGGGCCTTGAACTTTTTATGGCCAGCGACCTATCGGGGGTTAGCGCGAAGATCAACATCAAGAGGTAGACCGGCATTAAAAAAACATGGGCTGGGATAAGATATATAACTCAGGACCAGGGGAAGCGTAAAACATACAACGGCAGCGCCAATGGTCACCCGCTCGGCGCATGTTCCGACGGGATACGAGGCATTCTCGACATTAGCACCGGAGATAAACTCGCCCGTGGTGGTGAGAATGCATGCCCCGACGCGGAACTTGGAATATGGGCCTGTGGGAGCATGTCAGTCTGGGGAGTTTCTTTCGTGTGGCGAATATCTGCCACTTGGAACGAAAGATAATGGGGTCATACAGTAGGCAGTCGCTTTGGCTTCGATGGCCTTGGTAGAAAGGATTGTCAGCTCTTGGGCTGTGATGGGATGTTCTGAGGCCATTTTGGAGGATGTCGGGGGAGAGAGGGGAGGAAAGATCGAAATGAGGGGTTTTATCGGCGATAGGCATAGGCGGCGATAGCCGATTTCACGCTGTTCTTCCCTTTTGAATGTAACGCTGCATTCACTGGCTGACTGGGAAACTAGGGTAATGGCTTGGTATATATAGTCTGCGTGTAAACAGGTGGCATTGGGGGGATTGGTTAAAGTCCACCTAGGCACGACCGAGGTGGTTGTATATATCGCGACTCCTCCCTATACGGAGTAGATGCTACGGGGGTTTCTTCTGGAGACACACACTGCCCTACATAAAGCACCGGGGCCAGAGTAATGGCTGATTCGTTCTCTCACACACCATATGTGTGTTCGACACTTCTGTCATAAGATCCAGAAGGAAGATGGCCATAGCGGAGGTCTTACGCAAGTATAGCAGATATATGTCCAGCGGGATCTTCTCGCAGATGCCCAGATAACAACGGTTCTATCCCTGGCTGGATTATACTTGACGTGTTGAAGGCCACGGGGGGATCCTGTCCACTGATTTGGAAGACAAAACAAGAAGAGTGACGAGTTCTCGTGACATCTTCACGGGTGTCTCGAGTTCATAGGTCCCCTACCTATATTGGTTTCAACACAACCAGGTTATGTCTCCAGCAGCCAGACCTCCATCCTTGGCTTCTACGCCTGTACGCCGTGAACGCGAGGGTCCCAACCTCTCCTCGAGATCCACCGCTGGTTTTGAATCTGCCTGTTGGCCGCGAAGAAACTCGATGTGGTCATCTTTGAGCAACCGACCATACTGTCGAGGTAGCGGGATTGAATGGAAATATCAGTCTAAATAGCTCCAGCTGATCGAGTTGAGCAAGTCGTTCAGGGTGGTCACATGCCCGGGGCACCCGACACACCTGGAGTATATCTTTGCGGGGATGGCCCAATTGGGGTTATAATGTCGGATCATTGTTGGGAGAACATTCAGAAAAAAAGATAAGATCTAAAAAAGACCAAAAAAGGTCGCGCCCGGGATCGAACCGGGATTGCTGGTATCAGAAACCAGAGTGATAGCCATTACACTACGCAACCTGATTTGTTGAGAGGATTTTCATTTTATAACTTATATTCCAGAGCATGATAAGTGATAAAAGTACATTCGGAGATTGGCAAGGGGCATTCGTATTTTTCAATTTCCGCAGATATGATAGGCACGCCAATCTTAGGGATTTGTACTGGACAAGGCGGAACTCGCTGGCCGTTTATTATTACCAGCTAGATATGTCCCCATAGAGTTGCTTTTGTAATATCTTGCTTGGTCCAGAGAGCATCCAGCCTGTTCTACGGAGTAGGGTTGGGTGTATACTATATATAGTTATATAAGAGAGATATATATAGGTATACCACATCAATCTTCGAGGCAGCGGTGTAAAAGTGGCAGGTACGGAGGATATCATAGGTATCAGAGATATCCGAACCGCACCGCAGTCACTCCGAGGTATTATATATCTGAAGTCACATACACACAAGTGTATTATGACAGAGCTTGGCAACCTAGTCTGTGCAGCGTGGAAGTACGGAGTGCGTCTCCTCATACTGAAGGTAAATCTACCAGAAATACCAGGAGTTCCAGGAACGACCTTATTCTCCAAGTAGGATCTATACTGGTTATGCAGCCTTGGGTTCCCCGCGTAGAAACCAGGTTGGAAAAACAGAAAGAAAAAGAAACAAGGCCCCTACAAAGTGTACAGCGAATGAACCAGAGGGAGCGAAGCATTTTACTTGAAAATAATTTGTTAATAAGACCTGAGATAAGAATGGAATCCGCAATATCAGGTTATGTACGGAGTACGCCGTACTAAGTCCGATCGATACCAGTCCGCGTCTCGGCAAAGGATCTCGAATAAGGAAATTCAGACCGAAACTTCGTGTGGCTGAGGTGTAGGCTTGTATTGTCAATTACGACCTCACTCCTCAACACTTCTGGTTGCGTAGTGTAATGGCTATCACTCTGGTTTCTGATACCAGCAATCCCGGTTCGATCCCGGGCGCGACCTTTTTTTGGTCTTTTTTGATCATTTTTTCCTACGTCCTACCTATCTAACACGCGGAGTAACTATCGTACCAATTTGACCAATGCTCCCATAACGAACTGAAATACATATCAGGTTAGCAACTAGCCTCGGCCCGCGAGCAATATAACTAAATATGGAACTTCTATCGGAGTATGCCTAATCCCAAGCCGGTACTGTGTAAAAAGTCGAAATACCCGAATTACTACGACGAGGATCTGATTCAGCAAAGTGCCCAGCCTGGAGTCACAGAGATTCAATATTCATTCACCTGGAAAAGAGGCAAGCAAAATGAAGCCCTTTATACACTATAAACCTATACACAGTCAAAGGTTGGGCTGATATATTGTATTAGAGCCATCCCACCATGTGGATCTACTTACAGCATAGGTAGGTATACATGCATTCACCGAATTCCGAATGATCCGACGCCTCGTATTGCCGATCAAACAGATCTACACATACTATAGACTAAAACCATTCCACCGTTCAAACCCGCCTGGTTATACTCTATATATCATTTCGTGCTGGCTTTGGCGCGGGAAAGTGGTGGTTTGTACGGTTGAAATAGCTTCCAACTCCCAATACTGAGGTAAAGATAGAGAACTGTATGGCGGGAACTAGTTGGATTATGGGAATGTTTACACTCTACAGTATGGAGCGGTGTCAAAAGAGGGTTAAAAGGCAGGCATATCTCGGAAAGAAATAGTTGTTTAAATTATATCCTCGGGCCACTATATATATATGTATATACCTTTCGCACCGGTCTGTACTTGTCAGCGTCGGGAAGAGACATATACAACCTCCAAGTAAGGAAATTCGGAATTTTGGAGCGTGGTTTTTGAGTTATACGCCTATCTAGTCATATCTGATCCCGGGCTTCAACACCTCCAGTTGCGTAGTGTAATGGCTATCACTCTGGTTTCTGATACCAGCAATCCCGGTTCGATCCCGGGCGCGACCTTTTTTTAAGATATTTCTTTTATTTTTTTTTTCATGGGTATCCTCCAAGGTTAAGTGGGGATGCTCTCATCTATGACTAGCCCCTAAGTAACTTGGAATGGCAGATATATAAAAATATTTGGAATCTTGAACGGTAGTTCTTGCACAACTTTGCTTGTTATCAGTAAGCGGCTTGAGAAAAGCTCTCGAAATCCAGTTCGCGCGAGACTTCTGTTTGTGGTTATGTAGATACAGGCTTATATTGTCAATTCGAGCGTCCCATTATAACACACTAGGTTGCGTAGTGTAATGGCTATCACTCTGGTTTCTGATACCAGCAATCCCGGTTCGATCCCGGGCGCGACCTTTGCTTTTTGTGACTTTCCTTTTCTTTTTTCTTTTTTTTTATGAAAAATACACTCTTTTTACTAACATTCATTCTTTCTATCCCTAAGCTTGGAAGATTCCTTGGGTCTCATAAGCACCTCTATGCGGATATTACCATTTATGGATGTTCCATACGGGTATTGTCAGCAGCTAAGAACTCTAAGTTTAATGTTATGGCAATCTACTCCGTACTTCGTACTTTCCTGCCAGTTTCTCTCCCATTCAAATAGATCCAGACAGGATGGAAGATATCCAAAAATGAATACCCAAAAAAGGACTATAAAACCACAAAGACGGTCTCATATTCTTTCTTGTTTTGTGTATATAATTGAGGAGATCGTAGTTGTGTAAGTAAGATAGCCAAAAAGCTAGGTACAAAAAAGGAAAGGTCGCGCCCGGGATCGAACCGGGATTGCTGGTATCAGAAACCAGAGTGATAGCCATTACACTACGCAACCTGATTTGTTGAAAAATGCTGAAAAATAAACGTAGATAAGCCGTAAACAACGACGGCATCAAGCACACGGTACCGGCAATATTCCGATCTTAGATAGACTGTGATCCCCCGCCCTTTGTTTTATATTTATACACATGAGATATACCTACCCCTTCGGCGTATTCCAAGGCTATGTATCTATCCAGATCACTATATACATCGCTATATGCATCTCTTGACCTGTTCTGTTATGCTGGCGGCATGAGGTCACTAGACCTCGGGGACCCTCACGTTTTGGGATGTCCACTCTCGTAGATATAGATCTTCTGTTTTTCTCGCTTTCATTTTTCCTGATATCCCTCTCAGCATCTCTTCTTGTTTTCAGACCTCCAATTACCATTACTCACAGGGGTATTTTCCACCTATCAAAAATTTGAACAGAACATCGCCCGAGGTGAGTACCCTTTGGAACTTTGAACCCGGCCAAGTAATTTATAAGGCGTAACTCATGGGAAACTAGGGATGTATAAACAATCGCCATGGGATTAGATATCCGGCACTATAGGATAGCAATAGTTGAATATCGCTGACAGGGCAAACGTACGCGAGCAAAAGCTCAGGTGCATACAGAATAGCCTACACGCTTTACCTCTATGAAGTCGTTACTAGGGTATCATCATTCTCTACCTGGAGCTTACCAAGGGCTAAGGATCTGTCAGGTGTTTTATCGCTTTTGCCAGCCACTCGAAAATTTTCATCTTTATGAAAGGAGCAAACCTTTGGGCTCAGGCATTTCGAACAGAGCAGGGGTTCAGACGGAACGAATGTTAGGGCTAGCTTCTTCGAGGAAAATTTTCATCGAAGCAGCTCGTACAGGCCTCATTGCTTCGACCGTTTCGGTCAGCAAAAGCGACCTGGGAGAGAAAATAGGCCAAGCCTATGCCAAGCTGAAACCCGTTTTCTCAGAGGCAACATTCTTTCCACGATGAAAGATAACCCACTTTAGCTTCAAAGGATCACAATCAGTTGCATACGGTATCAAAAGCCATCTGTGATTGAAAACACTCCGAGGAATCTACCAGGACCTAATAACATGATGCCAAGGGGCCGAGATTGCCTATCCTATCATCTTCTTCACTGTCAAGGCAATTCGGAATTCGTCTTAGAAACTGTCTTTTCTATTTTGATTGCATATGCTTAAACTATTCGTTGCACACTAGGAGAAGCCATTGAGGTTCGAATCGCGCAGTTCGAGCAGGCTAATGTCCTCACAGATCATAGGAGTAAGCCAGACACCCAGCATCCGGGGGAAGATTGTCGTTCTCGTCTTACAGTCCCATTCCCAAGGAAATGGTTTAGATGGAGCCCATCACATAATTTATCTCTGCCAGACTCTATGGAAGTGGATTTACAGAATGGCCAGTCTCCAGTGGGCTTCTAAAGCAATAGGAATGAACTAGGGGAAACTATCTTTGTCTTGTCTAATTGGAGGTAAAGAAGGAGAGAAATCCGCCCAGATCGTCTTAGCCTGCTAATTGTGCAGCCTGACTGATTCCTCCACGTTGGCGTCCACCATAATACCAAAAAGAAAATTGCATTTATCTTAACAATATCATACCGACTGATTCATGGGAACCCGAACAGTCGGTCGCTTATGCGGCCTTGTAGTTTCTTCCATTCTTGTCCTGTCTTTTGTTTCCCTCCCCCTCTTTTGGATAGATGGCCAATGATCCTCCGATGTGTCTTTTTTGCTTTTGTTCTCGTCCAGATATTCTCCTTGTCCCTCTGAATGTTATAGCGAGGACGTAGGAAGATATGAAGAAAAGAGATCAAACTAAACACTATTTCTGTATATAAGCGAAGTAGTCCAGGATCTACCGTGGTTAGGAGAGCTTGGAAGCTTTCTAGACTACCCGACTAAAGCTTAGTTTATAAACTTGGTCCTTGGAACCTTAGAGCCTCAGCGGCTTAACTTTGTCACACTACATGTCAGACTATATGTAGCTAAGCATGCTTTCTTTAGATAACACTAATGTTTTAAACTTTCCACCAATCAGGTTGTGTAGTGTAATGGCTATCACTCTGGTTTCTGATACCAGCAATCCCGGTTCGATCCCGGGCACGACCTTTCCTTTTTTGTGTTTCTTTTTGCTGCCTTGGTTTACTATGAAAGCGACAGTTCGGATCTTTATATTCTAAGGTCAGCTCTAGAGTAGGGGGAAAAAAAACAACCAAAAACACACACGCAATGTAGTCACGGCCCTTCGCCCGTGCCTTGAGCTAATTCTTTTCTTCTTTTCTCTTTTATACCAATTTCACGGGCTCCACCTTGTGGCTGCCGCCTGGAAGAGATATTCGTCCCGATCGCCCACCCTCGAAACTAGCGCTTCTAGGTGCTGATACACCAGCCCTTGGAATACTTGAAGGGTCGTCTATCTAGAGCTTCTGTAGCGTGAACGGGAAAGGGAACCCCTTGGAAACGAGGATAGCCAATATATCAGTAACGTATCAATGGCTTATAGAATAAATAGCCCTGTCTAGCTCATCTCTACCAGGTACGGTCTCGGCTCAATTCAATAAATAAGACTTATATACGTGGGAGCGGGATCACTGCCCCAATGAGTCGGCGCCCGTGCTGACACCTACTCGGGGATTCTGAGCCTAAGGCCCCTCATAAGGCATAAAGACCCCACTCAGCAGACGTTATCCTGTTTACTTCGTACTTCGTAGCTGCATATATCCCTACCACATCTCCGATTTCTTCGAAATGTTGAACCCCGGCGTACAGATTATCAACGGCCAGAAGACCTTTATCCCCCTAGGTAAGCGTATATCTCTATCATCCTCGGATGTCAGCTCACAATCAACAGAGAATAACCCAGAAATCCACTCGCATCTATGTAAGAACCTCGGAGTATCCCCGGCCCTCACTTTCCATGATATCCTCTCTACAACACCAGAGATGCTATCTTGCATCCCTCGTCCAGTCAATGCTCTCATTCTCCTTTGCGACAAGCCCATCTACAGCGCAACCCGCTCTCGCGTGGAACCCACCATCCCAGAGTATGACAGAAGCGGGCCCGGCGAGCCGGCCATGTGGATGAAGCAGACGATTGGGCATGCGTGTGGGATGATGGCACTGCTGCATGTGGTTATCAATCTAGAAAATGGCAAATATATCACGGCTGGATCGGAGCTCGAGGCACTCGTGAAGCAAGCGATTGCCCTGACACCGAAGAAGAGGTCGCAACTCTTGTATGATTCGAAATTCCTGGAAGAAGCGCATATGGATGCAGCATCGCAAGGCTGCTCGATTGTGCCGCTGCCTGAAGAGGATTGTCCATTCCATTTTATTGCTTTTGTCAAGAAAGATGGCAAGGTTTGGGAGTTAAATGGTGGGATGAACGGTCCATTGCTACATGGAGAACTAGCGGGAGACTTGCTTGGCGGCGACGGACTGGATATGACAGTAAGGGAGTTTTTATATGCCGCCGACAAGGAAGTTCATCGAGGGATGAGCATCGTTGCGGTGACCGAACCACAAACCTGAGTGCAAATGCGATAGCGTGATGTCATACATAACAAATTCGGGGGTTTGAGGTGACCGCCAAAGAGTCCGAGTTCTGATACATTATATCAATTTGCACTCGAGTGGACTATCTCAGGAATGGACTATCTAGTCCTGGTAATTTATTACAATTGCACCGTCTTTACTGTCTCTCTCTCTCTGTCTCTTGAGACTAATGGACCAGCCTTAACCTGACTGTTGGATACTTAATCTACAATGACCGCCGTCCTCATCACTGGAGCCACAGGTAAACAAGGAGGCTCGGTGATCAAGAAACTTCTCGAGAAAGATGCACCTTTCAACATTCTTGCCGTGACTCGCGACGCCAATTCACCCTCAGCAAAGAAACTCGCCCAGAAATCCCCCAAAATCACACTGATCCAGGGGGACCTCAACCACCCTGCTGTCATATTTGAGGAGGTAAGGCGTCAAACTTCAATGCCAGTTTGGGGCGTGTTTAGCGTCCAAGTGAGTATCTATAAATGAGATCACAACATCTCTGGATTGACCAATAACCAGTCCGCAAATCACCGAAACGACGACGAAAGACGCCAGGGGATCACTCTGATAGACGAATCCATAAAGCAAGGCGTTAAGCTCTTCGTATACAGTTCCGTCGACCGCGGTGGCGAGGATTCCGACCGCAACCCAACTCCAGTCCCGCACTTCATCTCCAAGTACGAGATCGAGAAGCATCTCAAGGAGAAATCAAAAGGAACTGATATGGAATGGACAATACTCCGACCCGTTGCCTTCTTCGAGAACCTAACACCAGAGTACTTCGGGAAGGTATTCGCGACCGCATGGCAGATGTCTCTCAAGGGCAAGCCATTGCAGCTGGTTGCAACTAGTGATATTGGATTTTTTGCCGCGGCAGCATTCGTGAATCCCGAGGCCTCGAAAAATCATGCGTTTTCCATAGCTGGGGATGAGCTGACGTTTGATAGCATGGCAGAGATCTTCAAAGATTTGACCGGCAAGGATGTACCCACCACTTTCAGGCTTCCGGTCTGGTTGATGTTGGCCGGTGTCAAAGAGCTGGGTGCCATGTTTAAATGGTTTCACGATGTGGGATACGGTGCAGATATTCCGGTGCTGAAAAGACTGAACCCGGAGTTGAAGACCTTTGGAGATTGGCTGAAGGAGGATAGTCGATTTCGAACACTCGAGGATTGAGTGCCCCTTGTGAAGTTAGATTGTAGTGTAGTATTCTGATGGCCACGGTATCTCAATGTTTCTGCCGACGGAAATGCATTCCACACTACTGCCTGAGGATGTAGAAAGCTAGACTAAGTCAGACAGCAATCCCGGTACCTCGTGCAGGCCGAGACCGATGTCAACACTCACAGACCTCATCGGATAAAGCATCTTGACTGAACAGTGTCGAGGCATTCTGCCGTTGTCTTCCCACTGGCAACAGGGCAGTGCAGGCCATCAACCGGTCTAGACGCCTTTGAAGCAAAGCATTCATGCGCAGCATATTTCACTGCTATGACGGCGTGTCTTGGGTTCGATTATCAGATGCGTTAGGCTTATACGATATATATTGCATTGGCAAAACAGCCCGCACAAGACATGTGCCACCACAACGCCAATGACTCTGTAAGAACAGAATTGCCCTTTACATCGTGGAAAGGCACGGGCAGGGCGACCACAGCAGCATAACAGAGCATTGCAATGCCTCATCTGAAAGTGCGAGAGCGAGAACCGCACAGGCATCCTGGGTGACCATATCCCAGCCTCGGACATGTACCTAGAGCCCAACAGGCCCGAAATGGGAAAACATAGATATTGGAGTATGAATGGAAGTTCTATTTGGAAAATTTTCAAATCTATTCTCTACAAAAACAAAATCCGTCGCAAATCGTCCACATGGGCCAAATAGTTCAAATAAAACACCATGCTGGCATGGTCCCGTCTTCCTGTCAATCGATACCCTCAAAACAAATCAATGTGCCATCTCATATGAAACAAGAGTGAACAGGAACGGCACCTGGCTTCCAGCCGAAGACGACCGATGGAAATGATATTAGGAAAAGGAAAATTGAGAAGCAAGAAGATGTCAAAAAGAAATGGTCCATCGAAACGTAGGAGAGTCAGAAATCGTGTTTGAATGCATCCAGGGTATAGCGCACGATGCCAAAATCCAATGAGCAAAATGAAAAGGAAAATAAGAGAACATGGTAATTGTCCGATCTCAGTTGGACATGATGAACAAAAATTCTATATGCAGGGAAAGTGTAAGGGTCTTTTTGTGCTTCTTCTTTTTTCAATTTTTTTTTTCATCCAAAGTATTGCCGTAGTCCTTCGTAGACGGAGAAGATGAAGGCCGAGCTAGGCGCGGAACGTGCACAGGTGATCCCGCACCCGCGATACATGCCCTTGAGCCCTTGTTGTCTCCATAAAGCCTTGGTTGCCCCCCAGAACGTCTGTCGCCGAGCGCTGACCGGCAGCCGTGATATGTCTTCAGTCTGCATGCGAGACTTGATAGTGTCGGCCGGGTAGAACAGGAAGTTATAGCTCATTCCAGCCGTTGCTCCTGCAATCAGTTGTTGGTGTAGGGGGAGCGAATCGGAAGTTGATTGCGAGTCCAATGACTTATTATAACTTCGGAAGAGTGAGGATACGCCTTCATATCCACCAAACCACGCTGCGCCGCCACCGGTTTCGCGGATCAGTGTGCCCATTTGGCCCCTCCAGAATCCTATCAACCCCTCCTGTCGGAAAACAGTTGCGATAATCGCCATGGGACCGGTGGGTCTGAGGCTTGCCGACTCTGCAGGGACTTGCATCTTGCATTTGACCAATTCGATAGGAGTGAGAGCCAACGATGTAACCGAGCCAGATAGAGCACCGCTAGCAATGAGAGCTAAGAACGGTAGGTGCTCAACATCTGGGAAAACAGTTGCGCGCAGGGTATCCTGGATGAGGCGATAACTGAAGAAGAGGCAGCTGGTCTCCACCGCAGCGCCGGCCATGGGTGCACTGATGCCTCTGTATAGTCCCCGGAAGCCATCGGTTCGGAAAGACTGACGGAAACAATCTAATGGTCCAGAATATTGGAGAGGGAGGTGTGCGGGTTGTGACTGTAGTCGGACCTTAACAGTGTCGAAGGGGTACTCGATGAGCTTGCCGGCCATTCCTGCCGACTTGAGGGAATTGTCAGTGTCTGAAATTTTTGACATGCATGTACGAAGTACTCCTTACCGATCCAAATATAATATCTTTCATCGCCTCAAGACCCTGGTTGGGTGGGAGCGATGGCAACTCCATTTGCTCAGTGATGGTGATCGCATGCTCTGTCGCCGCCATCAATGAAGTTTAGAAAATGAAGAAAGAAGAAAAAAAGGTGTGTTATCGAGGGATCATGGTAAGATTCCTCGGGAGTCGGAAGTATAAGTAGCCCAAGTGAGCGAATAAATGGCCTGGTGGGGGGAGGGGCGGTGTAACGAGGGATTTGACGAGCCTACGAGACGCCAAGCCACCAGTGTGCCAAAGTTAGGAGACTGGAAACGATGATAGGGAAGGCCAAGGCGAATGGGCACTAAATATTATAAGCCTGTTCGAGGAAAGTAACGAGACGTGCGTAAGGGTGGAGTCGAGAAATTGGGCCGAAGGTGCAATTTCTCTCGTTAGCGGTCTTAGCGGCCGCCAAGACATTTTATCAGATCGAGATAATCAAAGGAAAACTCGGTCCCCGTTTGCCTCACGTTCTTCTTTTGCTTCACGCTTTCCACCCCAACTCTCTCTCTCTCGAATTCCCATTTGGAGATTGTGGCTTTTTCAAGTCCCATATTCCCTTCATGTCGACCTCAACCGATACCACTCCGGTCGTGCCTCCGACTACCGGCATGCGGAAAAATGGTTAGTGAAAACCCCCCCCCCCCCCCCCCCCCCTCTCTCTCCCAGGGCCCACTTCCCTGCTGTTCCTCGTCTTTCCGGCTGACCCCATCGGCCTTTCAGGTAAAAATTGGCATACCACTAAGAAAGCTTTCCGGCCCAATGCCGGTTTGACCTCATACGCTAAGCGTCAAGAGGCTAAGAAGCACAGCGATGCTGTTAAGGAGCTTGAACGTGAGATGAAGGAGGAGCATGAGGCTGAACGGAAGGTATGTCGATCTTTATCCTTCTCTTTTTATTAGATCGTCTCGTTTTCTACCCTTTTGTGTCTTGATGTGGTCTCCATTCCTGTTAATTGTCTCCATAATAACAATTATCTCCTACAACACTTATCCCACCTTCCCAAGATGGTATCACTGACCGAGGACAATCTCTAGGCCCGTATCCAGCGCATCAAGGATCGCCGAGAAGCTAAGGAGGAGAAGCTCCGGTATGAGAAGATGGCCGAAAAGATGCACCACAAGAGAGTCGAGCGTCTCAAGCGCAGAGAGAAGCGCAACAAGTTGCTCAACTCTTGAGGCTGTTAGAGATCTTCTGCATATCACCGCCATACTATCTCCCCATCTCCTCCATGACTGCATTGTGTGTATATACTACATCGGCTTGTCGAGACTTCTTACTTCTTCCTTGTTCCTGGCGGGAAAGACTAGGCACTCATACCGGCGTGGGCAGTTTGATTACAGGGCGTTTTTTTTCCTGAGGGTTGGTCATAGGTCACTACTAGCGAGCAAAACAATTGTTTTTCTATAATCGCAATCTATACTCGGTGCCGATGTAGTTGTATTTATAACTCCGACTACATGCATAGACGTGGGTGATATTGATGTCAGATGAAGATGCGCTGATATCGGCCTTCAGCCTTGGCTTGGCGTCATCGGTCCCCCAACTCCACACTCCAACCAACCCTTGAAGTTGCATGTTTGGCTTGGCTTTCTTACCAGGATGTACAGCCATGGAGCCTCCATATAAATCTCCTTCCTTCTCGCCATCTCGGACAACCTCTACCTCATTCCCCCTCATTCAAACCTCTTCCCGAAGCCAGAGCCAGAGTCACCAACCTAGCTCTGAGGATCTATCCAGGTTTGACAGCCAAGAAAGCAAACAAAGAGACCGAAGAATTTCCCGTCGTTCACGTCGCCATGGTTCCAATGATCGCCAAGTTTCTCCAAAAGGGGAGTCCGCCTCACGGAATCGAACCCGCCCATCCCATTCCCCTCGACAGCGAGATTCATCCGCCTTCGAGAACACGAGGTCTTACCGCCATAAATACAACAAGTCTCGGGAAATAAGGTTCCCGAATCCTATGAGCCATTTAGCCTCCTCGGCGAGTGCGAGAGGACTGCTTCCTACGTGGTCAGGCGGGAGGGATAAGGACCGGGATGGTGATGATGGGTTGCTGAGGCCGATCACGAGGGAGACAACTAGAAGCCGCTGGGGGTCCGAGTCGACGACGGGAGTGAGTGATGGTCGGAAAGAGAGTCTATTTGATACGCCCGAGCAGCATGAGCGATTAGGGCCCATTCGCCGACACGAGATTCTATCGATGGATGACCTAGAGAGAGTCAAGAAGCGGAGGAAGCTGGGCGAGGAGTCAGTTGTTAATTGTCTTGATATATCAATTGCTTCATTCGGGAGTAGAGTAACTAACGGCTGTTTCAAGGTATCTACGGTCTGCGCTGACTTCCATCGGGACGTCGGCGACAGACATCACGCGTCGGTTAGATTACACCTATTATAATCTGCTCGAGAAGATAACGGCCCTCAACTCGACTATCTCGTCCTTCCAGGAGCTATCTGACTCGGCCGCGACACTTCTCAGCGACTTCGACCGCGAGACAGCCGGGTTAGACCAGGATATCCGCAAACAGCTCGATGACCTCAAAGGGTTTGAGCCACAAATCCAAAAGGCCGATGTGTTAGAGCAACGTATGAAAGCAGGGCGACAACGTGTTGAAGAACTAGGCAAGCGACTCGAGAGAGTACGGCATGAGATTGATAGCTGGGAACAGCGGGAAACAGAGTGGCAAACGCGAACCAGTCGTCGATTACGTATCTTCTGGGGGATTGTCACAAGCGCGGTGCTGGTGCTGGTGCTCGCTTTGGTTCTTCAGAACTGGCCACGGCTCCGGTCTCCTCGCGCCGAGATGTCACGTTCGATAGCATCTCACCAGTTTCCTCCCTCCATGCCACCCCAATCCGAGGCGTGGGATGAGATGCTTGGTCTTAAGGGCAAAAGCTCAGGGCCCGATGCAGGGCTTGCTCGATATCCTTCCAACCTTGCAGATCGGCGCGAAAGTCTAGCCAAAGTTAGTCCGATTTCAACAGCAGTCCGATCATGGCATGATGCAGCACCTACGGACCATGATCCTCTAAGTGTGTTGGACGGATTATGAAAAGTTTTTCTTTTGTGCCCCGGACCACTGATCAAGGCCATTCCACGGGCTCGGGCTGTCTTGTGCTTGACTGGACTTCAGATTGCGGGGTTATACTTGAATTGTCTTCAATTTGTGCTTTTGTTTTATTTATGTCATGATACCCAGTCCGCAAAGGATTCGTGTTCGTCATTATGCTATCGGCCCCTCACTCTTCTTCTTCTTCTTGTCTTCAATCAATTCAATATTAGACTCGGGAATCTTCTTGCCGTGGATCTCCAGGAGCCAGTCGTGCAGGTCGTCGCTGACATCACCCTGAACGGTAATTTCCTCAATACCAGCAGGCGAGCGGGTCACTGAAGAGCCGGTAGCAAACTTCTTCCCCAGGTCCTTTGCAATCTTCTTGTTCTCCAGCCCGAAGACCTCCAGTCCGACGACAACCGTCACGTACTTGCGCTTGTTGCGTTCCACACGCTTGATCAGAACCTTGGAGGCAGCCTTGCGCTCAGTATCACGCGCCTCGCTTGCGGCAGCTTTGGCTTCCTTCTTGGCGGCATCCTTTGCGGCACGCTCTTGTGCTGAAATGGAGAGGGTGGAAAGGTTGGCGTTCAGGGCATCTGTTAGACACAAAAAGATCATGTTAGATTGTCGGTTTCCCCATGTAGGAGTTTTCGGGATGCCCGTTGCAGGGAATGGCAAAATACCAAGCTAGCGGAGCTTCATTACCTTCAGAGTATAATTTATCCCACAGGTTCGACTCGTTATCCTTGAGCCACTCTTCGCACTTCTTAGCGGTACCTCCAAACTCGCAGTACTAGATCGTAATCCCGCACGTCAGAAACAGATCGAAGCCCCCAATGCAGCTATCGATAGCAAAATGGAAGCTCGGTGGGCTTTTTCCAATGGCCAGGAGGCATGCCACGCACGACAGAGCCAGGGCCCAGGCCTCGATGATAAGAGTTAAGAAGCAGGGGCAGGAGCGGAGGAGTGGGCTGGGCCCTCAGTTCCAGGGGAGGGGAAACAGGGGACTCGGGGTCCGGGAGAAGAGCTCGAATGTCATACCTCAGGTGGTAATGTGCAGACTATCGGGACGATTCCGTCAGCGCGATATTCTCAAACGAGTTGGAGTTGGGATTCTGTCACGGGGGTCCTCACCTCCACAGTAGACAATGTGTCTGGCCTGCTCAGCTGGGGATGTTTCTACCTCAGCCATTATAGGATAATTCTATCTTGAAAAATGGTATTGGTTCTAGACTTGTTCTTCACCAGAATCAACACATCGCGGGGGAGCGGAGGGGCAGTTCTGCCGGCTAAGCCATTTTGGGCGATCACGTGTGGTCGAATGACGCCGAGAAAGAGTCGGACTTTCAATCAAGTCAGTCGTCCTGATAGGAAAGAGTAGATGCATGGCAATGGGCAGTGCTCTATTGCTCCTTCGTGGGCCAATGTATCTGTTCAACTAGAATGATCTCATTTCACACCGAATCTAGATTCGGCAAACAGTTCTCGGCACGACGTGCCATATCTCTCCAGATCATTATCTCTACGGAGTACTCGTACAGCTGTACGGAGTACGATAGTCTCAAACATCCCGGTGGGGATGCAAAGAGACCCGCCTCGATGTGCTGGGCCGTTGGACTACCGTCGTGCCCACCATCACGATAGGGGGAATCGGCCTGCCTATTGGTGGGTGGTGATTTCGCAATGGTGATAAGATACATAGTCCATTCTAATCCCCGACACCCTCGCATTTCGCGTCCGGCGAGATCGAGGGTCGTCAGCTAGCTGCATTATCGAGAACCTTGAGAAGAAAAGCTAATGGAAAAGAGAGAAGTACAACCCCTGTGGATGTGAGTGTTGGCGACATGCGTCAAAGCCGTGCAGATAGGCACTTTGACTGATACCATCGGTGGGCCAATGATGAGATTCGGTCATGACAGGCGTTAGAGGCCCATGGGGAGAAGAGTAGGGTCTTCCTCGCGCATTGTACTGCGGAGTACGTACCCCATCCACCGATCAGCCCTCGGAGGGTGGGTTTACCCCTAGTTGGCACATCGATGGGCTAGAACATCACATCTCCAGAGAGGAGAGAATGTGAGTTTCGGGTTTCCAGGGCCAGATCCAAAGGGCCCCCCCCGGATACGGAGTACTTCACGGTTACATGCAGCGATGAGCAGTTACTACTGGCGATTTGCAACGACGATGGCGCCTCCTAGGGGTTGAAGTTGAGGGTTCTCACCAATCATACTGACATCCCTCGGAGGGTTGCCCAGAGGTTGTCGATGCAAGCGCACAGACCAAAGGCAATTCCATGATTCCATGTATGACACAGAGCTTTGGCGTTTTGCGTTTTGCGTTCTTCTCTCTTTGTGCCTTGTTTGAGCGTTTAGCGGTATCTCTGTGCATCTTAGCTGGTTCCACTGGGAAGCGTGGAGAGTGTGTGGAAGTCGAAGATGTGGCTGAAAACACATGCCGGGACTAATGCCAATATCTCCTTCGACTCTGTACATGTTAATGAGACTTGATCTCGACGGGTGACTCCGTGGGTTGACTGAGCTTCGGCTCCTATTTCCGGCCCGATCCTACACGTCTACACCGTTGTCTCCCGGTATTCTTGGAGTCCTGCCGTTATCAGGCTATGTTGTACGGAGTCGAGCGTGCAATAACCCGATTCTAGGCAGTGCAAGGGTGGATCTGGGAGAGGTCCGACTCTCGACTTGGAAAATGTGGACGCTCAGACCTTGACACCTCGGGCTCTAGACTCCGTGATACCCCGAAGGCTCTCCAGGAGATAATAAGATCGACAATGAGGTCCTCGTTATGCATCGCTCAACACCCTAGATCCTGGGTCAGAGGCTAGAAGAATCAAATCAGAATCAAATCAGAATCAAATACTCTGTACTCCATGCGAAATAATCATTCAATCCTCCAAATCGTCCAATCGCACTACGTTGTAGAGACTCGAGACTAGCGACTAGTGGACAGGCTAGAACGCGAATCCTCGAACTGTCTGCTCTATAGCCCAGTGGCAAAGGAAAAAAAAAAGAACTCGATCTTTTGCCTCTGATATATCTGTTTCTTTGTTTATAATTAAACCCTCTTTTTGTTTTTCTTAAATTTTTTCTTTTTTGTAGTCAATCTGCTTCCCCCAGATCCCACTTTTACTCCAGATTTGGGTTTCTTCCCTGCTTCTCTACTTCTGACCCTTGGCCCTTCCGCCTGGGTATGGTCTGGTGTCTTTAAATCTTGGCTCTGCCACCTCTCGAATTTCGTAACTTGTCGAGCTATACGATCACTACATTCCAACCGGAAAAAGGGAGATGACGACCTTGGTGGCTCCCCGCGAAACCCGTTCGCTTTTCTCCCCGGATCCTCTGCGATCCCCGACTGCACAGCGCTATTTTCTGGAAGACCACGCCATTCCCAGAAAATCGCCCATGCACGATGAGTATCGGGCGAGGGATCCCTCCCCAGTCGCATCCGATCTATCCTCAGTGGCCCCTTCTCCGAGCTTCGCTCTTCCCGAAGATCTCCCCTGCACGCCCTTCTTGAATAGCCTGTCGCCGGAGAAAGAACTCATCCTACCCTCATATGGCCCCGAACCCCTGCCCAGCGCCAACAAGCCAGAGGATGTGAGGAGCGACGCGTCAACCGAACCGCAGCCACCTTCTTGGACATTACAGGCTCCTTCGGCAGACGACACCTCTATCGAAGATGAACCGTCGAGGCATGTGGATTATCTTTCACATGACTGGAAAGAGGAGGATATCTGGTCCTCCTGGCGCTATGTGACTAGCCGGAAAAATGATTATAGCAATGGAGTCAGACTGGAGAATGCCTCTTGGAGGACATGGGCGAAGGCGAAACACAATCTGAAGACGATATCGCCGGAAAGCCTCAATTGGTAAGTGATCAATCGCATTGTCTTGTCTTCGGTTCAGCTCCCTAATTTTTCCATTAGGCTGAAGGATTGCGATGTTACTTGGCTCTACGGGCCGTTAAAAACCTCCATTGAGCGCGCGGCCTCTCCCTCTCCCCCTCCAAGCCGCTTGGAGACGCCGAACTCTTATCTCGACCCAAAGCCCATTCTGAAGAAGAAAACCGCGTCTGAGACCATTCTTCAGCGGTCCTTATCTCAACATACGTTATTGCAGCATGCTGGGGCCATTCTCAAGGCCCAGGAAGCTGAGAACAATTGGTCTCGACCTCCTTTCCCAAGGTCCAACACAGACTTGACCCAATTAAATCACCGGACTGGCAGCTCAACCTACTCTCTTGGCGGCACTCTCACGGCCTCATCATCGTCTGGCCTGGTATCCCCGAGTGAACGGCGCCATATTCACTTTAACAACGAGGTCGTGCAATGCATCGCAGTCGAAGCCAAGGGCTACGAGGATGAATGGCCCGTCACCTTTGAAGATGCGCCATCTTCAGACGATGGTATAGTTTTAATGAGACAAATCTCCAGCCGGGCCTCCCTGAGCAACCGCAGCACTCCACGCAGCAGCTTCAGCGGCGATGGAAAGACCATTGCTCCTCTGCCCTCAACAACCCTTAAATATCGCGGGGATCCTCCAGAGCCTCGGGCTCAGGCGATCCTTGCCCAATGGTCCACCACTCCTGGCTCTAGGTTGTCACCCACTCCCTCCGTGGAGACCTTGCGACCGTCCGGGCCATCTGAACCCTCGGCCAACTTCCTCTTGGATGACGATGAAGATCCCAGCTTGGACTACACGGGCAATTACCCCGATCACGATCGCTCTTGGTCCATTGGAAATGATCCAACATCAAGCCGCCCGCTCCGATTGACTGCCTCGGGCATGTTTATGCCCGAGGGTGAATGTGAGACTCCCAGTATCAGTTTATTTGATCGAGTTGTGGACACTGTGAATACAGCCCGAGACATTGCCCATGTGATTTGGAACGTCGGCTGGCGGCGCTGATATCACGGGATTTTCACGACTCACGAGGACGGCTCATCCGTCGTACATAATAACAGGTTAGATCTTACGGTGTTTTGATGGGAAAGGGGGGTTTGCATTTGAGTATTTGGCGGGGGCTAGGCGTGTCTTGAGGATTTTGTATAAAATTGCCCATTTCTGATTTACAATCTTGTCACATAATATGCATACAACAAGCCAGTTACGCTGAGCTACATAACTATCTCTATATATGATAATAGACCATAGACAAGTCACCTTGGGATCCCATTTCCTTGGTCGTAGGATGTGCGCTATCACCCCAGTCTCGACGGTTGATAGTTACATACACACCCTACGGAGTATAGTATGTTATATACCTATTTATGTGTTAGACTAGAATCCAACTCTTGTACGGAGTACTCCGTATTCCCTACATCGGTTGGGAATATACCAGTATGGATTCTCATTGCCGACCCTCCAGTGGAGGCAGTGATATGAGCGTAACCTACTGCAGCGGTACGTTTCATCGATCTTGCGAGTATTGGACGGCTTCTCCCCAGATGATATCGCCTCAATGAGGCCTGGACTCACGACGTCTCCGTCGATCAGGATAAAGCCACAATTAGAAAATATGGAGACGGGGAAGTCGGGGGATCCGCTCTCAGGTAGGGGACCAAAGGGTTCATTGGTCCTACACATCAATTGCCTCCTAATTGTGTTGACCTGTCCTAGATGGGTATGGAGTACTCCGTATGTACGGAGTACATGTTGGATCTATTCATATGCTTAAATTAAAGGAGTCTTCGAGATCGAGACCATCGTTCCGAACCCAACTGCCCCACAGCCCCTGATCTCTTTCTTCCCGAATTCAAACTCCACGCTTCACCCTGCTACAGTTGGGCTCAAGCTATGGAAACCGTCAATGTCGCCGAATTGGTGGAGCGCCTGCGCAGCGATGAAGATGCAGTGCGCAAAATGGCCGTCTTCAAGCTCCAGGGCAACATCGGAGACCCATCTTTTGCGGACATATTCATCGCCGAGGGAGGCTTGATCCGATTGCGCTACCTTGCCCTTCATGCAAGCGGTAACACCCTAGCATACAGTCTCACCAGCTTCTCGAGGCTACTTGACGTCGACAAGGGGTGGGAGTGTGTTGATCAGGAGTTGGTAGAACGGGTGAGCATCCTTGAACCATTGCAGTGTCCTATTTCTGTTTTCTGTTTTCTTTTGTTTTTGGTCTCCGTTCTGCTGCCATATCAGATACTAATGCAACACGCCTCCAGATCGTTGAGCTGATCGTCACCCATCCACTGGTCAACATCCTCCGCGGCGCTATGTCCATTCTTGTCTCCATTGTTTCCCACCCGTACATCGGGAACCGCTCGTCGCAGACAGACCACTTTGGTTTCCGCGCTCTCAAACCTGCGATCGCCATATATCCCCAGTTTTTAGAGATGCTTGTCAGTCGATTATCCTCTGCAGATCACGCGCTTTGTGCCAATGCGCTCCAATTGATCAACTCGCTCATGCGCGACTCAATCACTCACGATTCCGAGGCAGAGTGGCCCAAGTTTATACAGAAACTGCAGGATCTGGGAGTTATTAGAGCAGTCTATGTCCTCATGCAGGATTCAGCTCTCCAGGACCTGGCACATCCGCTGCTTGAATTTCAGTCTCTCACCAAGGTTCTGCTCCGGAAGTGGCGAGATATCCCAGTCAACCAGGAGAAACCCGAGCATCGCCGTGCGCTGAAGGCGATTCACTTGGCTAGCAACCTAGAGAAAAGCTCCGATACGGCTGTTGAAAATGGCGATGACACACGGCGCTCCAAACGACACCATCCAGAAAAGTGGAGACGACTTGGGTTTGAGACGGAAAGTCCGGCAGTGGAATTCAGTGAGGTCGGTTTCCTAGGTATGATGGATCTCGCGGACTATGTCCGTAGTCACGGGGACGAGTTCCAAAATATGCTCCTGGAACACTCTACGAAGCCATCCGGACAACGATGTCCGATTGCTCGGGCCTCATTGGCCGTAACATCTATTTTATACGAACATTTCGAGGTGGAAAAGTCCGAAATGGATGACAACAAAACGTATCTCATGTCAGAGTCACGCTCAGGGTTTGATAAATTGTTTCAGCCATTGCTATTACACTGGACGCGCCTGCATGTTGCCGGCCTACAGGCCTTCTTCCGGCTGTGGAAGGCGACTGCCGCCGAGGAAGAGGACCTAGACAAGATTATTGAACTCGTGCGTATCCTCGTTGAGTCTGTGGTTGGCGGAGCTGCCCGCATCAAAGACGTCCAGGATGTCGAAGAGGAACTGGCCGATTTTGAATACAACCGATTGCGCGGACTGCAAATGGAACTCCTTGAACTCACGTACGAAGATGCATGGGGTCAGCACCTGCGACAGGTCCGCGAAGAACTTCAACATGAAGCTCTCCAGTTTGTCAAGGAGCAACGAATCCGATCATTGCTACAAGGTAGTTGGTTTGCTTTGGAGCCTCACTCGAAGCCCGAGTCAGGGCCAGTGCAGAAATCTACTGCGACGTATCAATATGCCCAACTCTCTCATAATCGACGATACTTGCACTTCGGTAAATTTGATTTGATGGGCGACCGGGCTCCAGAGTTGGACAGCTTGCCAGAAAAAAGTAAGTGGTATCGAGTTCCTACCCATGACCTGTACGCTGTCCTTTGTATTCCTAACACCGGACTGTGCCCTTGACAGTTGATCTCTCCACCGTATCATCTGTAGTCTCCAACGTTTCCACAAGCCCAGACCATTCCTCCTCTGCGACAGTGAAGACAGGCCCCCGCCAACCTGCAACCAAAATCACCATCCATGGCCACGCACGTCCGTCCACAGCTACCGCACATGGAAAGAGTCACAACCACACTCGATCCGGCAGCAGAACAACTCAGAAAGAGGTAGTTCTGCTCACATTGCGGCCGTCCTCGCACAGCGTTGCATCTGAATGGTTGGACGGCCTGCTGATGCTCCTCAACCAGCAGCCCATCACCGCTGAGACAACTAAACTGATTGACTTGGTCAGCAACTACGGGCTGAAAATTCGCCTGCTCAATGTGAGGTTTGACGATCATACCTTCGCAGGCGAGGCTCCCCAAGTTCCATCGAGAGATGGCTTGGATGAAGACTATTACTATGATGTATTTGGAGGCGCATAAGGTATGAATGCTTGCATATCTGCATTGCTTCATCTACATGCCTAGATGTCTTCTCTTCTCTTCTCTTTTTCTTTTTCTTCTGGTTGTTTTTGGTTGTTTTGGGAGATTCTGTCTATATATACCCGTGCGATTTGTCTTCCGCTTGAGCTACACGAACTTTTAATTTCTGCAACATTTAAATACATATTATTATTTGAATCTCTTGCTATATATCTCTTTAAACTCGACACTCGGGCGAAATGCAGATCGCTTGGCGTCATAAGCTTATCGGACGCGTATCTCAACTTCTCCAACCAATTCATCATGGACGGTCGTCCTCCAAAAAGACAACGCAGATCCAATGCAAAGCAAGATGGGGCAAGAAAATTAACATCGAAACACCGAAAAGACCCGATCATTATCCCAGGTAGCTCTAGTCCGATCGAGTCCACATCAGAACCCTTCGCCCTCTCTTCACGCCCTAAACCATCATACTCTCGTGGCACAACGCCGTCACGAATTGCTTCATCCTCTCCCTCTCCGAATAAGAAGGTCAAATCATCGCCAAAACTAGACTCGAAATCCAAATCCCTGCATAGCTTCTTCCAGCCTGCAACCGAAGGACAGCGATGGGCTTCACAGAAGACCGAGGGACAGTCCCTCCCATCGGTCAAGGAGACGGTCGATGTGGACTTGATTGAGGATGACTACGACTCCTACGATGAAATCTTCACACAGCATTTGACCAACGAGCGAACGGGGATAGGTCTGACAGCTATCAACTCTAGTCAGACGCATCAGCCTGCGCCGAAGCCAAAGGCCCATGTTCAACCGCCGAGGAAAATGACAAAAAGGTTTCTTTTGCCTACAGACTGTGGAAAAAGTGTTTCGAAGGAAGCACTTCTTGCACAACCGGCTGGTGAATCTGACCGTCGACCATGGGCTCAGCGGTTCGCTCCAGCTAGTCTAGATGAGTTGGCTGTTCACAAGAAGAAGGTCTCGGATGTACAGCACTGGCTGGAAGATGTCTTTGCTAGCAGGCGGGCTGAGGTGAGTATTTGATCAATTCCACGTGCTTCGGGTTTGGGGTTAAACTTGGTTCTGACAAAACGCAGAGGCTACTTGTGTTGCGGGGTCCAGCAGGCAGTGGCAAAACAACGACTGTATCCTTACTCTCCGAGTCACTTGGATATGATATTATCGAATGGAAGAATCCCCCGGCGTCGGAGTTTGGCACTCGCGATTATCAATCCGTGGGCGCTCATTTTGATGAGTTTCTTGCGCGGGGAGATAAATTTAGAGGACTTGATCTGAAGAATACCAACGAGTACGATCTCCCGCAAGACGAGAACCCCCGGGGCCAGCGAGTCTTTCTCATCGAGGAGTTTCCAATTATCCTTGGTCGAGCATCTTCCGCCCTCGCGGCGTTTCGGGCGTCTCTTCAGCGATATCTGGCCGCCTGTGGGAATAGCCATGTGCGCAGCAATGCTGAATTGCATAGCCCACCCATCATCATCATTGTATCAGAGAATTTGTTAGGATCTGCATCCTCAATCTCAGATAACTTGACAGTTCATCGGTTACTGGGGCCAACGATCTACAATCACCCCGGGACAACGATATTGGACTTCAATAGCATTGCAGCCACTTTCATGCAAAAGGCTTTGCGCTCTATATTGGAAAGAGAAGCGCAAAGTTCCAGACGTGTCCAGATTCCCGGACCGGGGGTTATAGACAAAATTTCCGAAATCGGCGATATCCGCAGTGCAATCTCATCTCTCGAGTTTCTCTGTCTTAGGGGAGATGATACGGGGGGATGGGGAGGCAGATTGGTCAAAACGAAGAAGGCGCGAGGCGAAGTCGCTTTGACGGCGATGGAGACAGAGTCTCTCAAATTGATCACACAGAGAGAGGCCAGTTTGGGCATGTTCCACGCTGTTGGAAAGATCGTATACAACAAACGTATGGACCCAGGTTTGATCGATGGCGAAGTAGAGATACTTCCACCACCACCGCATTACCTGCCTCAATATGATCGACCGAAATCTTCACAAGTATTGGTCAATGACCTAATCGATGAGACTGGGACCGAAATTTCAACGTTCATCAGTGCTCTCCATGAAAACTACATACCATCTTGTGATGGGGACAATTTTACGGACTCTTTGAACGACTGCATCGAGTCACTTTCCGATAGCGACATTCTGAGCGCCGACCGCCGATCAGGACAAGGCGCACGTGCGGGGATAGGAACTGGAATCACCTCTTTCGGTGGCGGTATCGATGTACTGCGGCAGGAAGAAATTAGTTTCCAGGTTGCGGCGCGTGGCCTTCTTTTTGCCTTGCCATACCCGGTCAAGAGACGGGTTGGGCCTGGAGGCGGACGAAGCCGTGCGGGTGATGCCCATAAAATGTTCTACCCGGCATCTCTGCGATTATGGAGAGACTGTGAGGAGATTGAAGGACTGGTCGATTCGTGGATGAACCGCCTGCTTGATCCTTTCCAGTATCAACCTCTTTCTCAAACTGGCACTGAGCCTACAGGTGTCAGTTCTTGGAAAAGTCTCCAAGTTGGCAGATCGGAATTGATCAACTCTGGAAATAAAGATGACACTCCAAGTGTAGTCACGATGATTCCCCGGCATGACCTTCTCCTCTACCAGTTACCCTACATGGCTGCAATCCGGCGTCAGGACCCGGAGTGTTGGCAGTTGAATAAAATTACCAGTATTCGCGCCACCAACGAGAGTCTTCGCAACGACCGCATTGATGATATAGAGGAGCCCCCGGCATATCGATTACGCATGTCTCAAACTAGCAGCAAAACGCTTGGATCTCGACTGCCACAGGAAGAGAAATTGATACTCAGTGATGATGATATTGTCGATTGATTGGTTATTGGGAATCAATGGCGTATGTACCCTAGTGCAATGATCTGGAACCCTAAAGACAAGCCCATTGGATATGATAAAGAGAACGAGAGACCAAGAGCATAGTTGCCGATTTCATCTGTTGTAGGTATGTTGTATGTTGTATGTAAGGTTGTCCGTTGGATGGGGGTATGTCGATCCCCGTGATCCACCCTATCTTATCGCCAACTTTCTTCTTTGAACGTCGCCTTGTACATTGCGCCTTGGGGGAAATAGTATATTATAACAAGGCAAGGAAACGAGTGCATCTGTCTTTGGGTTTGTCCGCGGCAAATCTTCATTCCTTACAATCGCTGACACTCTAAACAACAGATAGAATGCTCAATGATCATGAACCCTCGAAACGAGGACACGATTCCTATCTGATCAACCGATCTCGAGTCTCTGCTGTGAACTCTCTAGATGATACCGATGTCGCTTTGAATGATACGTCTCGATCTAGAAATCCAGAGAACAGACATGACTACGCTCAATTGAAGAAAGATGCCCCAAGCCTCATTGCTGCCGCCGCACACGCGGCCGTGCCTAGCTGGACGAGCATGGTTCTGATGGTCTCTCTTATATTCGGTGGCTGTTGCGCCAATGTTCGTGTCTGGAATGTGCACATAGTTGTGGGATAAGATGAGACTGACGTTGTTCATATAGGTCTTTGCGCTCGAGGCGATTATCAAGTAAGTCACCAATGTCAATCAATGGCCATACAATGTTGCTAATCCTCCATCTATTCACAGAGAACAGCCTACTGCGGGTAAGCACGAATATCAGGTTGAAAAACGTTATATAACCTAAATTCACCCGTCCTCCACACAGGTCCCTTGATAACATTCGCCCAATTCGTGCTCTGCGCACTCTTCACAGTCCCAAGCTTTCTGTCCTTTTCAGCAGGGCCACGAGCTCTATTCCTTAATCCCCGCGCCATCCCACTGCGATCGTGGGTCGTATACACTGCCTACTTTGTGAGCGTCAATCTCCTCAATAATTGGGCCTTCGCATACAAGATCTCCGTGCCACTGCACATAATTCTGCGGTCTGCCGGCCCTGTTGCGTCCATGGCTATCGGCTACTTGTACAACGACAAGCGCTATTCCCGCGGTCAGGTTCTATCGGTAGCAATGCTGACGGTGGGTGTGGCGGGGGCGGCCATGGCGGACGCGCAAACCAAAGGCGTGTCCATGCACGCCGATTCCAGCCCCACCAACACAATGACGACGGTAACAGGTCTCACAATCCTTGTGCTAGCAATGGTCCTCTCTGCATTCCAGGGGATCTATGCCGACCGCCTATATGCGACTTACGGCAGGGATCACTGGAAAGAAGCGCTTTTCTACTCGCATGCTCTTTCTCTGCCCCTGTTCTTGACAAGTTACCCGCAGCTGTTGGGCCAGTGGCGGGTCGTGGCTTCGTCGCCTTCTTTGCTGTCTCATCTGGATTCGAAACTTTGGTCCCGTGGGCCGTTGTCGAGGGAAGTCAAGGGTACTACTTTCTCGGTGCTGGTGCGGATGTGTCAGGTTGAGTCTGTGCAGGCTTTCCTTAGACATGTTCCCATTCAGGTGACGTATCTGGCGATGAATGCGCTGACTCAGTACCTGTGCATTCGTGGTGTTCATCTTTTATCTGCCAAGTCTTCGTCCCTGACAGTTACCATTTTCTTGAATATTCGCAAGCTGGTTTCATTGCTTCTGTCCATCTATCTCTTTGGGAATCATCTGGCTACGGGTGTTTTGGTTGGCGCAGCTTTGGTATTCATTGGAGGTGGCTTATATGGCTTTGAGAGTGCGCGTCTGCGCAGTGTTGCTAAAAAGACACAGTGAGGTTGCACATAAGGTCTATGTGACAACTAATGTCTCGTCGGGGTGGTTATCCGTTATCCTTTGCGTTTTAACATCGTTCACTCTATTACGCATTATTCTCATGGGTCAGAAAGCTATGGATGTCGCGAACCCTATATTCGGTGAGTGGGAGAAAAGAGATATTGATATCATGTGCATGCCGCGCGATAATTGTACATAAATTGAGATAGCAACACATATCCTCCACACCAGATGAGTGGAAAAGGATCAAGCATGACGCATAAGCAGGATCCGCTAGGCTTTTCCCAGGGCAGATCAAATAAAAAAAAAACATCCATCTATAAGACTTCGCCCACAATCTTGGCAGCTTCTTTGTATGTCTCCAATAGCCGCTCACACTTCTCTCTCTCAGCCTTAATGCCATCATCCTCATAAAGGAGCTCGCCGAAGAGATCTTCTTTGTAAAGTTCGCTTACAAGTCTATTCTGCACAACATCCTTGCAGTGGTTCACAAGGAGATGCATAACAGCCTTAGGAACTTGGTCTGCAATGGTCTCTCGGACAATGTTGAAGTACGATGAAATAAGACGACGAATGAGCTCAGTTTCTAGCATCTCACGGTCTGTGAGTGCAGGCTCGGTGTTCTCATGAGGCTGCAGTGAATAAAAGTCAGCCAAGTGCATCTGTAAAAATGGAATCATATAAATAGTAGAACTCACGAAAGTAGACGTGTCACCGCCGTACTCCGATGGTGCAGTGTACTCCTCGGCTGGCATAATGGGAGCCCGAACCTCAGCGCGGCGAATACTCTGGCTAATGCTTGGCTCACTGGCATGTGGCCCTTGACGGTTGGCATTCATGCTTGCCGGTGACATGGCTGTGTTGTGGGTACCTTCCTTGCCGAAGAAGTAGTTCAAAAATGAGTCCCGGGCATTATTAGAAGCACCACCAAATGCAGCTGCATGGTTAGAATTAGCGCCATTGAGAGTGGCAGTAATGCCATTCTCGCCTATGCGACCAACGTGAGGAGACATGCTCCGTGAGCCCTTGGTAGAGTGACTTCGAATGGGGAGGTTTTGCTTGTCGGCATATTCCTCATCGTCAGGACCGCCTGCAGTGCCGTTAGGAGCTCCCAGTTCTTTTTGACGTCGCTTGTCACGCTTTCGCTTTTCCTCTGCTAGCACGGCTTTTCTTTCTTCATCCTGCTTGTTTTGTATGATTGAGGACATGGCAGCCGCAGCACCAAGGAAGTTTGGGTGGTTGGTATTAATGTACGCTCTTTGAATCGAAATCAAAGATTCGACATAGCTCGAGCAAGGGCCCAGGCGCTCACGAAGGAGGTCAGATACAACCTCAATCAACTTTCCTTGTAAACGAGGGAATCGCAAGAGTTCTTGGTTCCCACATGTGTGGCAGATCTTGATAAGCTCTTCATAGACTAGCTCCACACATCGCTGACTGGGGGATTCGAGAAGTTTAATCTGTGGTTTGACCAGCAAATCGAATGCCAACTCTGGGACAAACAGGCTAGGGCGAGGACCTGTCGAGTTTCGTATGGCCGTTCGGATATCGGAGACGGTCAGGTTATGAGTGGGATCAATTGTTTCCAATGAGTTTCCAAAAACGGAGTTGAAGATATAGTAGATTCTTGCTCCACCGCAGAGTTCTTTGGTGGAAATTTCCGAGGAAGTTCCGTCAATAGATGATATGAACGAGGCGGCGAACCTGGTCATCTGTTGAAGAATCAATGACCCACGGTGTTCCTCGCCACTGAATTGCTTGTTTCCGTAGCTGGCTAACTCCTGTTGGGTTTGACCCATCAAAGTGTTCAGTCGCGCCTTGATATCCGGCAGTCGGTCTCGAATGTGTGACATGAGGGTTGTGTTCAGGGTCTTGGCTAAAAAGTGTGTACCACAACGGTTGGCCATATTTCTGTAGGCTGGATGATGCCGGAAGAATTCTGATTCTGCCCGCAATGCATCGGACAGAGATTTTCCCGATTGAATATCCTGCTGGGACCGGTTGACAACGCCAATGAACCCAAGCTTTAGGGGATACACACGGCCAGAGAGAATATCCATTGCATTGGTGCCATGGTCCATAAGATCCAGCTTTGACAGAACACCAATCGTCCTCCGACCCATGGCATCCACCTGGCGGGCAAGCTTCAAAGCCTCGGAGTTGACCAGGTCGACATTGGCCGGAGAAACCGCAAGAATGATGCTATTCGGTTTGGCGATGTATTCCAAAATGAGAGTGCGGGTTTGTTTTTCGATATCGGACGGTTGGTCACCAATGGGCACTTTTGTCAGTCCTGGCAGATCCACCAGTGTGAGATTAAGCACATGAGGAGAGAAGATCTTGAGGTTGATTGGTTGTCTGTTGATGCCCTTGTTGCTTCCCGCGATTCTCGCCGTCTCCGCTTCTATCTCTTGCTTCACTTGCGCAAAGTCATCAAACTTGCGGCCCGGGAGGTGGTGAAATTCAGCCCATTCGTGTTGACCGGCAACACTAGCGGGAGTGTGGGGGATATGAATTTCATCGTATTCCGGCTTATCGTCGCGTTCACTGGGCACATTGATAAGTTGCAGGATCAGAGGTCGTCGAGTGACAATGCCACTGCCTCTTGGTAGGAAATCCCTTCCGACGATATTCTCTAGAACCGAAGACTTTCCGGATGACTGGGAACCAACAACAACCTAAGAAGGAGGTAGGAATTAGTCTTGGGTCGACCGGGTATCAAATGAGAACTCCCTCTCAAAATTCAAGAGCCCTCTACCCGACCAGACTCACAATTTGGGGTAAATCCAAGGAATCATTCCCAATGGTATTAAAGACCAGATCTTGAAGCTTGTTCACGGTCACGAGCAGATCCTCGCCCAGCGATGCCATGATGTATTTTAGAGGAAAACCAAAGCAGGCTTCCTAGGTTGATATGGTTCGCAGGGCTGAGATAGAAGCTCGGATCAAAAGACAGAGAGATAAATCAAGGTACGCGCAAAGGGAAGTCGCGTGGAAACAGTCACCGGATCCCTGTAGGCCTAAGCACTCTGTTCGATCCCTGGAACATTGTTTATGGCCACTTTTTCGGCACACGTGATGCTGACATAATCACATGCCAAGGTCATGACGTCGATGATTCGTCGACTCCGAACTGTAGCTACAGGCATGTAGAGAGCATTGCTAACTACTCCGTCCTGCCGAGGTAGATGTTTGGTTCATTGCAAGATTTCTGTACAGTAGGTAATCTATACTCGATAATTTTAAGTATACAAGACCAGAGTTAATTCGGTAAATGAAGAGAAGTTAGATTCCCTTTGGCTAGAACTTCCGAATATCTATGTATCATCCGATCACTCATCCAGACGAACATAGTTGGCAGGGAATAGACCCTGCTTGCCATTGTACTCACCAAGCCACCAGTCATCATCCGGGAACTCCTAGAATGAAGAGTTAGGATCAGATGTCGCAGTGCGAAGAAGACTGAAAAGGCAGGGATTGTTTCACTTACTACATTGGAAATTTTGACGCCTTCAGGGAAGCCAATCTCATTGTCTTCAGCAGCTTCATAGTCATACAAAGCCGTGGCAGTGATACCCTTGGGGATCGGGGAAGCGGCCGTCGCCGCCACGGGTACAGCAGTAGGAGTAGGCGCGGCCAGAGGAGCAGCGGATTCCGGCTCTGCTTCAAACTGGTGCGAGTCATTGGCCGGTGGCGCGTGGGATACGGGTTCTTTGTCTTCCACAACCTCCACGTAGTTGGCTGGGAAGAGGCCACGCTCACCCTGATTATTGACACCCACCCACCAATCTTGATCCACCATCTCAATGTCAGTCACGTACTCTCCCTCTCGCAATTCGATCTCATTATCCTCAGCCTTCTCGTAATCATACTGGATCTGAGCCCGCGGTCCGGGGTGGCGCTGCTCAGACTGTCCATGAGCGGTGGTTTCAGCCGCAGCACGACCAAGGTCGTGAGAGTTATCTTCAAGATCACTTTCATCGGGAACGGCCTCTTGTAGACTCTGGACAGGCATAACAGGGGCAGGAGAATGTTGCTCTTCGTGGGCATCGGCCACGCTGTGGCTAACCGGCATGGCAATTTGGATCGGAGAGCTCTCACGCACTGGTGGGGTGGGAGGTGTCGGGGAGCGAGGCTGCGGTGGGGGAGTGGGGAGAACCTGCTGGGCATCATGCTCGGGCTCAGACTCGATGTCTCCAGAGGATAGTCCGGGCACAGGAACTGGGCGACTAGCCTGCGGGACTGGGGGAGCAGGAGGAGCGAGTGGCGCAGGCGTTTCATGCGAGAACTGGTCACGAATATCACTCACATGAGGCTTTGGCTCATCCTCTTGTGATTCATTGGCCTTTGCATCAACAGGCTGCTCGGGGAGGTGTGGTTTCTCCTGAGTAGTCTGGACGGGGGCCCATGACTTGCCAGCATAGGAGCTTTTCCACTCGCCCTGCCCACTGTTTTGGCTTTGGATTGCAGCAGTGGCAGGGGTACGCTCAATATCCCCAGACGACGAAGTCACTCCACGCTCTTTAGCCTTGCGCTCTGCCCAAATTTGAGCAGGTGTCTTGCCTCCCTCATCAGCGAAAGTTCGGCTTGCAGCTCCGATCTGTGCACTTGCACTCGCCTTGGGCTCAAGACCGACTGGGAGGGGTGGTTTAGTTCCAGGGAAAGACGGGGTAGAGCCAAACTTGTTGGCAATTTTGGGTTTCGGTAAGCTGGTCAAGCGCTCCGATGCATTTGAGATCACCGGTCTCTCGGGCAACGTTGTTGGCTGCTGATTGGTCGTAGGCTTTGATGAGACGTGGTCGCTGGCGCCGTCTGGCTTCTGTGCTCTAGCTCGAATAGCAGCAATGTCAACCTTTCCAATAGGCTCATAAGAACCCTTGACAATTGCCGGACGATCATCCCTCAGCTGTCCGGACTCGGCGGCTTGCTTACGGATTGCGGCAATATCGACTTTACCCACCGGCTGATAACCACCTCTAACCACATCGCTAGCATTATCAAATGTAGCAGCAGATTGACGAGTAGCTGTCGGGTTTGCCTTGAGTTCTTGCAGGTTCACTCGCGTGGGTTGGTAAGCAGGTTGAACGTTTTCCAGTTGAGTGCGAGTCACTGGAGGGGCATCTGCGCCCCACCCATCATTCTCTAGATCGGCTCTTGAATATGTGGGAAGCACCCGAGCTGCGGGACTGGGGGTAATTCCGCCGGATCGAGTCGGTGTAAAGGCAGGTTTGCTGGCCACAGCAGGTCGGGAGGCTGGAATCGGTACAGATGCCTCGCCCGCTGAATATTTGGAACCGGAGGAATCTGCCACGCGCTGGACCATTCCCTCCGGAGTCAAATCCCCGTCCGCTCGGGCTGTAATCTGTACATGATATCCCTATCCAATCAAGTCAGTCTCCCCGGAGTAGGCACGTTATGGAAATGGAAGTTCTCACATGCAGAAATTTGGAAACAGTAGCTAGATGGCTGGTGAAATAACCCTTGGTTCGTTCCGGTACACCTTCTCCACACCACCCAACCAGTACGTTCTTGGGAAGACGGGTATTGGGATCAGTCACCTTCACAAAGGCGAATTGCACGCGACCCTCGGAAAATTCGTCGATAAGATCGGCCAATTCACCCTCTAACAATATGATTTGTCAGTAGAAGATAAGGCTAAGCTGGTGATCATATCACTGACCTCCGGTGCTCTGGACCTTGAGGACACTCTCCTTGCCTCCGTCTTGCTGAAAGGCACTGACAAGCGGGGTAGAAACCGAAAAGACGGCCCATTGACCGTAGGTCGAAGACCGTTCATTCCCAGATGGAGGTGATGCATTCACCACTGTCTGATAGCTTTTGGATATCGAGGGGCCATTTGACGAGAGATTGAGAGAAGCCATGACTTCCGGTGGGGGACGGGGGAAGAGGGAGCTTGTCAACGTTGGGAATTGACCACGTGGGAGGGTTGTTTGCTTCTCCCTCTCTTTCGTTACAATGTCTGTATCTTATGCATGAACTGTCAGCATTAGAGCTCAAATCCAACCATCCGGGTGTGTGATGCAAATAGGTCGTAGATCGGCCGATAGGGGGAGAAAAGGAAGTTGATCTAGACGTAAACACGGACCTTGGAGGAATGGATTGGAAGAGGAATGAATGCTTCAGAACGGTGATATTGCAGAGACAGGAGTGATTACAGAATCAGAGGAAAGAGGAAATACCTACGGAGTACACAGGTAGTACGTAGTCGAAACGATGAAGCCTGGAGCGAGAAGTGGATCATTAGATCATTAGGGGAAGTGTATCTTACGATACCAGTACCTACAGAGTACACAGCCCGTTTTGAAGGCTGTCCTCATCAATAGCTCCGTCCGAAGTGGGGTCAAAGGAACGAAAACGAGGGATTCACTATTCTAGACGGAGCACGGAGTAAATAATAGGAACAATTCCATAAGTCCCCTATTCCTTATACCAGCTAGGAGTTACATCCCTACATGGAGGTACATGTACCTATGGAGTACTCTGTATGTGTCGAGTACCCAGATATGTACGGAGTACATAGCTATACGTGGGGATACCTGATGCGCCCCCCCTTTTGTGTCAATGTGGCTCCTCCAAGAACACGCCAATTTCCAGTGGCGCTTTGTACAGCAAATACATACTCAGATTCTAGGTCTTTTCTTTATGACGACACGCTCAATCTATGATATTATCTTGATGGTATAGTATTAGAATACCTTGGTAGCTTATAATCATCAAGATCAAGCCTTCTATACTAATCATACATATAAAGAAGCTGGTACAAATTACTACTTGTTACTATTAAATCCTAGCCAAAATTCCAGCTAAACATATGACTACAAGAATTGCCTTATTTGTTACCTTCTTTGTCGCCTGTATGATTCTAGGAAAGGACTAGGGTTTAATAGTAAGGAGTACGGAGTATTGTGGGAGGATTTACCTGTATATTACAGATCAAATTCAAAGCCAAATTGAGAACGTTGTATACCATATAAGATAATGCGGTGTGTTGGGCTGCTCATATAAACGCGCCAATTTCCCTATGTTGTACGAACTACGGAGTACTCCGTAGGTAGTTCATATTTAGCCTATCAGATACATATGGGAGGGGCATACCTACCTAAGTACCTAGGTACCTCTTATCTCAGAACATGTAGGTTCCTTGGCGATCTCGGCTTTCCTTTTCTCTTCTTCACCAAGAAGCTTGATCTTGACCTTTAGGTGATTTCTTTTCTTTCTTTTCCTTTTTTTTTTGACTTTCATTCTACTCTTGGAGATTATTTTCATCTTTAGCTGGTCAATTAGGACGGAGCCTCTTTGTGTCCGACCCCTGTTCCATGCATTAGTCTCCTTCGTGCAGTATTTTTTTGCTGTTCCCTTTCGCCTTTGGTCTCTTTATCTATCCTTGTTTTGGGTTACGATTTTCTTTTCTCCCCAAGATAGCAAGGGGGTACAGCAGTCATGGGACATCCTCAATCCGATCCCGGTACCAGTCGGAATGCCAACGAATCTGCAGACCCTTTGAACAATGATTCAGCCACCACATCCCTGAGTATCGAGGATCCTGTCGATCCTGTTCTACAAAAAAGCCCTGGTACGCTGGATCAGCCTGCAGAGGAGATCTTGCCTCGAGATCAACAGCAGAAAACCGCCACCTATGACTATGCTTATGAAAAGTCCATGAGTCACGCCGAGGCGAGACTCTTCTATCAGCATCACCAGCTGGCCGCACGGAACGATAGCACTCTGCCTTCTAGTCCAGTAGCCCCAGCTCGCCCAACGGTCGAAACAAAACTCGAAGAACCACCGGTTAACTTACCGCATACAATGGAAATTCAAGGTCAGAGCTCCCGCGAGGGATCTATGCACATAGAATCCGACTCCTCTACACTACACCTACAATCTACAGGTGACCTTGGTTCCTTCAGATCTCATTACCTCGAAGATGATCAAGATGAGGCGAACGATTCTGCCCGAAACCAGGCGATGCATCTAAGTGCTGTTCATGGGCAGAGACCGTACTCGGCGGCAGAGAATCTACAGAGCGCCGGTGTGGGAATCGGAGGGCCTCAGGTTGCTAGTGGTTTTTCATCTAGCAGCGATGCTGTGACATCTGAGCTGAACACCATCTACTGTAAAATCAAAAAGTTGCTTGATCGGCGATCCCAGTACATGGAATTATCCTTGCAGGGACCTGGAAATGATCCCAAAGATCAACCGAATTGGGAAATCTACCCCCCGCCTCCAGAGCCAGCGTGGCATGATGGCAAAGAATATCAGCCTGGCCATGTCGGCGGCCCTTCCGACCTTGCAGGAAAGAAGAGGAAGATGGGTCAAGACATTGGGGAAGATTTTGACATGGAGGAATTGATGCCTCTGCCCAATAAGTCAAGTTACACGTATCGACTGGATGGAAATAGTGTGTATCAAGTTTTTGAGTCTGAGGCCGCCGTCGACGAGCAGAGCCCTATTGTCCAGATCCCCTCACTGCGCGATTTCTATATGGATCTGGATGCCGTCGTGGATGTGTCGACCAACGGACCTGCCAAGAGCTTTGCTTTCAAGCGGCTTTCGTACTTAGAGGGCAAGTTCCAACTCTATACTTTGCTGAATGAGTATCAGGAGATGGCCGACAGCAAAAAGGTACCTCACAGGGACTTCTACAACGTTCGTAAAGTGGATACCCACGTTCATCATTCGGCATGCATGAATCAGAAACATCTTCTTCGGTTCATCAAGAGCAAGATGAGAAAATCTCCGGATGAGGTGGTGCTTTTCCGAGATGGGAAACATTTGACCTTGAGAGAGGTTTTTGAGAGTATCAATTTGACTGCTTATGACCTAAGTATCGATACTTTGGATATGCATGTAGGTCTCTTATTACACCCCCTGATCTTTGTCTTTCTTTTTGGCCTACAGAACATACTAAAGACGCAATCGTACCAATCTTTCCTTTCCCTCTTTATTACTACTCTGCTACTGCTACTGCCACTGCTACTCTCACAATTTGAGACCACAGACCGCTGTCACTTCCGCTGACCGAACACATAGGCACATACTGACTCTTTCCACCGATTCGACAAATTCAATCTGAAATACAATCCAGTTGGGGAATCTCGGCTGCGTGAAATCTTTCTGAAAACAGACAACTACATCAAAGGTCGCTACCTGGCAGAGATTACCAAAGAGGTGATCTCGGACTTAGAATCCAGCAAATATCAAATGGTGGAATGGCGAATCTCGATCTACGGTCGTTCCCTTCAAGAATGGGACAAGCTCGCAGCCTGGGTGGTGGACAATAAGCTGTTCTCACCCAACGTTCGCTGGCTCATCCAAGTGCCTCGTCTCTATGATGTTTACAAATCCAGCGGCATGATGGAGAACTTTGAGCAGGTTATCACCAATGTCTTCCAGCCGTTGTTCGAAGTGACCAAAGATCCTTCGAGTCACCCCAAGCTCCACATTTTCCTCCAGCGGGTGGTTGGATTCGACAGTGTAGATGATGAAAGCAAGCCTGAGCGCCGATTGTATAGAAAATATCCCATCCCCCGGGAGTGGAACACTAAGCAGAATCCGCCTTACACTTACTGGTTATACTTCATGTTCGCCAACATCGCATCCCTCAACAACTGGCGGAAACGCCGTGGATTCAACACATTTGTTCTTCGGCCTCACTGCGGAGAGGCAGGTGACCCGGATCATCTGGCTGTCGGTTTCCTGTGCTGCCACAGCATCAGTCACGGTATCTTACTGCGCAAGGTACCTCTCTTGCAGTATCTTTACTATCTTGACCAAATTGGCATTGCCATGTCACCACTCAGTAATAACGCTTTGTTCTTGACATACGACAAGAACCCCTGCGCTAGCTTTTTCAAGCGAGGACTCAATGTATCTTTGTCCACCGATGATCCATTGCAGTTTGCCTTTACGAAGGAGCCTCTCATTGAAGAATATTCAGTTGCGGCACAAATCTATAAATTCAGCGCAGTCGATATGTGTGAACTTGCGAAGCATTCAGTTGACCAAAGTGGATTCGAGCTTTCCCTCAAGGAAAGATGGCTCGGTTCGGACTGTGCTCTGCCAGGAGTTGATGGTAACAATGTTGCAAAGAGCAACGTCCCAGATATTCGTGAGGCATTCCGATATGAGACTTTGCTTGCAGAACTGTCCTTGTGAGTTATTCGGGTGTCTTTTCTGTCATGTAAATGGTGCTAACCGCTGATCGTCTCATCAGGATCGAGCGATACTCCGATAACAACTCGAGTGAAGAGCAAAAGATCTTGGTTCCAGGCTCACAAGCAGGAGCGATCCCCTCAAACCATGGTAATTATGATCTTATGGCATGAGCAGAATACATGCAATGGATTAACATAGAGTCATCTGTCCTTAGATCACCCTACATCTAACCCTAAATGCCAGTCTGGGCTATGTTTGGGTGCAGCCGGTACTACGAATATCCCACGACGAGATCATCAAGACATGACCCAGATGGCTACGTCTCCATCAACGCCAACGACACACCTTGCTCGATCCCCTCGTCTTGTTACTGGTGAGTTTTCGTCTCCGGGTACCAACGCTGCGCTTGGAACAGTTGTTGGGAGCGCAGATAGTCTTCCAGAGCAGAAGATTTTCCCGGGAATTGTCCATGAAAGGGCCCGAAAGGGAAATATGCATCAATAGGTGTCTCGTGGCTTGAATTTGATACGTTTATATCTAGGTGCACAGTGATTGGGGTTCAACAACAGATCTAGGCTGGGGGTGGGAAATGATATCGGCAATCTAGCTCCTCCTTTTTGGTCAAGTTAGCATCTACTTATATTCCGACGTAGGAACCGATTGGTACTATGTGTACTATGTAGGTGGTAAAACCCATGATTGTCATGCACATTAATAACTTACCCCGGAAATTGAGGAGATGAGAAGAGCGACTACAACTAGAAGAATTCATCCTCAACCCATCCATACATATTCACCCACGAGATGTAAATGCACGCTGCTCGAGAACGAGACATAACTTCAATATTTAGGGTATTTCAAATTGCCCAACTGCCTTTGCGTTCTGGCAATCCCCAGCCTTCAAGGTTGGTTTCATCTTCAGCCATGCCAGGCTCTTGTCGCGCCCATTCCAGAATGTATAGACGGAGGGCTTTCCATCTTGCGCATCCATTCACGAGATTGTCATTTTCGGGAGCAACAACGTAGCCTTTGGCATCGGTTTGCAGATCGTCTCGGCGGAGATCTTGGACGGGGATGCCCGAGATCCGGCTGAGTTCATAGTCATAATAACGAGCAAGACATGGATACCCCAGTGAGAGGTAGTTATAAATTTGGGTCACAAATCCATCATGGAACTCTGATTTGATGGCCGTCTGGAGACCAGGGCTCGTGGGCTTGCGAGAAATATGGTTTCCAGGTGAAGCCACGAGACGATCCAAGTGAGTGTGTGAAGGAGATGGGCTGAGTCCCATGTAGACGCCGGCCTCATCGACACGGGGCATAGGAGTCACGATCCCAGGCAGCAGGCCGTGGAATTCCCGCTCCTGGCCCTCTTCTTTGCAACAAGTACCCATCCAAAGACCAACAACTTTTCCATCGCCTCGATGGGGAGCTGCGCACCACAAGCCACTACATCCCGAGCAAAGATCTTGTATACCAAAAGAGGCGGTATCGGCACTGGAGTGCTCACACATCGATCCTTCTGGTGAAACACTTTGAGGGAGGACAAGATCATTTCCAAGCATGGGTGGGCTGTTCTCATTCTTATTTTGCTCCGGTATAGAGCCTCGCTGTCTAGATGCAACCATGGCCCGGAGTCTCATTTCAGATTCCTCCTTGTGATGGCGCATATACTCGAGTTCCCAGGACAGATCTGCTGAAGATTGTCGTCGGGACTTGACGAGCTGATACTTCATTTGAGAATCAGGATGTTCTTCCAAATCCCCGTCATCTTCACCAATTGCGAAATGGTCGACGGGCTGATACACTTGTTCATTCGGAAAGGCAGCCAACGCTTGTTCCTTAAGTTGCTTCTGTGCGGATCGAGCGGCAAGCGAAAGCAGGTAATCTGATATCCCCCCATCACAGCTTTCGCGAGGTAATTTGGTGGCACATGGATCTCGAGTCATTTTGCTCGAAGACCCAAGCGGCGAAGTACATGTTGAGTGTGATCTGGAGTCATCTGATTCTTCGCTGCTATTAGAGGGAATTGATGGGAGATCCGGGACTCGAAATGAGTGTCTGCGTGCTTGTTGTCGGCGCAACAGACTGGAATACGAAAACTGAGATTCGGGTAGCACACAGGAGGAAGCATGGAAGGGTGTTTCCGGACTAATAATTGTACGGGTTGTGGAAGATCTTGCGGCATTGTGCTGGTGGGAAAGTTGAACAAATTTCCCTTTTCGGACCGAGCGGGTATCGGTTTCTATAAGGTTGGGTGTAAATCTTCTCGGCCCTGCCAATGTCTTCCTGGGAGACTTGGAATCTTCCTGGTGTATCTCAGAAGTAGAATGAGCCCTTCTATTGCTGGATTTGCTTGTTTCAATTGGTTCAGGTAGGAATTTTCTCGCCGGTCGCTGTTCCTTGGAGTCCTTTGAGCCTTTTGTGACTTTTGAGCCCGTGTCGCTCGGTGACAAAGCGAATTGATCCGCTTCGATGACCGCCGGCCGTGGTTCTTCGGAGCTTCGAGACAGGATCTCGATTGGCTTTGCCAGGAATTTCCGAGGGGCCCCTGGCAATGCTTTACTGTGTGATGTTGCAGATTCGAGTAGCTGATCTCGATTATCTGGGATGCTTGGCTGACTCTTGCCTATTGTGAGAAAATCTTGAGGCAGATGGGTTTTCTCTAGTCGAGATGCCCCTGTTCCATCTTCCGTGGGCGACATGTCCACCTTTAGTTTCCATCGCGTTTCTAGGGAGTGATGGCTCATTGTCTGATCTTGCAACGCTAACAACCGCTCTAGACCTCAATTATCTCTCGAAATCAACAGAAGGCGCGACAGAGCAGTAACATTTTCAATGTGAGGATGCAGTTATCAAGCCACTTTTTGCCTTATCAGGTTTATGGCGAGGATGGCATAGAGCGTGCGGGGTGGAAAAAGCGGTCTCGGTGAAGCGCCAGAACTAACGAAAATGCGGGACTTTGATCCAGCCAATATCTCAAGCTGCCTTGATGAAAAGGTTGCGTATTTGACAATGTTCTAGCCCGGGGATGAGATAGAGCGTCAAGCTTTCGGTCAAAGAGAGTTGGGGGGGGAATGATCATCTGCTACCCACACAATATCTGAGTAATGTACCACCTGTTGCATGAGGTACAAAGTACCTGGGTACGTGGACACAGATGTATGTAGCTTCGAATCCTGTATTTTATAGGCAGAGGACCCTTGAGCTCCGATGCCCATGTACCCGGGAGCCCGTACAGCACATTGCTGACTGGAAATGTCTCTTGAGTTGTGACGTCAGTTTCGCCATGCCTTAGGGATGTTTCCGCGATAGTGTAAACATCGCGATAAGATAAACGAAATTCCTTCTTCACAGTTCCTGAATTTCCTCTAGACGATACTCTTGTCAACTTGTTCTGAAACGGCAATGGATACAAATGAAAAGCGGAAACGTGGCGACCATGAAACCGATCAACAGGTCGAATCGGCCTCAAAGCAACGGAAGGTGATCGGACCCTCCTTACCTTTGCCTCGGGAAGCAGCCGACGCGACGAATAGTGCGGCTGACAGTGGTATTGATGATGACAATGATGACGATGACGATGATGACGATGACTTTGGTCCATGTCTTCCTCCATCTGTTACATTGAGCGTTTCTACGCACCCAGAGCCTCCGGCTCCCAGTGCGGCCGCGGCCGCGGCCGACTCGGAGGCAAAGGAGACCCAGCGCGATCAATGGATGCTGCAACCTCCCTCTCATTCTGACTGGACTTCCAAGGTCGATCCCACCCAGCTACGCAGTCGGAAGTTCAATACAGGCAAATCAGCCACAGCACCTAAGAATACGGATTCTTCATGGCTCGAGACTCCGGAGCAACGAATGAGACGACTACAAGATGCAGTTATGGGCATCAGTTCTTCGCCCGGTCAGATTGCACCCCAGGTTGGTGTTTCAAACAAACAATCGGTGGAAGACCAAATCAAGAAATATAAGGTATGCTTTGAGTTGCGGTTTTCTGCTTGACAATCTTCACCCTCTTCTGTTGTTGTTCCCCTTCACCATCTTTTGGCTTTCACCTGACCTGATTATTTTGTAGGATATGACTGGCACAAATGTCCGCCTAGAAAACCAAGGTCAGGCGCAGACGGAAGATGACGATCCAAGTGGGCGCGCGTTTGATCGCGAGAAAGATATGGCACTTTCTTCAAAGATATCTAGTGCCCAGCGCCGAGAGATGGTCAAAAAAGCTGCGGATTACAATACCCGTTTTACAAAGGGTAACTTCCTATAGTTATGAATGGCTATCATGGCATGCCACCAGCGCTGGCTAGGGGATTCGGGCTTAGAATTGATGCCGTGGTGACTGCCTATAACCCCGGTCAGAAGTCTGTCAATATGGCTCTACTAAGGACACGCTAATTCCCAGTAGCTCTTTATACAGCAAATACTAAAATAGTGTGGTCCTAGAACCGTTAGTATATGCGGAGTAGTGGATCACCTATGCCCCTATAACCGGCCCTATTTCTTTTTACCAAAATTACGGTCCCTCGCTGATGATGTGTAAAAGAAGAGGATCATTGAGCAGCGAAGCGGAGCAATAATAGAAGGATTTGCTAAGGATGAAATGCTCGCCTCGCCTCGCTTCGACCTACAGTTCGACCGCAAAAGTTTCCGCGAAATTGCCCCACACCCGCGTCTTTCGAGTCGCGTTTTCCCAAACTCACCTTCTTCAAAATATAAGCGATAACGTTAGGTCTTTACAATTAACTACTATTATAAAAAATAGGGAAAAAAATATATTATTGTATGCTTAAACTTAAAACGAATCTTAATGATTAGACTTCCGCACGCACCGGAATTGGGTCGAATATCCCGACCCGGCACCGGACCCAGGTTGGGTTCACCGGATAACCCAATAAAAACCCAATTGGACCCAACTTTTGCATAATTCTCTATATAAAGTGCCTTACTTATCTAAATTGAACACTATAATTTTTCCTTGTTTTGGTCATATCAAGAAAGACTTTAATATTTAGTAGCATAGTAAGTTAAACTTGATAAAATATCCTTATTTATGTAAAGGAATACTAGGTTTTCAGGCTAGCACTTATTGGTCAGGCAAGAAAGACAGATGGAAGGGAAGATAGTATAGTACTCTTCGTGCAGAGACTAATTCTTGCTAAGATCGGGATTGGGGAGAGAAGACCACCTTTTACCTCTTCTAGACTTCCGCACGCACCGGAATTAGGTCGAATATCCCGACCCGGCACCGGACCTAGGTTAGGTCCGGTGCCAAACCCCCGACCCGGGCCCACACCGGACCCAACGTGAGGTTCACCGGATAACCTGATAAAAACCTAATTAGACCTAACTTTTGTATAATTCTCTATATAAAAGGCCTTACTTATCTAAATTAACCACTATAATTTTTCCTTATTTTAGTTATATTAAGAAGGACTTTAATATTTAGTAGTATAGTAAGTTAAACTTAATAAATATCCTTATTTATTAGTATTTAAGGTCTAGTAATATATTAATTACTTAATAGAAAATAAAATTTCTTATAAAATAATACTATAATGAGTAGGGTTAGAAAACTTATATATTTAAGTAGTAGAAATATATATTTATAATATATAGTTCTAGTATAGTCTTTCTAATACTAAAAAGATAATTAGGATAATAGTAAATTAGTCTAATTTTATAAATCTTCTTTATTAGAGAGTAGTTTCTAGTAAAAATAAATATTATTAGTATCTAGATATTATTATATTTACTTAATAATCCCTTAATTCTAAAGTATTTAGTTAAGACTAAGTATTGAGGGTAAAAAATTCTTAAGTGATTTTCTAAATTAATTTAGGAATTAGGTTTTTATTAGGTTTTTACTAGGTTTTATACAAGTACCTACTTACTTTATACTCTATAAGCTAATTAATATAAAGCTAATATCTTAGTCTATTTAATCTATTATCTTTAATCTCTACCTATTATTCTTAATTATAAGTTATAATATCTCTCTCTTATTTCTTTTACTATATTTCTATCTATATCTTAAAGTTAGTAATCTAATTTTATATAAGACCGACTACGGGCACACTATTTTTACTACCGGCATACTATTGACTAAACTCTTTTTAGATATTTCCCGCTGGCCGTAATTTGTTTATAGGCTACCGTATTTAATATGGTACTCCCTTAGTATTTCGGATAGTACCCGAATCTTATCTAGCACCCTATCGCGAATATAGAATCTTATACGCTATCTACACTATTATATAAAAATGAAGCTATTCCTAGATACTGATTTGATTAAATCTTTTCCTACCGAAGAAGGGGGTTTAGTGATATAGGGTTTGAATAGTCACGTGATTATAAAACCCTCATTTTTAGTAGGAAAAAACTTAATCAAATCAGTATCTAGGAATAGCTTCATTTTTATATAATAGTGTAGATAGCGTATAAGATTCTATATTCGCGATAGGGTGCTAGATAATATTCGGGTACTATCCGAAATACTAAGGGAGTACCATCTTAAATACGACAGCCTATGAATAAATTATGGCCAGCGGGAAATATCCAAAAAGAGTTTAGTCAATAGTGTGCCGGTAGTAAAAACAGTGTGCCCGTAGTCGGTCTCTAGATCTTTTTAGATAAATATTCTATCTAATAAACTTCGAATTCTAAGATAAAATAAATTTAGAGATTCTAATCTAAGATATACTAATATAAACTTTTAAACGTAAAAGCTTATATAAAAGATATTATATAGATAGTTTAGGCTAGAATCTAGCTTAGTAGGTAGATAAAGTTAGTAATAATAAAGCGGGAGATATAGATAGTTTAAGATTAAGAAAGGGCTAGATATACTATGAAATCCTATCTTAATACGCTTTAAAAGGGCCTTCTACTATATTATATACTAGGAACTATCTTCTAGTAAGATAATACGCGGATTTATATATCTATAATTACGTAAGAGTAGTTTAAACGTTATAGGGTTTATATTAAGAATTAGCCTCTATATTCGCCTAATTTAAGCCCGATTAAGCCTTATTAGTGGATACTAAAGGTTAAATCATTAAAGATATACCCCGAATTACTATATATAGGTCGTATTAAGCGGGACTAGACCTATGTTCGGCGTTATATACGTACTATATAGGATGCACTTAATTAAGATATAATTAATAGTTTAATCCGATCTATATCTAGGAGATTACTTACTACTCGGAAAGTAAGGGGCTATTATACTAAATATTAAATTTAGTAAAAATGCTAGCTATTTAGCTATCTATTGATCCCATTTTTATTAAAATATCTATATTGTTAGGGTAGATATATATAGTTGAATGTAGTGATATATATTTGATAGGGTGCGGGTAATTTACGGGTGTCGCTAAACTTATGGTCATAGGGTGTATTATATAATACCCTAACTCGAGAGTAAGATAGAACTGTTATTATAACGGTAATAAGTTATAGAAGTAAGGTAAGGCTCTTAATATAACGAAAGTGAGCTTCTTATTATAATAGGTATAGGTTAGAGACGAAGAGGTAAAAGGTGATCCCCTTCTCTCCTAAATCCTAATCTTAGTAAGAATTAGTCTATATACGAAGAATACTATTAAGGTAACTATTTATTAAGGTAGTGCTTATTAACTAGGTAAATAATAATACGAGAAGGATACGAAATTAGAACGAAGGGTATTCGATTCTATTCTATATTATTCGTAAGACTAAATCTTACCTTCCCCTTCTTCTTCCTTCTTCTTAGGTCTCTCCCTTTTATGATTTAGGTTTCCCGCTTCTTAGGACCGGATCATCTTAATTCTATATCGTACCCGCGGGGTATTTAGAAGAGTCTCCGTATAGAAAGTAGGAGCCTAAGGTAAGAATAATATAATAAAGAAATACCGTAATAACTATCCCCCCTTCTCTATAAAACCTATCCCGGGGTTTTAGGGTAAATAAAGGGAAGTGTAAGTTATAAGGTAGGAAGGACTCCTATCGAGTTCGTGCTTTTCTCTATCTCTTAGAGTCTCGTTAATATAGCTATAGTAGTAGCTAATAGGCGAGAGACTAGCGATCTTATACCGGAACTAGAACTAATCTAGTGCCTAGACTACCTATATTCTAACTTTAAGTCCTTTAATATTACTAATAGAGAAGTTTTCTCTATCTCCTACTAATATAATATAATCGTATCTATCTTTTATAAGTAATATTATATAGATAAGAAGACTTATAATATAGTATATTTCTAGGCCTTAATTATTATAGATCTATACTTATCCTATATAGATATCTATTAGTATAATAAGAGATAGACCTAGTAGTGACCCGCGGGTGACCCTTATAACCCTTAGACCGCCCCGCCACTAGGGCGGTTCGAGGGTCTAACCTCCCGACCCTAAGGGTAGTCCACCTAGGGGTTAGACCCTCGGAGGGTAACCCTTAGGGTCACCCGCGGGTCTATAAATAGGATAAATAGGTAAATCTTATAATATATATAATTTATATAGATTTGCCTTATATTTTTAAGTATCTTAATTATAGTGACTAAACTTCTTTAGGGAATATTTTATAATTATATAATATTCTAAGGCTATAGAAGCTTTTAAAGTATATTCTTAATTCTATTTTCTATCTACTATATATCTATTAAGCCTTCTTAATACCTTTCGAACTCTTCTAGATAATCGAGGAAGAGGAAGTCTACTATCTTTATCGATATTATTCTCTAGATTAGATTATATCTTATTACCTTTACTTAGTAAGCTACTTCTTTATCTCCTCCCGAGAATAGTATATAGGGATAGTTATAAAATAGATAGTAATTAGGTTTATTTAACTATATCTTTCTTAGTATTACTAATTAGTTTAAATAAAGTAGTATCTATACTACTTATCTCTATTAAAGCTATAATCTTTTAGGAAGTTAGATACTTTTAGAGAATTAGATACTAGTTTTTCTATAGATTAAATCTTATTATATATATAAATATTATAATATCTTAGATTATCTTTAGCTTTAGAGAACTTTATTAATAATAATAAATATTATATATAAAGTTAAATAGCTATTTTATATCTATATTAATAATTAGAATAGATATAATATTATAAGTAATATTTATAAGAATAAACTATTTATATTAGTTATCTTTCTAGAAAGTATAAAATAATAAACGCTATAATACTAAATTTATATAAAAGTTAGTTAGATATAATAAATTAAGATAGATATTAAGACTAACTAGTATTAAGATATTAAGTTAGTTTATCCTT